TAGGCCACGAGCACTATATTGAGTGTGTGGCCTTCGCTCCGCCAACAAGCTACCCCCACTTTGCAGCTCTTGCGGGGCTAAAGAAGCCACCGCCAATATCATCGTCTGCCGAGTTTGTGGCTACTGGTTCTCGTGATAAGACTATTCGTCTCTGGGATACCCGCGGAAACTGTATCAAGACCCTTGTTGGCCACGATAACTGGGTCCGCTCATTGGTCTTCCACCCCGGTGGAAAATACCTTATCTCAGTATCTGACGACAAGACCATGCGTTGCTGGGATCTCACGCAAGAGTGCAAGTGTGTGCGCACTATCGTGGCTCACGAACACTTCATCAGTTCCCTTCGGTGGGCGCCGCCTTTGGTTAAGGATGCCGGTGCAAATGAGGGTGCGAACGGTGCTGAGGCTGCACCTAATGGGGCAAAAGCAAAAGAAGATGCCACAAAAATGTCCATTCGATGTGTCCTGGCAACTGGCAGTGTTGATCTCAAGGTCCGGGTCTGGGCGGTATGACCTTTGAGTTGAGTTAGCATCGAGCGAGGAGCAATGGGAAAGATGAGCTTCGGCGGCACCAAAAGCTTGAGATAAATAACCCCTATGTCCAATCGACTGAGGGAGCAATGTATCTCTCGGGGTCATACTTCCAAGCTAAAGGGTTCGGGATTTGACGGGCACAGTTTGCAGTTTCTGGGTAAAGGAGTTGGTTATTCTTCTGTGATACCAGTGACTTTCTTTTCTGTTTACAAATGATTGGGGGATTAGATTAGACAGACTTGTCTAGGCTAAACCTATGTTTACGATGTATACACTGTTGGTTTTTTGTATTTTGACATTGATGGGTGGTTTCTCTTCTTCCTTTTCTCATACATACATCTTTAGACCTATCTCTAGTTGGAAGATCCACTCTAGGAATACAACATATCACAATGCCAATGAAAATAGATTGAAGCGGTATAATACAGTACATAACCTCCGATATGCAACACCACGGAGGCCAAAGGACAAATCCGACAGTTTAAATACTGAAGCCCGTCCCAAAAAGAGCTAAACGTACACATCTTCAGTAAAAGCCAACGTCTCAGCGCTCAGCCTCCTGAGCTCTCTCCTCCATAATCCTTTCATGCTCCGCCACTCTCTCCTGCACAATCCTCTTAACCTTCCCGATGCGCTCATCCTCCGCGTGGATGCGATGAATCAACTGCGCAGTAGAAAGCACTTCATCCTTAGGCACAGGGACACCCGCCTTAGCCGCCTCCTGCACAAGATCCACCTCCCGACCAAGCCGTTTCGATTCACGACGGAGATACTTCGCCGCCCAGCGCGTCTCACGCTCAGCCTCGCGCTCCTCCTTCGACAACACAGCCGGACGGTCCGCAATCGCCACGCCAAAGGGAGTGATGATGCGCTCGACGACGTGGTGCACATTCCGGCTCTTGGGCGCGCCGGACGAGAACTCGATTACATCGCCGTCGCGGAGGGAGTTGCGCGGGTCGGAGACTAGGTAGTGCGTTTCCTTGGGGTAGAACTTGCGGATGTGTCGGTCCCAGACTGTGTGACGGTGGCAGACGCCCACTGTGCGGTCCATGCGGCCAACGGAGACCACGGTGCCGGTTTTCAGGGCGGAGGCGTAGTTGCGCAGTCGGGAGGGCGCTTGTGTGTCTGTGCCGGTGATCTTGCGCTGTGTGGGGGATTGGGTGGTTGTTGAAGCGGAGCGGAGGGGTGTAGTGAGGTATCTGGTTGATTGGAGGATTGAGGGGCGTGTTAGGGACAGAGGTGTCGTGATTGAGGCTCGGAGAGGCATTGTTGCCCGGAGGAGGTGGCTTGGTGCCATTGTTGGTGGGGGAGCAGGCGGTTGCTCTTCCAATTGTAGTTGGATGGGATTGGAGAAGACGGGGAATTGGAGATGGTCAAGCACGCGAATGGTTTGTGGTTATGCTGACCGCCCAAATGGTTGCGAGCTTGAGGTGTTTGCAGTTGAGGATTTCGAGAATTTCTCGGGGAAGCATGTTTGCACTGTTTGCACTATAGTATAAGACATCGACTTAGATGGACTGAGGAGTAACTTGGGAAATTTGACAGCCAAATCCTCATATTTAAGTATATAAAGCAAATCTGCACGTCTCATTGCTTGTATAAGTGTTTGGAGTGTCGATTTCACCTAGGTAGATTTCCCAACTCTGTTCAACCGCTACCTCGACTATCATAGATATATTTTGAGATCATCACAAGGATTCCAATTAAATTATTATTAATTATCTGGGTACCATGGTAATTTGTTTGTTTCAAAATTAGTCATCTATTCGTCTACTTCATCCATTTGACAAAATGGATTGAGATTTTAGGACATCCCGAGAACGTCTACTCATGGCTGATATCTCTTCTCTTTCTTTCTTCAATAGCCATAAATGAGATTTCTTATCTTCCTGCTAATTACTTCCTTCCGAAATCGTATACAAAATAGCCGCAACTCCCCTTTCACGAGGTACTATGAAGCTAAGGGTCATTATAAAGTTCTTTTGCAGTCAGACGGCGTTCAGGTTCCCACTGAAGCATCTTTCGAACGAACTCAATAAAAAGATGTCTATCCTCCCCTTGGAGGACGACAGGCACCAAATCGGAAAAATTGAAGCTTTCAGGTGGAATCAAATGAGGTCATTCAAATCCCCCTAGATACGCAAGTGAATCAGCGTCCACCATACATAATTTCGGACGATATCTAAAACATACCCTGGTCCGAGAACAGCCCATCACGTATGTGTGGGTCACATTTCTTCAAGAATTGCGAGGGAGGCGGACCCAGAAGTCTTATCATTTGCGCAATATGCGCCTCCCTGGAAAGCTGTGCGCTTCCATGGCAAGCTCCATCAAAGAAAGTTGTTTCAGCAAGAAGCTCCCATAACTGTGAATGTTGTGAGATATAGTATGTGATAGACTTTGGTTACTTACCACCGTTCCCAAGTTCCATATATCAGCACTATAACTCCAACCAGCCTTTAAGAGCACCTCAGGTGAGCAGAATGGTATAGGTTGGATTTCATGATTATGAGGTGTTGGCACATCGCCAGAGACGGAAGCACTGAAATCACAGATTTTTAGTAAACCCACCCCCTTCGTTAGTGGTCCGAAATCTGGCCTGGAATGATAGATAGGACGGCCATCCCGGAATACATGCGGTGCGGGATCGAGCTCTTGCTGGCGGACATATCGCTCAAGCATATCAGGACCTTCAAAGCCGATAAAGAGGTTATCAGCTTTCAGATCTGCGGCTGGTTAGAGAGTCAATAGAATAGCGCTTTTCAGGGAAGAATCACCAGTGTGTATAATATGACATTCGGAGTGGAGAAAGTCTAGACCTTGGAGTATGATTCTCAGAAAAGGCTTAAGAACGTTTGGAGGTACACCAGTACGTCCAAGGTGTCTTCCAAGAAGCCAAAACGGCTCTCGCAATGGTTCGAAGACTAAACAAGTATGTTGTCCAAGGAGTCCTTGCACCTGGAATGACTCTTTGACCAATCGAACACATCTTAGACCTTCGTGATCAGAATTCAAGGCAGCAATATGCTGTGAGATTACTATCTCTTCTTCCGCGGCTTTCTTTTCCCCGTCTCCGAGATTTGTGATTTTCAAGGTTACGTATTGTGTCGACTGCCATGGCCAGCTTTGTAATGGTAGGAAAGACATGACACCGAAACTGATCAATCAACTAACCGGGAAACATCTTTTGCCCGCTAAACCGTGCAACTAGCACCCCAGCCGAGCTTTGAAACAATTCGATACCGCCCGACATTCTCCCCAATGCGAGCAGCATAGTATGTCTTAGGATCGTAACTAGGAATTTGTTCCTCCTCTATGGGCGATGAGAGCGCGATGGCATGAGAGGAGGAAGACATTGGACGCAACAAATGCTTAGGATGGGAGATTTTCCGAGGTGATTGTCGAAACAAAGTCATCTTAATGAAGAACACATCAACAAAATGATCAGAATAGAAACGGTTTATACGTATAACAGGTGCTGGCTAATCACCTGACGTCCCCTGTTGCTCCCCTAGTTAGCTTTGACACTAGGTAGTTTAAAACATCATCCTACCAGAATAGTAGTACATCGTGGTTCTGATCTCCGAGGGCTTTCCTGAGTTAAATTTCAAAATTTTCGAGGAGTTTTCAATCCTGAAAGCCTCCTCGCTGGCGCTATCGCAGCTTGGAGGTCAAGACCTTCGACCCAAAATGGGTTATGCGGAAGACTAATAAAGTGGTTGTAAGGGCCAAGAAGAACTCTCTAACCAGAATGCGACGGTATAGTCGTTCGAGCGACCGCGACAACGACAGGGATAGCCCCGACAAAGATCGAGTAACACGGACGTCGATAATCAATTACTTACCGTTGTTAGGTGGACTTAGTTCTAAGGTAAGGGGGCGCCTACTGAAAGCGTCGAAGAGGGCAGAGGGAAACGTCTTAGCCCCGAGCAATAATATCGTCGGGAAATGTCCTAGTCAGTTCTAAATCCCCTTAGGAGGTGGTTTGGATGTCTTATTGGATCAAACACAAGAGATTCTCGATCGCGGAGTTCTTATCGAAACTCACGGTCCTCGACAAGCCTACTTTATAACGTTCCCTCCAGAGGTTTCACACCCCAGCTCTATACCGTTATCGTCTGAAATACCTCCTAAACAGTCTTCACAGCAGTCTTCACGCTTTCAATTTTATTCTCAGAACGTATCCTCGCGATAAGTAAAAATATTAAAAGAGTAGCCGTGCTACCGCACCCATGCCGTTTTCATTGGGGTGGGCTAGTAAGACGGCTAGTAGTAGAAATAGGCGGCGTAAAGGCGGTCGATAATGGAGGTACCAGGGTGCAAATACTCATGAAATGCCACCGTACCAAGGAGGAAATAAAAGACCTACCCCTCGACTGAACATTTCTCCTTAAACGCCTTTCCAGCATATCCTCAACCTGAAAAAGAAAGACTAACTTGTCCACCGATCATACTTTAGAAGTCAAAATGCCAGCCGCAGCAGCTCCTCCTCATTTTACGACTCCTGACCTTGAATTACTGTCGTACTGTGAAGACAGAGACTTTCGAGCTGAAGGGAAGCCTGAGCCTAACAGTCGCTCGCAGTCTCTGGTCTACTATTCTCAAGACAAAAAATGGTGGATCAGAGTAACTTTTAAGGGCGCAATTTCGTGTTCTACCTATGATGCTGAGCCAGAACAAATCAAATCAAAACGCGAACGACGAATTGAATTCCAAGGCTTTGTAAGGTTAATTGATTTTCGATCGTTGGCTCTTCTGAATAACACTTTGACTGAAGTGATCTTGAACGGAGACCCGGAAACAACTGAGCCTGTGAAGCTATATCGCGAACCAGAGGGTACCAATCGGTTTACAAAACTTATCAAAATTCTGCGATTCTATATTCGGGAGGACCCATCAAGAGTGGTTTATCCGCTATCCCTCCAATTTCCGTTTTTCGGGCTATCAATGTCGCCGAATTGAAGGAAGAGGATGAAATCACCGACGGAGTGTTCCGGGTTCTATACAAGCGCGACAGAAAACTATATATTCTCAAGTTAGTTAATCGGCCCCTTTACCAACCACGCGATTCGGATGTTATACAAAAAGAACTTGAAAATCTCGAGCAATTTCAAGGTGTAGCAGGGATCGTTCAGCCAGCTGGTATTGCGGTGTTCGCCAACCCATACGCGAACTCCCAAAATTGTGTTCAACAAATGGTTGTTTATGGTATTCTGTTGGAGTACTATAGCGGTGGCTCCTTACAACGTGTTATAAATGAAAAGCGTATTAGGGAATTCGACTGGGAGCGATGGGCTGTCCAAATTGGGAATGCTTTGGACATTTTTCACCGCGCAAAAAAAAACCATATGGATATAAAGCCTTCAAATATTGTTCTCGACGATGATAGCAATGCGGTCCTTATTGATATAAGCGGCATCGGTGGAGTAACGTACGAGTGGTGTGCTCCAGAGATACGGGATGAAATATCACCCTTTGATCTTCCATTCCAAACACGTCGATTGAATGATATTTCGGCCTATGGGAAGCTTTTGACAGAGATTGCGTCAAACGCTGGGAACAGCCCCTTTGCGGGAACTCTCAGGTTGGTTGGGGATCATCTTAGTGAAGAGAATGTTCACAACAGGTGGACTCTATCTGAGGGAATCTCTAGGTTGAAAATTTGTCAGTACATTGATTAATGGTTTAGAATGTTTGCATTATATAAAAGGCAGGTGTATTGAGCTCCTAACCACAAATTGACAAATTCTCCAGGGCTGTTACATTCAAACATAACTTCATTCCACATCATCTTCGTCAAAATCACCGTTGGTCCTCAATGCTGCACCTTATCTTAGTCCATGGTTACGCAATCAAACAAGCCTCTCGTCTCAAGTTAGATTTTTTATCAATAAATAATTGACTACTCTGTAGTTATGCATAACTCTGAATTAACTACGGAGTAAAAATGATAAAATCCGTCCACTGTGGAATATATACCCGTTTTTGTATGGTACAAATATACGGAGTAGTATTTCGACATATAACTATTGGTTAACCCCGTCTAGCTCACTAAGTACCAGTGACAAGACTCTATGAAAAATATAAAGAGAGAGTATATAACACCAAACATAAAAGCCCAAAGAGATATTCACAGGGACACACGACGCAATCTAGCTCGTATGGTTTATGTATGCTCACAGTTTCCCCTTCATAACAACCCTAGCGGGATGACCATATTCTGCCCATATTTCCCGCTGATTCGGAGGAACCATTAATCCAGGACTGGATTCTGTAGCAGAAGTCTGATCTAGAAGGAAACCCCAACCTTTGTTCAGAAATCAAATTTATAGAAAAGAAAAGAAGAAACCAATGAGAAAACTCTAAGAAAATACATTCGCCTCATCCATGTTCGTGAAGGCCATCTAAGTTTCATTTGAAAGACTCGTTCCGATTGCAAAGCGCGCACCAAGAAACATGTCTCGGAAGAGGATCATCAAATATTATTCCGCCTCTTGCGTCGTGGGTGGCACCTCGACTTCGGTTGACTCTGTTTCAGCCAATATCTTAGATTGGAATTTATCGGCAGAGTGTGCCGATATCCGGGTGAGTTCGGTGACGAAGGATTGGCCCCAGAATGCGCTAGAAAATGATCAGTCGGGAATGAAATACAAGAAACAAGGAAGAAAACATCGCCCCTCGATGGAAGGGCTGACATCAACAGGGATGAGAAGGAAACGTACCTGGTGTACTTAGAAACGTATCTGTCCAACTTGGCAAAATTGAGAGCTCTCTGTTCATCGCTCATAGTCACGGCTTCTTGATAGGCACCTGCTAGTTCTTCGGTGTTCCAGGGGTTCACGATAATACTACCGTTCAGACTCTGGGCTGCTCCAGCGAATTCAGAAAGCACCAACACTCCGTGACGCTTCTGCTGGGTGGCGATGTACTCGTAGGCCACCAGATTCATGCCGTCACGGGTAGATGAGACAATGCAGGCATCTGATACGGCATAGAGAGCGATGAGTTCGTCAAAGTTGACGGACTTGTGCAAGAAGTGAATAGGCTGGAACTCGACCGTGCCTTGAAGGACGATTAGCCTCGTTCAAAAGAACACCAGACGAGAAACGTACCGAACTTTCCATTGATCCGACCCACCAGTTCGTTCACCACAGCCCTCAAGTTCTGGTACTCCTCGACATCCTGTCGACTGGGAACAGCAACTTGTACAAGCACGACCTTCCCAACCCATTCAGGGTGGTCGCTGAGGAAGACTTCAAGCGCGTGCAACTTCTGGGGCACGCCCTTGATGTAATCAAGACGATCGACGCCGACCATCAGCTTCACGCCCTGGAACTTCTGCTCTAGCATGGCAATGCGCTTCTGCACCTTCTCCTTCTTCAACCCTTCCTTGAACTTCTCAGGGTCAATGCCAATGGGGAAAGCTCCACATGTGATAATCTTGCCCTGGAACTCAATGCCATTGGGCGTAGTTGCAAGGCCACTAGTCTTGTTAGATATATAAACTCCAGACCCTATAGGGGTATACTAACAGTAAGCGCGAGCAACTGCTCAGGAAATGGCGCGTGTAATCATAAGTGTGGAAGCCAATGAGGTCGCAATGCAGGACACCCAAGAGCAGTTCATTCCGCACAGGGAGAATCCGATAGATCTCACTGCTGGGGAACGGTGTATGTAAGAAGAAACCGATCTTCACGTTCTTCTTGGTATCGCCGATCTCCTCGCGCAGCATCTCGGGAAGCAGCATCAGGTGATAGTCGTGAACCCAAATCAGGTCACCATCCTGCACTTCCTTCGAGATAGCCTTTGCGAAAAGACGGTTTGCTTCCTTGTACGCTTCCCAGGCGGACTCGTCGAAGGTGATCTCACCAGGGTGGTAATGGAACAGAGGCCAGAGGATAGAGTCTATGGAAAGAAAGCGTTAGTGTACATTCTAGGGATCTCGCGGGGAGAAGCAAGGAGCAACTAACTGGAGAACCCATTGTAGTGCCGATCTGCCAGCTCATCATCAATGAAGACCGGTACAGCGCCGTATTCCTCCTTGAGACGCTGCTTCACTTCGGGGATCTCGGCTTCGGGCACCTCCAGGCCGGGCCAGCCGTACCACTGGAAAGTGGTTGACTTGGAGAGACCACTCAGACCACTAACCAGACCTCCAGAAGACATGGAGAAATCATATTTTCCATCATCAGACCGCTTGATTGTGATCGGCAACCGGTTGGAGACCAGAAGCAGTCGAGCTTCGTTCTTGGCCTCGACAGCAGGCATGATGTGACGATCGAGCAAAATCGGATGGGATTATATGTATTAGAATATGGGTCTTCAGTGTAGGCTAGACAAGCCTCCTGTGGTGCCGAAAGACGATGCGATTAGAAACACGATTTCGTAGGCGGGGAAACTCTTGGAGATCAAGATCATGACGAATGTGAACCAACCTTTTGGAACAAGTGGATATTCACTCCGGATGAGCAACAGACTAGCAATCTTTCTCCATAGATAGCTTGTAATACTAAACAAAAAGTCGAGATTTCAGAGAGATGAGGGAAAAAAAAAGAGGTGAAAGGTGAGCAAAGCGGGGGACTGAAATGCGCGCAAATGCGAACGTCACTGGAAAAAACGTGCGGGCCTCAATATCGCTCACATCAGAGAAAAAATGTAAGCAAGGAATCTTTCCAAGACTCTCTTTCTATTATTCTGGGATTTTGGAATTTCAAAGAGATATTTCAAGAGTTCATCTTTTTTATCTCGATTCTGATTCTTAGGTTGTACAACATGGCCTGTGAGTCCCGTCAGTCATATGATGGCTATTGAAGTACTCCGTACTATGTACATCTAAGATGAGTGAGCACTGACGTCGGGCTCTTTTTTTAGATCTAAGGTGTTCATTGTGTCTTCTCAAATATATTTTTGAACGTATTACAGATGTCTTTACTTTTTTTTTTTAAGACGCCACGACAATATACGAATGCGGTATAAAACCCCAACGCGTAAACTCTACTACAACAAGGGATATCCCAACCATGCATTGAACAGTTCTACCATTTACATGTAGATTCCATAATCTTAAATACACATCTTAAAAGGATCAGCTCAGCGAAACTCACAAAGCCGACTTCTTACTCACAAGACTCCATTTCCCCGAGTCCGAATCAAGGACCGTCCGCCCCTCATCTTGAAGCTTCAACAATACCAGCAAAACACCGCGCGAAGCAGGCAAATGCAAAGACTCGGGAACATCACGGTATATGCACTTCACTAACTCAATAGGCGTCCACCATACCTGCTTGCGCTCCGGCGAGGGCTCACCATCCGCGACAGCAAGCCCACCAAATCGCAGCACGCGCAGGACCTCGTCTTCCCGCTGCTGTCGGTGCTTGATGTACTCTGTGATCCGTGCACCGGCATTGTCAATCACCGCTCCGTGTCCGGGATAGCCCCGGCCTGAAGAGACACGGTCGCGCATCCGGTGCAGACTATTGAGGTAGATTTTGAGGTCTTCGAAGACGGCTGTGCCGTGGCCTAGGACGTCTGTGGGGTTGGGTTAGATATGTTTTTAGGGATAACTGTACATACATATATCATGTTTTATTGGTGGAAGGGGAGGTTGGATGGATATATCTCGATCTAGGAACACTTACTATCACCCGTGAACATAGCATTCTCCTCCTCAAGCATAAACACCATATGATCAACAGTATGGCCAGGCGTATGGGTTGCAGTCAAGGTAGCACCCTCAACAGAGAACACCTGGCCCTCCTGGATATCTGTCTGAGTGGACTCGGGCTGGTGTTTGAAGATCTGAGCCTGGGGACAGAGCTTAAGTAGATCTGGCAGTCCATTGACATGATCGGGGTGCCAGTGTGTCAGTAGAGCCTGATGGACTGTTGCTTTTTCTTCGGAGAGCACGGTCTGGAGGTTTGCTGCCCATGCGGGCTTGCCTTCGCCTGTATCTATTAAGATTCGCTTGTGGCCACGGCCAATTAAGTATGTGTTTGTGCCTGCGTATGGTGGTTAGGGTGTGGATTCTGGGCTGAGATACAAGGTGATGCTTACCTTGGAGTGTGAACTGTGTTACGTTGTGTGCTTTTGATCAGCTTGTTATGATATAGTGACATCATGGTATCTATGTACTTACCTTCCCCGGATTTCCGCCTAGAATCCTCACGACTGAGGCGCTGAGGCGCTCCACTTCTGGGAGTTGGACGAGCTGGGTTGCCATTTTTTGAGATGGGGAACAGTAGATGGAAGGTTGGAGATCTTCAGCAACTTGCTTCTTATATCTGTACAAATCAGTGGTCAACTGACGGCTGACGTATCATTCAAGATGCTCTAGGCTTGTTGGATGCGAATAGACAGCTTATGCTGAGATATAGGCGAACTTGAGAAGATATCGAAGCGGTAAACTTGCCGAATCTAATGACGGAATAACATAACTTGATGGCGTCCAGCTCAATCTTATACTGACGTCCAACGGACGCGGGGCAGAAATTATGCCTCGGTAAGCTTATCTCAGCCTTTGATGTGTCCGAGGTGTCAACTACCGTCGATGGGGGACCTGTATTATGCCGGATATGGTTGAAATACCCAGGATACGAGCCTACAATCTACGAAAGGAAAAATTTGAAGAAAAAAAAAAAGAAATTGTCTATGCATGCCATTCCTAACATACAAAAACAGTCATGTAAAAATCAAAAAGAGTATATCCATTGAGCCCACCCAGATATCGGGAATCAACGCAAGGCCGAGAAATCAGGCCTACAAAAACACAAGTTCATAATTTTTCCCAGAGCGTAACTCCTCGTATCCTGCTCATGAAAGGGGCGCGGGCAATAGACAACCAATCCAATGGCTGCCGTGTCACACCGTGGTTTTCAAAAGCATGTATCTGAATTGTTCAACACACCAGAGAACGTAGTTTACACAGGTGTCTCGGTCATAACCGAGACACTTCGGTTTTATTGTTGGAGAGTCATGACAGAAGAAAGGCAGTTTAAGCCTTGCGGGCCATGGTGTTGAGGGCAGAACCATCGTGGAACCACTCCAGCTGGGACTCGTTGAAGGTGTGGCTGAGGGAGATGTCGAAGGCGGCGCCACCATCCTTGGGGTGGACACGGAGAGTGATGGGCTTGCCAACCTCGAGCTGAGTGCAGAGGAGGTCGACCTTGTCCTCGGGGTTGATCTTGTCGTAATCGGCAGGATCGGAGAAAGTGAGAGGAAGCATACCCTGCTTCTTCAAGTTGGTCTCGTGGATACGAGCGAAGGAACGGGTGATGATGGCGAGACCACCGAGGTGACGGGGCTCGAGAGCGGCGTGCTCACGGGAAGAACCCTCACCGTAGTTCCAGTCACCAATGACAACCCACTTGACGCCACGAGCCTTGTAGTCACGGGCAGTAGCGGGGACGGCATCGTACTCCTTGGTGAAGTAGTTCTTGACCTTGTTGGCCTCACCGTTCTCCTCGTTGGTGGCACCGATCAACATGTTGTTGGAGATGTTGTCCAGGTGGCCACGGTACTTCAACCAGGGGCCAGCCATGGAGATGTGGTCAGTGGTGGTCTTGCCCTTGCACTTGATCAGAATTGGAATGTCGGTAGCATCCTTGCCATCCCAGGCAGAGAAGCCAGCGAGAATCTGGAGACGATCGGAGGTGGGGGAGACAGCAACGTTGACAGTGGAACGATCGGCGGGAGGAGCCTGGTAGGTATCACGGCCGGCATCGTAGCCACGGGTGGGGAGACCATCACCGGAGGGAGCCTTGAGCTTGAACTCCTTGCCATCCTTGTCCTTGAGGGAGTCGGTGAGGGGGTTGAAGTTGAGAGTACCGGCAACGGTCATGGCGACGACCAGATCGGGAGAGGCAACGAACGCGTGGGTGGCGGGGTTGGCGTCGTTACGGCCAGTGAAGTTACGGTTGTAGGAAGAGATGATGGAGTTGGCCTCACCCTTCTTCACGTCCTTGCGGTCCCACTGACCAATGCAAGGTCCGCAGGCGTTGGCAAGGATGACACCGCCGTACTCCTCGAGGGTCTGGAGCTGACCGTCACGCTCGATGGTAGCGCGAATCTGCTCGGAACCAGGGGTGATGGTGAACAGAGACTTGGACTTAAGACCGTGGTCAAGAGCGTCACGGGCGATGGAAGCAGCGCGGGACATATCCTCGTAGGAGGAGTTGGTGCAAGAGCCGATCAGGCCGACCTTGAGCTCCTCAGGCCAGTTGTTGGTCTTGACAGCCTCCTTGAACTGGGAGATGGGAGTGGCAAGATCGGGAGTGAAGGGACCGTTAACGTAGGGCTCGAGCTCATCAAGGTTGATCTCAACGAGCTGATCGTACTGAGCACCCTCATCCTCACGGAGAGAAGCGGCGTATTCGCGGGAGAAGTCACCAATGTGCTGACGCTTGGTGGCCTTCAGGTAGTCGTACATGCGGTCGTTGAAGGGGAAGATGGAGGTGGTGGCACCAATCTCGGCACCCATGTTACAGATGGTAGCCATACCAGTGCAGGACAGGGACTCAACACCGGGACCGTGGTACTCGATGATAGCACCGGTACCACCCTTCACAGTAAGGAGGCCGGCGACCTTAAGGATGATATCCTTGGGAGTGGTCCAGCCAGACATCTTACCAGTGAGACGGACACCGATGACGTTGGGGGCCTTCAGCTCCCAAGGGAGACCAGCCATAACATCGACGGCATCAGCGCCACCGACACCAATAGCAGCGGTAGCAAGACCACCAGCGTTGGGGGTGTGGGAGTCAGTACCGATGATAAGACCACCGGGGAAAGCGTAGTTCTCAAGAACGATCTGGTGAATGATACCGGAACCTGGCTTCCAGAAACCGATGTTGTACTTGGCGGTAGCGGAGGCAAGGAAATCGTAGACCTCCTTGTTGATGTCGTTGGCACGGGCAAGATCCTTCTCACCTCCAATCTGGGCCTCAATCAAGTGGTCACAGTGGACAGTGGTGGGGGTCTGGACGCGGTCCATGCCAGCGGACATGAACTGCAGAATAGCCATCTGGGCAGTGGCATCCTGGCAAGCAACACGATCGGGGCGGAGCTTGAGGTAAGAGACACCACGCTGGATGTCCTGACCGTGGGGGTCGTCAAGGTGAGAGTACAGGACCTTCTCGGAGAAAGTGAGAGGGCGCTGCAGACGGCCACGGACGATGTCGAGGTTCTCGGACATCTTCTTGTAGTTAATGTAGTGACCCTGTGATGTAATACGTTAGTCGCTATTGCTTGAAATTGTACTCCACGCTCGGTTCTCGGGCGCTAGGCTGGCAGCCACTCACAGTTTCCTGGTTAGTCATCTCGACCTTCTTGTCGAGGGGGTTGACGGTAGCGAAGGCCCGGGTTCCGGTGACCTAAACATCATAAAGTCAGTAACTGCAGGTCTGAAATATTTCTGAGCTATCATGCACGCCGGCGTATGTGCTACGCCACGTGTGTAAAATCAAGCTTGGCAATGAGGTCACTGCTTACAAGACGGAACTTGGGGGCCTAAGAGTCGAAACAAGTCAGTTTTCCATTCATCAAAGAATCACACAAGCACTCAGATCGAGCGCCATGCTGCGACAATGAGCCGAGGGAGAAAGACATACCAGCGCACCAGCGCGCGCGAGGCGAGTGGAAATCATGATGGGCAGCTCTATGAGATGGGATTGCACATCCAAGAGCTAATAACCACCTTCACCAAAGTATGAGAGTGGAGAGTAGAATGAGAGAAGAAGAGATCAAAAAGGAAGAAGAGGATGAAAGCTTGGTTTTGAGTGGGAGAAAGATTCTACGGGGCCCGGGAGTAGAGCCGTAACCGCTGTTACCACGGCGATACAATACGGCTGGTATTGGGCTTAGCCTGCCGCATGCGACGGCAAGGGCTGGGCAATTTGATAGAGGCTGTTCATGGCCAAGAATTCTTAATATTGACTCTGAATTATGATGAGATATAGCAGCTATTATACACTATATTCTTATTTTTTTTTTCTTTCTAATTCATATTCCTTTCCCATATGAAGTTTTCAATATTCTAATATCTGTGGCCATTTGTGGCCACTTGTTCGCCATGATGTACTGGGAAGGTAACAGCGATACAAGGCATGTGACGGGTATAACTCGGCCACCAATCATGGAGTTTCCAATTACAAGGGCCCCCCTTCGTCCAGCTCCTCCCACTCCTCCCATTTCGGACCAAAGGGCTAAAAGGGCTAACTTTGGAAATGCGTTCGCATGTACAAAGTACTCTCGGCGTGTACCCCGTGCTATTGTGAAGGGCTTTGACGTATGTGGGTTTATGGGTTTCATAAACAATCTAGCCAATGATGAACATGGGTTTACTAGTGAACCTCGGGATGTTACAATATATGCTCTATTAGTATAGTGCTTTCTGAACACTATTACATTATATATCCTATATATCCTATATACTCCGTACAGTTATAACAGTTATACAATTATACACTAATACCTATTTTATACATCTCTCTTGAAGCTTGGAATTATATCGGAACAACATACCGCAAACGTCATTAAATACACGTACGGTGACGAAATCAACTAAGCCGAGGTGAGCCGAATGGCAATCCCGCACCGCCAAGGGTTGCCGTCTCTGATCACCAGCCAATTAACCGTCAGCCATTTCAATCGGTGGCCGCGGCCCACAAGCGGAAATTTTATCTCAATTACTCGCTGTCCTTAGCCTCCTTGACCCACTTTCCTCTTCACTCCGGAAATCGGTGGTAAACCAATTTTCATTTTGCATCTATTTTAATCGGATCGAGCTCCGAGGCATTTCGGCTATCAGCTATCAGCATGGGTGCCCTCAGAAAAGTCAAGAACAAGCGTCGCACTAGGTACGTCTACCTGAGGCATTGTACCTGTACCTGTACCTGTCGTTGTCGCTGGCGCTGACGCTGATTTGCTAACCTACTCACAGAGACTATGATCTAGTCGTCGCAGATATCAAAACTCAAGGTCACCTGCAGAAGTTCAAGGACACGAAAGACCCGGAGGATTTGCCTGGTCTAGGCAAGTTCTTCTGCACTGAGTGCTCCAAATGGTTTGAGAGCGACTACAACCTCAAGGCGCATGCCAAGGGCAAAAACCACAAGCGGAGGCGAGTGTTTTTTCGATGTCATGTGCTCTTGTCGCATTGCTGACCAACTACGCGCGTTTCAGACTTCGTATCCTACGCGATGAGCCTCACAGCCAACTGCTTGCCGAGCGTGCGATCGGACTAGGTCTCATCGACAACGGCAAGCGTGAAGAGAATGCCGACGAGATGAAGGAATAAATCGAAGCTTGATCTTCGGCCTTCTGGGATAAAAATCAAACCTTTGCCACGCGACCACGATCCTCTTTTCCTGCAAATCGACATGCGCATATCGACACCCAAAAGTTTCTAGGACAATACATCTAGACTCGTTCTGACGTTGTTTTTCCTCATTCCGTTCATGCATAGCGGTGGAGTATCACGTGAAGCAATTTTTTTTTTATATTGCCGATACTCGCCGTGTTACCGCTCTTCCGTTTTGCGGGCTCGAAATCGCCGAGCATCGGCGGAAACGGCACCTGGGCGAAATTTACGGAGCCCACCCTATACTAGCAATACTAGTAATTCCAATAGAAATCCCTCAATACGAAATCTAACCTAAATCGGCTTTCGGTAACTGTGTAGCTTGGCTTGTTTTGAGATATTTCGGTTCTATATTCTAAGCTTGATCGTCGCTCTAGGAACATATATTTACAGCGCTGTGGACTCTTGGGTCTTCACTTGTGGGTCCCAGGAATGATTAAAGCTCTTCATCAACCATTCATATGCTGCCCACTATATCAGACGTCAGTTATTTGATCAATTGGAATAACAAGGAGAAATCATACCTGAACAGCATTCACAATGAACGCCCTGACACTGCAAACACCAAAACCACGATAGAATGCCTTGATACCCTCGACACGATAGGTCTCTTTCGCAATCTGGAAAGAATTCAGTATTTGGCCCTGTTGTCGTAGTAGAGACTGGCTCTCAGCTGTCCTGAGGGAATGATCTGTAATCGTCTGTGCCTGTAGTCGTGTCTTAATCATATCCAAAGGAAACACCGAGCCCCAAGTAGCAACGCCAGCAATGCCACCGCAAAGTAGAATCTTCATAGCAGCCTGATGCGAACCATCATCATCAGAGGTCATAAATCGTTTGCAAAGTTCGTAGGTCCAGAAACTACGTTACATCAGCATTAAATCCCTCAATTGATACACTGGGGTATCCGGGGGTGGCGTGTTAGTTCCATACTAGAATCCATAGCCAATTGAATCTCTGGCGCTAGTAATCCCGCCCCCAAAGTACAGACCCCTCCAGCCGCGCGTTCGGAAGACATCCTTGGCGACCGCCCACGAGGAGACTTCTGGCCGGCGATCAAGCTGTGCCCGGCACTTGATGAACTCCGTTGGCGATGAGACGGTCCAGCTAGCTAGTCCGCCCACGGCACCGGCCAGCCAGATCTTGTAAGGCGAGACCCCCACGGGATTGGTGGGATCTGTTACGGACCCGTCCAATGCTATCAAGGATCGGTTGTAAGCAACAAATAGAATAGCATTGAGAGCTCCGTAGCCTAGGATCGGAGCGGCCGCGCCTATAATAACGGTTAATCAATTGTTACTTGTATCACTAAATCGGTGCGACACGGACCTCGAACAAGAGACTTTGCTTTTTCGAAGCGGCTTAGGTGTGCCGGTGATACATCTGCATATGAGCCTCCCGCTTGCAGCCGGACTTTGATAACATCGAGAGGATTGCCAATGATGATCCCAACGGCTCCGCTGATATAGCCGGCCCAGAAATCTGTGGCCATGAGATCTCGATCCTAACGGCCAGATTGGAAATGATTGATACGCAAATGTCAATCATTCAACCTCGGGAAGCCACCCCAGGTCTCCATAGCGGGGTCTCACGTGCCGCCCCGCGAGGGGTGATTACTTTGTGCATACATACCAGTAGGGCGCCGAGGGTCTGCCGAGGCCTGACCTCGGCCCGGGGCAGATGGACTTTATCCGGATGGGGTTTGTTGAATCGCGCCGAATGTACTCCGTCTCCGTACCAGGATGATATCGTGATCCACCCACTGAAGTTCGACCACCACAACTCAAGGATTACGGTATCAGGCTAGAAGTTAGAACGAGTCCTTGCCTAGGTAGATCGGTATGCATGTGGGTAGAAAAGTCTATGTCGTGTTTCTCGACAATGACTCAAACGGCTCGGCATCTCCACAGGAAAAGCTGAAGCCATTGCGGACTGTAGTTCCCGGATACACCGCAGAAGTTGGAAAATCCAGCCTACATGATATCTCTGTCTTGATTCAGACTTTATTCATAGTTTCTTCCTTCCACATGGCTGCAAATTACGTCAATATGGTGAAGTCCATTGATATTTCGGAGTCGGAAGTTGCGTCGTGGGCCTCGCAGATTGAGGTGATAGAAGCCTGTTTAGAATAATCAGCCGCAAACTGCAGAATATAGTGATAGACTCAGGCGCCAAGGCACTATTTGTTTGTAGTATCAGATCTCCCTTTGTCCCCACAGAGAATATAAAGAGCTCCATAGCAGTAGGTAGATCATCATCCACATTTATTCCTGCTTCCCCACCCCTTGGAGGAGCAGGGTGTGCGTCCATTATATATTGAAAAGCACAACTCCTACATAAGGAATAAAATCACTCGGAGATATAGATGACTGATTTTCTTTTATCAATAAAAGCTAGCAAAATAAAGTCCCCAGTGGTCGCTATATATGATAGTCTGCTGGTCGCACTTGCCATTCAGACTTCCAGTTCTGCACTTGCTAGAACTCCGAACTTTTACAAAATACAACGTGAACCACTCTACACAAAACAGATCGTCACCGTTGGAACTACTTTTTGCTGAATTCAACCTAACCACAAGGGAAACCAAGCTTCGAAACTATTTCAACTTCCACAGAAAATGTAAACCACATCCTAGAATCCTTATGTCTTCGCTTGACGTGTGATACTGACAATGAATTTTGTTGATAGACTGCCCAGAGTGTGATAGGCAAGCAAATTCGCCAAATAGAGGCAGCTGGTCCTCTCTCTCTCTCTCTCTCTCTCTCGCTTCAAGGCCTATACAACACAACCTCGAGTGAATTGCATAATCCCGAGTTTGAAGGACCTCTATGGCATTGGCCCAATTTAACCTGAGCTCCCGCAGCAAAAAGTGAGAGGCAAAACTGGAGTAACAAGGTCATCTAATATATCTAACAGTCACGATACAACAGAAAAGTGGCCGTCCCTGGTCATGGAAATTGGTCTCTCTGAACCAGAAGCACAGCTATGAGCTGATGTGTATTGGTACGGAGTAGACTACATGATACTCTTTCATGTCAAGGCATCTCCCAAACGTGGAATCGCCGTGGGATAGAACCATCGAAATTCCATAAATATCGCACATGGGACAGTGGTAGAGGTTTAGAGCGCTCTGCTTTATGATTCTACGCAATTCCAAATGGATTCCTCTGCCAATAAAGCCTAATGTAAGCCGAATTATGATCCATCAACTTTATACTAGTCGCTAACCCTTGTTAGTTTTTCGAAGCTCATGGACTCGAGAGGAAATGACCCGCTGCAATAGGGCTGGTCCCAAGTGGTCTCTACGGCGTATGGAACGCTATACTATTCTGGCAATTTCCTGTTGTTGATGGCTATATCACAAGGTCGTAAGACAAGCATTTTCTCTCCTTGACAAAAGAGGTCTCTTGGTCTTGACAAAGATGTCTAAGATTACCACCAGGAGTTCTTGGATATCAGCAATGCAGTCGCGCCTACCTGCCAAGATGGTCAAAAGAGATATCCCGATATAAATACGCTCCTAGCCGGGATAATGGCCCTAGTTTCTTGATCATTATGTGCAAAAGGAATGGTCTGGAAATTGTGGAACTCCGCAGAGACTCCAAAAGTGTATATTCCTCATCAATATATATAGTTTTGATCCAGTCCATTTACACAAATACCTGCCCTAGCAGCTGTTGTTTCGCAGTTAGGAACTCCTTAAGCGTAGTCAACTTGATCCCAAACTCAGCCTCAAGCTCACGCCGCTCAAAATCTCCCGACGCTCCCAGATCCATCTCTGGGCGTCAATCTGAAGATTCGGGGACGCCAGCTGCTCCTCCAGCCCGCAGGGAATATGGTCAACTACAATATCGTGTCAACTGACCTCGGAGATAGTCTGTGCCACCTGCTCCACCGTGAGGGCCTCACCCCCAATACTAGCCACGATGCGAGAAATTCTCCAGCTCAATGATAGCACCAGTGGCAAACCGCCCAATATCATCTGGGTCAATAAACATCGACCTTTTCTCAGGTGCCATTGCGGTGCGAAGGATACCAGATTCCACCAGTTCGGGAAAATAGCCTCCCACACTGGGAGGGAGATAATTTGTTATGAAGACAGGGGACGGAGGATTGTCCAGTGCTTGAAGCCAGCCGAACGCACAAGGTCCTCGATAGCAGCCTTGTTCTCGAAATAGCCCTTCAGAACGCTGGAAATGGTGCCATAATGCCCTTCGGGGAAGTCCTCGCGCTAGTCGACGCCACAGACGCTGGTTTAAATAAGCATCGTGACGGTGCCAGATGCGAGAGCTGCGCGCACGACGTTGGTCGCCTGCTGTAGTTCGGCACCATCATCTCGAAGAGAGGGTGATACGTTTAGGAATACTGCTGTTGCGTTTTGGTAGGCGAGCTGGAGTTGATCGGATTTGTCGAAGTTGCCCTCCACTAGGATGGCGCTAAGGCGGTGCAGCTCGAGCGCGGTGGCGCTGGACTTCGTCCGAACTAGGGCGTGGACGCGGACTCCTCTCACGAGGAGGTGGCTGGCTGTCGCGCCCCCTTGCTTACCAGTGGCCCCGGTGATGAGGATGGTTGCGGTCATGGTATATGATGATTGTATCATGTATCTCAGAGGGAAGAATATGACTGAGGGGAGATAGAGATGGCCAGGGAGGTGTAGACATACCCAAGATATATACTACAGCTCTAGGGCATCTGTAAATGCATGTTAAAAATAATCCACAGCCTTCTTTGTTCCACAAAAGAATGCGGATGGTCATTCCGAGTGGGCTAGGAGTTGAAGAGATTGACGAAAGATATTGATAACACACTTACCTTGATAAAATTATATGGAGATCTGAATGCTATAAGTGAAGCCACATATCAAGGGCTTTAATGTGCGAAGTAATTAGTTACAGATCTATCTGATGGTTTACATCTCACCCGATTGGGAGCCGCCTCGAAGTCGACGGCCTCTTGCTCCCTGTCTTTTTTCGCCTGACTTCTGTATTTTCTTGCTTTGTCACTTCTTTAATCAACCAAGTCTCATTTGTCAGAACATAACTGCATTCCGCACGCCTTAATATGATCGCCTTTGTCAGCGCCACCGTGGGCCCCGCCATAGGGGCCGTCCGCAACCCCGCTAGTGCTTCTCCCAACCCCTACAACCTCTTTCTAAGGGCGAATGATCTTGACTGATAGTAGCGAAAGTCGACGCAAACTCTCACACCGATCCAGCTGCCGCCATCGAGACCCTCCAGACAGGGCACGGCATCAGCCGCCTCGATATCGTGATCGCCAACGCCGGCATCTGCGAGAAGTTGCTCACCCGTGCATGAGATGTCCGTCCCCATGCTACGCGGGTACGTCGAGAGTGACGTATACGGGCCCATCTAACTCTCCCTCGTGATATCCCGATCAACATTCGCACCACATAAAAGAACAACGCTGGTTTGGCCGGTCAGTTCATGAGCGATTTGAGTAAATCCAGCGAGAGCAAGTGCAGCAGAACCCTCAACAATGACTTTCTCCTCGAAAGCAAGTGCCTTCATAGCCTGAAAAATTTCTGCTTCGTTGCACTCAAGCACATGATCTACCACTGCCCTAGCTAGAGGAAGCGTGATTGTGTCTTCATCAATACCACCAGCCACAGCCTCAGCCAGAGTAGGTAAATGCTCTGTCTCAACAACATGACCAGCCGCAATGGATTTGGCCAGTGCCTTTGAGTTTATGGCAGCGACACCATAGATCTTCGTCCGCGGGCTGAAAGCTTTGAGCACGGACCCAACACCGCTGATGAGTCCGCCCCCGCCCATGGAAATGAAGATGTTATCAACTTGGTTGCACTGCTCGAGAATCTCAAGCCCAATCGTCCCCTGCCCCGCAATAATTTCGGCATCGTTGTAGGGTGAAATATAGGTGTAAGCGCCTGAAGCAGCAAGTTGCTGCGCATGCTGTTCGGCCTGGCCCGTTTCCGCACCATGCAGAATGACATGAGCGCCGTAAGATTTGATTTTTTCTAACTTTGCTGGAACCACTGTCTCTGGAAGTACGACTGTGAGGATCCTGGAGAGCGCTTGCGAGGCAAAAGCAGCACCAATGCCATGATTACCCGACGATGCTGTGATTAGTTGTCCCTGTGCTGTTTGAACAGACAACTTGGACAAAGCGCCCCTGAGTTTGAAAGATCCGGTGAGTTGAAAGTTCTCGGCTTTGAATAGCACCTTCGCATCGTGATCCCGGCCTATTTGCCGGGCTGGAATGAGTGGTGTTTGATAGATGTGATTAGAAATGCGTGTCCTGGCTTGGACGGCGCTGGCTGCGATTTCGAGTGAGCTCGGCATTGTGGAATGTTTGTTGGTGAATTGGTGGGGGAGGCGGCACAGAAAGAGGGGAAATATTGACAAGGATAGAAAAAGGTAGACCCTGAGGTATAAGTGAGGAGAGAAAGAGATAGAACCCTGAGGTATAAGTATTTTACAATTTTTACATTTTCTAATCCACTAGTTAACAGCGGCTCGCAAATAGTTGCTATACACTGAAGCACACTAGCAATGCACTTGGCATTTTGCCGTACTTTATTATTTATAAGCTGTTTTTTTCTTGGCTTTCGCATGAAACAAAACTATATTTCAAGTTCAACATATATATACCCTGTCGCTTTCTAGTACGTTGCTCCAGGCTGAATACCCAATCTTCCCCCATCAACTACATGAATTGACCCTGAACAGTATCCCCCTGTCTCTGATGCAAAATACAGCACAGTTCCCGCAATTTCCTCATCTCTACCTACCCGTTTGAGGGGCTGCATTGAGACCGGCATTGATCCCTCGACCGTAAAATCCTTATCGCCAAGCATAGCGACCATCATCTCCGACCGAAAGGCTAGTCAATACACAACTGATTAGCCCTAGCTCTTTTCATAACCGAGTGAGACACGAGCTGTTATCTTACTTCCTGGAGCAATCGCATTGACTCTAATCCGATATTGGATCAGATAGCTTGCCAAACTTTTGGTTAAGTGAGTCACTGCCGCTTTGCTCGTTGTGTAGGCCATCCCTGCTTGTGGCCATGCCCGATAAAAGGCACCGATAGAGCTGGTCACCAATACCTGGCTTGTCTGTTGAACGTTTCCTCTCTGGTTCCCTTTGTCGAGAAGGTCTAGGAAGGCAATTGCGGTGTAATAAACACCCGTCACGTTGATATTGTAGACCTCCGCCAGTTGCTCCATCGACGGACCCCAGAGGACTCTCTGCACCTCCTGTATGTCAGGGACCTTTCCGTCTTTGCCTGGAAGTAACTCGCTGTAGTTCGGCCCCTGGATCCCGGAATTGGCAATCACGAGATTCACATATCCCGTTTCCGCTTCGATGTGAGTGGCCACACTTTGCAGGCTCGACTTTGATGTCACGTCGCATTGAAGGGGGAATATGTTCCCATGTAGAGCTGTAGCCGCAGCCTCATCAAGCTTGTCTTTGCGTCGACCAAGAATGTAGACCTTCGCCCCGTTGGCTTCAAGGGCTCGCGCCATCACGAGACCAATACCTACACCACGAACACGCTATTCTTAGCCAAGTCACTCTTGTAGCTTTACATTGTGTTAGGCAAATAGTGGAGAAGAGAGATACATACCTGTGCCACCACCTGTGATGACAGCAACCAAGCCGCTGCAATTAAAAAGGGTGTTTTGAACGAAAGACGCCATATTCACAATCAAAGGCAAATGGAATAGAAGAAAAAGTAGCCCACAGCGTGGGTAAACAAAAATAATGAAGAGAAATGCTCATACTTATAGAGAATACAGCAATGCTAGTGACATGTCAAAGTACCATATCATGACCAAGCTTGTTGAAGTGTCCAGGTGGTGTAGATTGTTATTACAAACCTTCTGATTTATTCGGGAAGTGACAAGTGACTATAGCTCCAGTTGTGGCCCACTCATTCAAGCTGCAAGCCAGTATGCGAATAGGCCAGAACACGCAAGCTTTCACAAATACGGTGGTACTGGTCAGTAATTTGATTAGACTAAACAAGTGGTCAGTTTAAGACTCAAGACTCTAGCTTAGATAAATATTGCAATTCCTTTTTTTAGGTGCCTCATATGTGATTTAGTGTTTCCAAATGTAATTTCATACATTGCATCCCCCTACGGAAATCGATAATCTTTCAGGTTCATCCAAGTACCTAAAAAGCATTTAGGATCTGTAATCAGCTACTATATCTGTAGGTAATATGTCCGTCATTAGAAGAAAAAATATGAAACTTGCCCAGGTGTACTTCTTGAGCAATGATAATGCCCCACTCAGCCCTAGAGAGATACTTACTATTGGCTCGCAAATACTTGACCTACCTGAGGCTTCACCCAATCAGCGGGCTCTAAGCCCTGCAGATCTATGGATTTCCAATCTTGGAAAGTTGGAGAGCTCCTTTTAATCAGCATCTGAACTACATAGAGTTTCGAGAATAGTCGACAATACCAGAAGTAAACAGTATATATAGAGACTTTGCCAGCTCGATAGACAAAATATTCATTCACATCCAAATCATCACACATTTCTCTTGTATACACTCAGTCATGTCTTCCTATCTCATCACTGGTGCGAGTCGTGGTCTCGGAGTAAGTCAAAACGCCATTGACTGCTTTCAAGTCTATAGACTAACATGAATAGTTCGAATTTGTTCGGCATCTTGCTCAGAATCCAAACAATACTGTCATTGGCCTTGTCCGGAACAAAGTTGCGGCTGATTCAAAGGCCAAGGAAGAGGGTCTTCATAATGTCCACATGGTTGAGGCCCAGTATACCAATTTGGCGTCCCTGAAGGTGTGCAGACTCATCCGATAAACAATGTATATTGTACTCATTTCTTTCAGAAAGCTGCAGAAGTGGTCAACGATATCACCCTGGGAGGTCTGGACTATCTAGTCAACAATGCCGCCGTCGTCTCGCATGTCAGCGAATTCAAAACATTGGGCGACTTGTATGTATTGAGCCATCAGTCAATGAAGAAAAGAATCCTGAATTCTGACAATAAACAGTGACGATGATTTCGAGACTTTAGAAAAAGATCTCTTGGAGTCGCTGGAAATCAACCTTCTAGGCGTCATGAAGACAATCCATGCCTTTGTACCTCTCATTCTCAAAGGCAAGGGCAAAAAGGTCATCACTATCTCCAGTGGTATGGCCGATATTGACCTGATTAATGCGACCGAGATCGCTTTCGGTGGACCATACGCTATCAGCAAGGGCGCCATGAATGTCGCCATTGCCAAGTACAACGCCCTTTACAACAAGGATGGCATTCTTTTCCTCGCCGTAAGTCCCGGATATGTTTCGACTGAGCGAAACAATGGTATGTCAAACCCCGTACTTCGGAGATTTCATGAATGCACATACTAAAGCATATTTGCAGTCGAACCCGCACCAGAAGATGCTGACAAGGTGGCTACTCTTGTGGGCAACTTCGTCAAGTATGCACCGCATTTCCAGCGCCCTCTGACACCAGAGGAATCGGTCGCTGCGGTCCTTTCCGTCATGGATAAAGCCTCAATCGCGAATGGAGATGGCGGTGCCTTTATCTCCCATTTAGGAAATAAACAGTGGCTGTAAAGGGACTAGGTAAAGCCGAAAGAGACTGAGATATGTCATAACTTAGGTCGTTGGAAGTGTTACGATAATTAGATGATGTTACGATATGCAGGAGTACCAGCATCAGATGACTCGACAGAATCAGACCGTCTTCACTTAAATTTTATCTCCAGTGATAAATTTGCTTCCACTTTTGCCTCTATATCACCCTGCGCTTCATCCTCATCATCCCCTGTCTTACGATCAACAGGCTCTTCTCTCCGTATATCTGTTTGGTTGGTTGTCTCAGAACGTAAGTTCATAACCGCTTGTAGAGGTTCAGCCGCTTTCTCCTCTGTGATGACTGTATCTAGTATCGTACGAGATACTGATTCCCGCTCCTTACTGTCTCTGTCGGCTCTTTTCGGATAATCACAATAATGATCTGATACTCCTGACCGACTTTATGGAATTGCTCCAATAGGTCTTTAGTATTTTGTTCACGGTTTGCAGATTCTATGATCAGCATGGGCTGATGGTTCTTTTCAATTTCACGGGCTAGGTGGAATTGATCGTCGAAATCACGCTCATAGATATCAAGGTTATTAGGGATAGTAGGAAGGAGGTCTCGGGTGATAAAGTCATAGAAATGTTTTATCGTACGGCGGTGGATATTATAGGCGAAATAACCTATAAATAAAGGGTTAGAATAGATATGTTGAGGTATACATACATAGTGTGATTCAGAAAGGATCGTATGGTTTTGTATTAAACTGAGGGTCTCGAGCTAGTATATACACGTACGTACGGAGTTCTGCATATACCAAAGTGGTAAAATGCGGAATTACGATCCGTACGGTGGCCCATAGCGTCCTAAGACACAGATCATGTGACCATAATATTTGGTCCAAATCGGCTGCCGTACTTATGTACCACCAATATCTCCAGCCAATGGCAATAGCCGCGTGTTTTACTAATGTGTTACCGCCTCTCGAGGTCTTTCTTTCCTATCTTCATCGCAACTCACCGTAAATATGGTTGATCATCTCCAAGAATCCTGAATATATTGTGATCTGTATCGGAATGTCTCCAACAAAGCCAAGAGGTCCCTACCGTGTTGGGGATCCATCAAGGCGGGGATGTTGGACATGTCGCGGTAGGATAGAACATCTTCATCTTTTGGTAAAAATAGCAACATAATTGGACAATTATCCTGACACCTCTACAGATCGAAAAGTATCCTGTGATATGAGGCGCCCGGTATGCCGGAATTGCGCAGTATCTAGCCGCAACTGCCAGGGATATGGCCTACGTTTGAGCTGGCCAGCACATGATTCCCGTAGATTCATTCAACACTCTGTTCAAAATACCCTAGATGCTATGCCCGGTGGATCCGAAAATATGGATTTTATCAATACGCTGATGGTAGATGTTGAGCTTTATTATTCACCTCGTAAAAGCGTAGGTCAGTTCTTCAACTGTCTCGGATCTTGTTTATAAACTGAGCTCACCATGTGGTGCTGACTTTATTGGCTATTTATTTTAGGAAAACTACCAATTTATAACACGTGTATTTTCCTACTTTCAAACTTGGAAAAAGCACCCGTTCGAGGTGATGGGCACCACCTAGTGACATTCTGTATGGGATTATCATGTTCTTGCAGGATGATTAACCCGACTGACTATCTTCACTACAGTCATGACAACAGTAGTCAGCTCATTAACTCCAATCCGAACTGATGGACATAAGCTTTGGAAACTATTGTTCCAGCTTTCATTCTCTGACGACTCGCCGGCATCACTGGCTGTCCTACGAGCAATGTTGTCCGTGGCATCGTTATATCGCTATGGCCACGGCGATGAGCCACTCCGGCTAAAGACATCAGCACTGGAGTCACTAAACACATCCATGAGCGGGCGCATTACCGGAACAACAGAGATCTACCAGCATGCTGCCGTGGGGATGTTACTCTGTGCTTTCGAGGTATCTCTCTCGCTCCCCTTGCTGGAAACACTGCTTATAAGATTAGATCTTCCAACCATCAGAGAGCTCTTTTGAATGGCCGTTGTACGTGTCCGGCGCTAAGAGTATGCTCCATGTGATTTGCGATGGTGGATATCCCAAGCTGATGGAGGCTGACCTTCTGATACTCTGGGTACATTACCATGATATTCTGGGAAAATTTACCTCCAGACATTGGAGAGTTCAGTCAGCGGAAAATGCGTCAATATTCAAGATACCGGGTATGGCTTCCACTCTGGCTTCTGTAGCGCATGACCAGGTGAGCCTCAGTATTTCTCTCATTGCTGGATTTAGTGCTAATAGAAGTGGCAGGTTCTGGGAATATTTGGGTGCTCGTTGGAAATGATGAACCTGATCGCTAGAATGTCAGAAATTAACCCCGACAGTAAAATTCCCGACAATCAATACACCGAGCAAGCAATCCTGGATTCCATTGAACATGAGTTAATGGCAATCAACCAAGACATCACACACCTTATTGGAACGAATTCCGCAGAAGAGGTCGAACATGGGAGAAAAATATCTAAGCTCTACCAACTGGCAGCGCTGATCTATTTTGAGCGTGTGCTGAAACATTACTCCACTGGCGGGCGGTTAGCAAGATGGTCTGCTGAAGCCTTTGATATCATTCAGCAGTTGGACATATGCGAGAGGCCGTTCCCGCTGTTTTTTGTAGCATGTGAAGCGCATACTGATACACAAAGGGAGGTAATACTTTCCATATTGCGAAGAACACAAAAAGTGTCAAGCCAGCGACGGTTGTATGCTGTCCACGGGATGATTGAATCGATGTGGGTGCAATATGACCTGGCTTCAGATCAGGGAGGGACGAGTTATGTTGATGTTTTGGATACTATCATGTCTTCGAACAAACTTCTACCAACATTAGCCTGAATTTTTTGATCAGAATGAGAGGGCTGATAACTTCTCAAGTTGAAAGAAAGACCCATTCGTGATAGCCAGGACTAGCAACCTAGGTACCTCCAAACAAGAGCAACTGAAAGTCTACAATGAGTAGTGAGGTTTCCAAAACGCACTTTATTCACGAGCCCGTTATCTGATAGAAATACATACTGAGTTTGAGACAGAGTCCTGTGTCACGAGGAGTCATCAATTTGGAATTCACCGAACCTCTCCCTCAGTCGATCCTTATACTCTGTCTCTTGCTCCATCTTCATTTGAATAAACTCTTCAGCCCCGACAGACCAGTATGGGCTGACAGTCCGATAAAACAATCGTTGTGCGCAATGCTCCTCAGAAAAAATACGTTGGATATGCTCATTGAATACCCGAAGGAGACCTTTCGGGCTATTGACAGCTTGAAAGTACCAGAAGCTACCCCTGTCCCAGAATTTTCGCATGATCTCAGCCTGAGAGACATCGGAAGCCCGAACCTTCTTTTCTTGTTCCTCAAAAGCATTTATGAATTCAGTCATGACTTCTCGAAAAGTGTCGAGATGTTCTCCGTGTTCAATATCATCAATAGGCCGGCCAGTTAACCAGTAAGGTGGCATTTGCAACTCAATAGGAAGAGAGCATGCCCATTCCAGGTCAATCAGGGACGTGATATGCCAGTCTTCATCAACGAAGATATTACTTGCGTGGAGATCAGTGAGTGTAAGCACAAATGGCCCATTACGATATTGACGGGAAATGAATTGATGTAGGAGACCACGCATCATGGTCAAAGCCGCAAGTTGGTTCTGGCCATCGTTCAGATTATGAATAGCATTGAGCTGGTGATGAATGCGGTTGTCGTGTAGCTGCAAAAGATCCAAAATGTATGGCTCCACAGACTGGTACGTACAATTTCTTGGTATCGTGGGGATGCCTTCATTTTCGAAACTTTGGAGTCGTAATGTTAGCGGTCGACCTTTTAATTCAATCAGGCCATTGTCATCCAATGTTAAGGATCCGATTTGCGGTAATTTGACGCGATTAACAGAAATCATGATCTTGGCGAGATCACCGAAAAGAGTCTGTCTTCGTATCTTGTCGCTCAACAGGTGATCTACCCAGGCATTGGAGAGCATTTGACCGTTCCTCACAAAACTGATGATCATATATCCGGTTTTCAGCACATTCTTCCCCTGCATACCAATATATTGACATGTTTGAGGGAACCCATGCCATGATCGCATAGTTTGCATGATGTGCCAACGCCACCGAGAAGAAAAATTCACGCAGCTTTCTTCAGCAAACTAATAAAACAGATTTAGCCTTCCGAGGCAAATAGTGCTTATAGGCTCACATACTGTATGTCCATTTGGGAATGCAAACCCGTGGAGGGTGGGGATTGGAACGGTAGGGCAATTTTCACGTATCCAAATGTATGTAGCAACTTCACAGCGCAATTTTTCATCGACGTTCCCTGGGAGGTTCTTTTCTCCAACTTTGTAAGGCAGTGGAATTCGAATAAGGACACACTCGTCTGATGGCAGATTGACATAGACTGGAATGCAGACATTGTAACTCCCACATAACCAATCAGCTTTCTCGGCAACTTGACAATGTTCACGCGGAGATGGAACGAAACTAATCTTTCAATTTCACTCCTGTGGGCGAATAGGTATGACCAGAACTCCTTCTGTTTCTGCGGGTAGTCTAAGCGGTGCAGGATGTTGTCGTCGTCAGCCATGGCATCTTCGAGTGAGATAATTCTTCCTCTAACCAAACGAAGGCTCAGCATCTTCAGAGATGATTTCACCTGTCGCAATAAATGCAGCCCGAGTGACAGAGCGAGAGATTTTAGCTATCTTGTTTGTTTGAGTATATAAGTGGATACACGTGACTTCCTAATTGAAAGGCCCCGTATAAGCTTGGACCACCTACTATTATTTTGGGACGCGGCTGTTTGGTGTTTGGGAGCCTCAAACGCGTGACGCGTCGACATATCGCACTTGCCTCGCAGCAACTTTGGGATAATTGTACAGCAGGAGCTTGGTGTATTTGGTTTATCTTTTGGGGAGCAATGCAAGTCCTCGTGCCAATCATTTTCGAGTTTCTATGCTGACATGCCTGGAAGGTATCGACAACGCCCGACCGATGGCGACAACAGCGTCAAGACTCCCTTACAACCAAAATCCGTGAACTCTCAGCACTCCATCGATCGACTTGTAAGGCCATTCAAATGTCCGGGAACTGCAACACCGACTCGGGCGTCCGAAAAACCATCGAGAAAGAGACGAAAGGTCAACTATGCCAATGCCGATGGAAGCGTGGAAGATGGAGAGGAGAAGCCATATACAAATGATGACCGGCTTGCTTTGGAAACAAGAGAGTGCAACAGATTTCCCGCATACAAACCGAAGGACAAAGAAGTAGCTTTCAGGTCACGATTTCAGGTTCCGTTCATCAACAAAGCCACCGGCGAGTACAGTTCCAGTCGGGTGGCTCCGACATTGGGGATGCGACGAGGAGCGACATTTGTGGTCAAGCCACTACACGACCCCAGTGGAGAATTTGCGATTGTTTTATATGACCCTACAGTTGACGACGTTGCTGAGGAGCCTGCGCCCAAAAACCCAGAGGCACCGACGGAGGATACGCCAAAATTGGATGAGCCAATCATGCATAAGAGTTTAGCAGACATTCTGGGGCTCAAAAAAAACGTGGAAGAGCGGCCAAAGGTGCCTGTCGTGATTGATCCGAGACTGTGCAAAGTGCTTCGGCCACATCAAGTCGAGGGTGTGAAGGTATTTCGCCCCAAGATGATCTGTGCCATGGGAGCAAACCTGACGCTATACTTATTTATAGTTTCTTTACCGATGTGTTACTGGGCTGGTTGACAAGAATGCAAATGGATGCATCATGGCAGATGGCATGGGACTTGGTAAAACAGTGAGTTCAGCCAACCCGATTTTCGTGCCCTTTTCATACTTTGGTTCTAATGAACACAGCTTCAATGCATCACATTGATGTGGACACTACTCAAGCAATCCTCAGAGGCCGGAAAAACTACCATTCAGAAATGTGTGATTGCATGCCCATCAAGTTTGGTTGGAAATTGGGCCAATGAACTGGGTGAGTTTTGCGTGATACCCTACTTCTTGTCAGCTCAACTGACCGTATCAGTAAAATGGCTTGGAAAGGATGCCACCACACCTTTTGCCATCGATGGAAAGGCGACGAAAGCAGAGTTAATTACCCAGATTAAGCAGTGGGCCATTGCATCAGGGCGTGGAATCGTCAGGCCCGTCCTGATTGTGTCCTACGAGACACTGCGTATGTATGCGGATACTTTGAGTGATACCCCAATTGGGCTTCTTCTATGTGACGAAGGTCATCGACTAAAAAACAAGGAAAGCTTGACATGGACTGCTCTGAATCAACTCAATGTTACTCGCCGAGTGATTCTTTCTGGAACACCTATCCAGAATGATCTGTCTGAGTACTTCGCACTTCTTCACTTTGCGAACCCGAATCTTCTCGGCTCCCAGGCCGAGTTCCGGAAGAGATTCGAACTTCCGATTCTGCGGGGTCGGGATGCCGCAGGCACAGATGAAGAAAAGAAGCTGGGAGACGAACGATTACAGGAGCTCTCTGGGGTTGTTAATAAGTTCATCATCCGCCGAACGAATGAGCTCCTCTCGAAATACTTGCCCGTCAAATATGAACATGTTGTGTTCTGCAACATGTCAACGTTCCAGCGCGGTCTGTACAATCATTTTATCAAGAGCCCGGAAATCCAGAGCCTTCTTCGCGGAAAAGGCAGCCAGCCGCTAAAAGCAATTGGCCTTTTGAAAAAGCTTTGCAATCATCCAGATCTACTTGATCTGGCAAATGAACTTCCAGGATGCGAGCACACATTCCCTGAGGACTATTCACCCCCCGATTCTCGAGGTCGGGATAGAGAAATCAAGAGTTGGTACTCCGGCAAGATGATGGTGCTCGACCGTATGCTAGCCCGAATCCGACAAGACACCAACGACAAGATCGTCCTCATCAGCAATTACACTCAAACCCTCGATCTTTTCGAAAAGCTCTGCCGGTCGCGGGGCTACGGCTCCCTGCGTCTCGACGGCACCATGAACATCAAGAAGCGCACAAAGCTAGTAGACAAGTTCAATGATCCAGACGGTCAAGAATTCATTTTCCTTCTGAGTAGCAAAGCCGGTGGATGTGGACTGAATTTGATCGGCGCCAACCGCCTAGTCCTATTCGATCCAGACTGGAACCCAGCCGCTGACCAGCAAGCGCTGGCACGAGTGTGGCGAGACGGACAAAAGAAAGATTGTTTCGTCTACCGGTTCATTGCAACAGGCTCGATCGAAGAGAAAATCTTCCAGCGCCAGTCTCACAAACAGTCCCTCTCGTCGTGTGTCGTGGACTCCGCAGAAGACGTCGAGCGTCATTTCTCCCTCGACTCCCTGCGCGAACTCTTCCAGTTCAAGCCAGATACTCGGAGCGACACCCATGACACTTTTAAGTGTAAACGGTGTCGACCTGATGGCTTGCAATATGTCAAGGCTCCCGCTATGCTGTATGGTGATACCAGTTCGTGGAACCATTTTGTCAATACCGGCGAGAAGGGGCCGCTCGGTCAAATCCAGGATCTGCTTCTTCGGCAAGAAACAGGGGAACAGGATGTTTCGGCTATTTTCCAGTACATCAGTCACTGATATTACTTATTTGGCATATGGGCAGGTTCGGAGTTTACTATACAGTATTGGGAAGGATTGTATCTTTTGGAGCGTATTGTTTTGGGAAGCGGATGATTATGACCATAGAACGAATTCAATGCTTTTGTTTTTGTGTTACAAAAATATATATCTTGCCTGACAATCAAGGGATGAAAATGCCATACTCAAAGATACCTGTTCAGTCAGGAGACGCTTGGGACAAGTTAGGAAATGTGATGTCATAGAGAACTATCGATACATATCCACAGGCGATACCTATTTCACAAACGAACGATCCCGGGTATGATCACCATGAAACAATCCAGCTAAGTACAAGACACAAAAGAAAAGTCTATGCAGGAGACAAGGTCCAACTCTAGCTACACATGTAACTATTTCTTGGACTTCCGACCTCCAATAGTCAGCCGACCCAAATTAGGAAGACTCGACTTGTGTTTATGAGAAGGCCCAGCCTTCGCCGTACTTGTGTCCAACGCCCGCCCGGCAGTGCCACCCGCACCACCGATACCCGAACCTCCAGCAGGAGCATTACTAGGCCCCGGGGCACTGCGCGGAGTATCGGGCAGACCCGATCGGTCCTTGGGACGATCCGCAGCAGCGACAGACAGAGCAGCTGTAAGGGAGGGATTCATCAGTGGACCAGACTGGTCGAAGGAGTGGCGGGCAGAGCCACCCTGGGCGCGACGGGCCCGTTCCTGGACGGCCTTGAATTTGTCGAGGAGGTCCACCCAGCGGATGGAGTTCTCGTCGCGGGGTTTCAGGCGGGTGCCTGTGGAACGGTCGAATGGTGGGGCCACTTGGGTGGTGCTAGGGTAGTTCGTCTCAGTATACCTTGGGGTAGAATGCGGGGGGCAGGGGCCATACCTGCGCGGTCCGCCGTGGAGGAAACCAATGTTGCTGACGCTGTTCAGACGGTTTTTGAGGGCGGCGAAGGCGGAGCTCTGGGGGAGGAGCATGAGGACGCCGTAGAGACATTTGTAGAGGAAGGGGTATTTTTCAGGTTCGAGGAGTTGAAGGCGGAGATCTGTTGCTGGGGTTAGTTTCTGGGATTTGGGGTTGTGTTAGTGGAGAGAAACGGACATGTGAAGACTGGCGACTCTAGTAGTTGCACCAGCTTGTCAATTTGAATTAGCATATTAACTGTCATTTCCAATTCGGCACTGTGGATGGTTTTGTCAGAAGATTGTCATGGTGGAAGAGCTGGTATACTTACAAGATCTGGAGGAGATTGTATGCCTGCTCATAGGCCTGGGCAAGAAGACAGAGAGAAAACGTGGAGACAGCGTTGTGGCACCACGATCTGAAGAGTCCAACAAAGAACATTTGACCATCCTAAATGATTCATTAGTCTCAAGAGTGAACGCCAAGGTATTCGGGGGTGCTACTTTCGAATCGAGATTTCTCAGCCGCTTTCTCAATTCTGAGAGTTCGGGCGCAGTGATGAGGTTGTTGTTCAAGTTCTGGACCATAATACTGGCAAACTCGAGATCCTGATGATATGTTAACAAGGAATATTACCAAAATGTGCAATAAAAATCACCTCTTCCTTCTCGAGGCAATCTGCCAAAGTCCGGTAGATACGTTCTGGGCTTAGGTTCAGGGAAAGCTGCCGGATGATCAGATTCCCGCGCACTTCGAGTAAATGTCTGTCTGTAGAGTAGAGCTGTAACAAATTGACCATGAAAGAAGTAAAATAGCTGTCCTCGCTGTTTCTTGAGATCTGTGACAGGAGTTGCAGGTCTTTGGTTACAACCGCCTCTGAAGGGTCGGATAGCGTTTTGAGCAAAGCTGGGAAAGTACCGTCGTTGAAAGCGACAACCTTCCGCGGGGCTTTACGGTGGAGCATGATGAGCCATACAAGGGCTGCGACTCTAGTAGCTTCATTCTCATTGAGGAATTGGAGAGTGAGGGAGTTGACAGCAGCAGCGTAATCAAGGTCAGCAGGAGGCTGTGGCGTGGAAACAACACTACTACGTGATGTAGCCGCAATAGAATTATCTTGTGTTGATTGTTTTTTTGTGTCCAGGCTTGCTGTCTCCGAAGGCCTGACTCCGGGAGTTGATGATCTTCGCTCTAAGGTTTCTCTGCTGGCCGTAGTGGTAGGGATCTTTGATGATGGCACATGACATTCCTCGGTAGTATCATCTGACAAGGAGTAGATGTATTGGACAAGGGACGTGTTGACCTGGTTTGCTGCTTTTCGTACTTGATCTGAGCCACTGGACATCGCTGGGAGTACCTGAGTTAACAGCCGAGGAACGAAAGGAAGAATATCTTCAGGGCTGATCTCGAAAAAGGAATCAAGCCACCGAAGGGCCGTCAGTTGCATTTCCTCCTCTAGACAAATGTAAGCATATGATAACCAGAAATATAAAGACACTCTTACCATAGGAGGTGTTGACAAAGCTGACAAGAATATCGAGGATCTTGGGGTGGTCGATTTGTACATCTTGTCCTGGAATCCAATCTCCATCGGCCTGGTTGATTTCATCATCAAGGGTCGCGTCTGAGGCCGAGTCTGCGATGGCAATTTCCTCCCTGTCCTCATTGGCACCATCAGCCTGGGCATTTTGCTCCGTCATATTGCTCGTCGCGTCGCTCATGACTGAGTATCTGTTGCTTTTCTGACCCTTTCGGCTTTCTTCAATCCCCTTTTTAAGTCGGGTAATCCGCTTAATCTCCGACAAGAACCGATCAAGCAAACCCTGTGTTGCAACGTTAACGTCTTTGCTGGGTCCGCCAAGGAACTTGATCAATCCCTCTAGGAACTCTGGCAAATAGCTCACGAGCTCTAGGTCAGGGATTGTATCTAGAAGAGTAAGCCATGAGACCAGAAAGTTGCGGGTGAACGGTTGGATCACATGAATCCGATCTTTAAGCAGAGGAATGAATCGAGCAAGAGAGAAGGCCATAGGAAGATCTTGGTCTTCCTGATTCTCTAATTCTGGGGGTTCCTTCTCAGAGAGCTGTAGGATCGAGACATACGATGCCGCCGATTCAGCTACAATATCTTTCACCAAGCGATCCAGAAGCTCTGCGCCGTTCTTGACTGATAGCTCCGAATCGGACGCAAGCTATGTATGTCAGCATATGCGATACCCCGCTTAAGCGTGTCGACACCCCTTACCTTAGCTAACGCATCGAAAACCTCGTTGAAGAACAGCAATATCTCCCCCTTGGCCACTTTGGCTATATTGTACATACTCTCACATGCGTAGTACCGCACTCGTGCATCTTGGTCGGAGAAGCATGCGAGCACAGGCGGGACAATTTCACCCAAGTACGGCGCAACTCCTTCCTATATCCCAGATATCAGCCAAGGGGTCCTCCAAATCCTTGGATATAGCTATCACTCACCGATCCCAGCGCAATCGAGGCAGCAGCCAACCCGATCAGACCTCCATTCCGGGCGTGGGGTTGGTGCACGGCGTATGCATAGTCGTGGCAGAGCTGTTCAACGATCTTTTGTATTTTATCCTGGTCTCCTTGGAAAACAGCGTCACGGACAATTTTTTCGAGCCTGGTGTAAATAAACAGCGATCAGTATGGGTTCTTTCGAGTGCGGAGTGATGAAACTAAGCTGGCATACTCCAAGGCTCCCTGCTTCCTCCTGTCGTAGAGCTTGTCATTCAATAACCGCTGGATTGTGGTATCCATCGCTCAAAGCAGCCTATGCTGCAATCTTTCCCCAGCTATGGTCGGCTAAGCACTGCTCATTGTGAGCAGAATGTATCTTAGCCTATTAGGCGGTGTCGCGAGACGGTTAGGAGCTTGAAAGAGGAGTGGGGGTCGTAGGTATGGCAACAAGTTTTGCAAACAAGGAAGCTCAGAACGTCAGGGAGCTTTTCGATCGAGATAAATAGCAACAATGCGACCAGTGGAAAAGGGAGATGCGTTGGCAGTGTGGAGATGGAGAGACCAGAGCGGTGGTGTGACGTAAGTCCGCGGACTTGAACCTTACCGCCTTTGACCTTCTAGGTCTATATTCTGAAGATAAATCCAGTACAACTGCTGTACTTAATGCTTTTAGAGGCTCAATATGATTATCTTTAGGTTCAGCGAGCATGGAAGCCCTTTGATGGTCTTTCCAAGCCAGGTGAAAGAAGTCCAAAAAGAACAAAGAACCGAAATATTCCAAACAGAGCGTGACTAGCTGCGCCCCCTTTTCTATCTCAATTCCAACATACGATACGGAGTACTAAGCACGTGAATGAGAATGTTTTCAGAGATAAATGCATTCAATCTCAGATGTATGAGCATCAAAATCCAAGTAGATGAAGACTATGGAGCAAGATGAAGATGAGAAGCAGTAAAAAGACCAAGCAGGCATATCGCAGGAGATATCAAAATTCAAAAGGAGAAAGCAGATCCCAACTTTTCGAAAATTGTTTCCCGCTGACACATAGAAATCATAAGACCGAGACGCGAGGGTAAGTAAAACAATCCCAGAAACGAAAAAGAAACAAACATGGTGTGACTGTACAACGAATTCGTCCAGACTCCGCGGAAGCATCACGCAAAGGTATAGAACAAACAGAAGAGGAAAAAAAAAGTCTTCAGAAAAGAAAGAAAAAGGGTGAAAATGCTAAAGACAAGTAGAAGAAAATGAAGGGCGCCAATATCACAATGAATCGCTTAGGCATGTCGACTTGAAATATGCATCACTATCGTGACGAGTTGCTGCCCCATCCTGATGGGCGCCAGCTACCAGTGGAGTGTTTGGAGACGGTACTGGTAGGCGAGCTTGTGCCGGTTGAGTAGACGTATTCGCCGTCGACGTATTGAGCACCTGTCGAGAATGTGCTACGGTGCTTGCGGCGGGCATAGCGCTGTTCAAGGCGGTAAAGCTCGAGTTCTGCGTCGATATTAGCTATCTTTCCAAGTATTTCAAGGTCGCGTTGCTATTCCGCAGGGAAGTAGCATTCTGGGTGTTCTTCGGGAGTCACGGAACGTACTGGCTTGTAGCTTATCGATGAGACCCATTGTGACGGAAGTGATGGATATGTTCAAGAACTTGGGATCTTGGAAGTTGTCGAGAATGGACACCAGATGCTAGGTAGATAGAGAGGGCGACGATCTCCACGTGGAACGCGGTGAAAATGTAATGCGGAGCTTCGGGAAATTTGACGTTGCTGTGTGAACCACGGGTCAGTCCCAGGAGTTTCAATGTTGACAACGTCCCCCGTACTTCGTACTCTGCCTTGATATATAAGTAAAAGATTGGTGCTTACTTGATAATAGGGTTTCAGTTAGCGCTGGTCTAAAAGCCCCAAACTCTTAGGGTATGCAGGAGTCGCGAGGAGTTGCAGTGTTCGAGATCGAGGGAGGTTAAGGAATGTAAGTTGTAGATTGTAAAATTTAAATTCAATGAGAGTAAAGAGGATAAAGTTCCCCAGAAATAAAAATGAGATTAGAGAAGAAAAAGAGAAGCCTTGCAGAAAGGAAAAGGGGGGTGTGGAGAGAGACTCGACTAAACTAGCGCGAGTCAATATCCGGAGACAATGCGTATGTGTTTCATCTATAGATCTTACATCTTTTCTATTCTATATTGTATATGGATTGATTTATTTATAATTAGAGATCGAATTGTGAATTGAGCATATGTACTTTGCACTTTGTTCTCTGTACGGAGTACACTGTACATATCCTGAAGTCGGGCTCTTTTAATAGACCCCACGCGACAAACCGTTCTCGACGTTCTATTCGCACAGACCCATATCAATTATATTAATCACGCATTTATACTAGTACGACTAAATTGATACTAGGTTGCATTTGACAAGTGGATATGGGCGTCTGTTATCTTATTATATTGGGGGAACTTCCTAATCTCTACAGGGTACGGAGTGTTCCGTACAACGTGGTCGATATTATATCTGTGCTTTCTGGAGAAAGCCTTATTTAGAAACTATTGATTTTACTATTGGCTCCATCCACTCAAATTATCCCAATAAAATGTATTTTGACAAATTATTTTCCTAAAACATTAACATCTGCTACGGAGTACTCCGTACTAGTTCAGGATTCAGCAATAATCCCCTAGACAACTTTAGGGCATTTTTGGAGTTTGCCCAGAGCACTTTCTAATTTAGCTCGTTTCAACTTGCCAGTCCTTTTGTGAAACTCTGGGCTGGATCGCGTTGGAGATTAATGTCCGAATAACGTGACCTTTGATCACGTGAATTCATTTCTAATTCTTACGGACCAAGGAGCCGAAGTGTACCAGATAGTTGAGGGTAAACTATGAAACTTGCCAATTTGATTGATGTTCAGATATCTTATTGAACGGTGGATTTCATGCTAATTAAATTCTCCCACCTTGGTAAAATGCGACTCATAACTCCACAGAACTCCACAGGCACTCCGGCTCATCCCAGATGCCTCACCCACGTGTTCTACTGCGCACTATTCTATCCCGATGCCGAGTGGCAGATAGGAATGCCGTACAGACTAAATTGAGTCACTATGTATGAATATATCGCATTGTGCCTGTAATAACACCCCGCACTATGCTTGATTGGGTTGATCGCGTTGTCATGCTGGCTTCGAGGCTATGCCCCGCATACGGCCACAACTTCAGATTCCACACAAAATTGTAGCTTTCCGGCCTTCCCGACTTAGAGCTCTAACTATCAACAAACACAAGACTGCGAGACTATGGCCGAGCTAGTGGGGCTTGTCGCCAGTATTGGCGGCCTTGTCCAGATTGCGGGACAAATTACCAAACTCAGCTACAGTTACGTGTCGGACATCAAATCTGCCCCCAAAACCCAAAAGCTGTATCTCCAAGAGGTTTCAGCGCTCACAGATGTGCTTTTTCGAGTAGAAAAGGCAATAAGAGAGACCGAAACTTCCAGTTTACAACTGCCCTCGTGGCCATCTTCGCTCAATGGAGAGGCTCTTCAAGAATGCCGCCGCCACTTGTCGGTCCTTCACCTTGATCTCGATAAGCGGCTACGCCGTCTTGTATGGCCGTTTCAAGAAAAAGAGCTCAAAAAATATATTGATCTTTTGCATCGCTATCGAGAACTCTTTGTCGATTTCCTTTCAATAAATATGATGTTCGAAGACCCATCTTCTCTTCCAGGCAAACACTTGGAAAGTAAACTAATTTGCAGCAGGTCCGTTGCCACTGCTACATACAAAACAGTTACAACCATCGACCAAGGTAGTGTCCTTTGAATGGTATGGATCCTCATAGCTCTAATTCAAACTATAGAGCAGATTAGGCAGTCTCTTTACTCGCTTTTCCCGGCGTCAGATAACCTTTTACGCGCTAAACCAAACGCTTGTCCTGGAACTGGGCAATGGTATTTGAACTCACAAAACGTGGAGACTTGGTGTACCGGAGACCCATCACTACTATGGTGCTACGGAGCCCGTATGAATTGACCCTTTTCAAATATTTTCTATAACATTTGGGAGCTTGCTGACTCGATAATAGCTGGTGTCGGAAAAACACTACTTTCGTAAGTTCTACTCGAAACCTTCTAGTCATAGCTTTGCAATGTCTAACACAGCTAGATCAATCACCATCAGCCACCTATGGGATATGAGATCAGAGAATACAAGCTCCGTGGTATATGTATTTTGTCAATTCTCATCTCGGGAGCAACAAACCCTCACAGCAATTTTACAATGCATGATCCGACAAGTGATCGAACAAGCAGACGAAAAAGTGCTTTTCGCAATGAAACATATGTTCGCCGATCCAATGAAGCAGCGTGAGCCTGCAGGCCTCGCTGAATCTTTTGCAACGTCATGTGAGCTGAAGCCGACGTACCTTCTAGTTGACGGCCCGGATGAAGTAACTGGAGCAGATGGTTTGCTCCCTTATCTGTCTTCCTTTGTGGAAAATGGGTGCAAGGTAATGGTAACGAGCCGAGACCTTGGTCATATCAGGAAGGCTATGCATTCTGCAACCAAGATGGAGATATGTTCGCAATCTGAAGATTTGGAGATCTACATCGACTCCCGCTTTCAAAAGAATGAGCTTTCTCGAGGGGCACAGAAATTGATTGGAAAAATCACAGAAAAGTCGGGGAATGTGTACGTACTACCATTGGTTAATGTGAACAGCACTAACAGATACTAGGTTCTTACATACACAGCTTATTTTGGATGAGATCTTAGATCTCACCACTGTTCGCCATATGCAAAAGGCTCTCGAAAAACAGTCGACAGGGTTGAATCAAGTGTATCAATCAACACTACACCGAATCGACATGCAACCAATGGCAAAGAGGGAACTTGCTCGGCGATTCATCGGATGGGTTGTCTTTGCGAAGAGACGTCTAAAAATCGATGAAATTATCCATGCCTTCGCCGTTGAAGATGATGAGGATTATATTGAAGAAGATAACTTCGTCAGCCCTGACCTTCTTCTCCGATCGTGTGTTGGTCTAGTGGTGTTGCATGATGACAAGACCGTTGCAATGGTCCATGCGACTGCTTACGAATTTTTCGCATCCACGGTGTTGCTGCCGCATGACATGGAGACCGACATCGCAGAAACATGTCTACGCTACATGTGTCTCAGTCCGTTCAAGGAAGGGCCATGCGCAAGCCGCGTTGAGATGTCTCGCCGCTTCCATGAAATGCTGTTTCTGGAATATGCCTCAGGGCATTGGGCGAGACATCTTAAAGCAATAGAAAATATGGGGGAAGATCTAAAGTCACTTATCCAGTTTTTGATTTGCGACGAGAATCTTCTGAATGCCGCTGTTCAGGCATTACACTTCCGCAATGAGCTCGAGGCTGATCTGCTGGACTCTCTTTTTGACTCGATCCCTCAAAATCAAACAGCATTGCATGTCGCTGCTTATTGGGATCTTACGGGAACTCTCAGGACGTTGGTCGAATCAGGGCTAAGTACATCTCTAGCAGATACTCATGGCTGGACACCTCTCCACTACTCTTGTGCAAACAGACATTTTTCCTCTGCTGAAATTCTCGTGGGAAGCGGAGCGGATGTCAATGCCACAGACAATCAAGGGTGGACCCCCCTTTTCTGGGCATCATTCACTGGAAGCTTAGACATTGTTCGTCTTCTATTATCCAAGCGCGCAAAGTATACGAAGCGTAGCAAATATGGCTGGACAGCATTGCACTGGGCTATATCCCGCGGTGAAACCGATGTGGTTCTGGAGCTTGTGAAGCATCACCAAATGCATCTATCGCGTGTTACCAAGGCCGATATTCGGACTCTTAGCGTCGATGATGTGAGACAACTGAACACACCGGAGAATATCTCACCAATACAAATAGCAGCCGAGAGCAAGAATGCTGAAATATTCGACTTGCTTGTTGCTCACTTCGAGGCACCGGATTCTACTGGAGAGGAGGAGTTCCAGAAAATTTGGTCTAGAGAGAGCTTCAGAGTCCCTGTTTCTCAGAGCATGTGGCAAAATTCGATAAAGGCACAAATAAATGACGACTGGAGTCACAAGGCGGAATTGATTGCCGGAGAGAAATACATAGAGGAGAACCCGAGCATGTACTTCGAGCATGAGTTTATGAAGGAAGATCCATCCGCATGGAAGTCAATTCTACTTGGCTCTGCCATTCACGACGCAGATTTCCAGGCAGCTAAACTATTCCTCGAACTTGGTGCAGATGTGAATTACATTTCTGAAAAGGGATCGCTGTTGAGTGTTGCTGCGCACCAGAAAGACCCGCGTTTTGTTCAACTCTTACTGGAAAAGGGTACCAAAGGTCTACACACTGAAACTGAAGAGCCTGCACTGCACATTGCTACCCGCCATGGGAACTTGGAAACCATGAAAGTCATTCTCGATAGTGACCATGCTCATGTGAATGATTGGTATCAGAGCGAAACACCTTTGCACGCAGCCGCGCGTCAACAAGATCCACAATTCGCATTGCTTTTGTTATCTCAAGGGGCGCAGCCCGAGCTCCGGGGTTGGGGTGAATTGACTGCGCTGGAAATCGCTGTGACGAACGGATTCGTCGAGACCGCGCAGGCTCTGATTGATGGTGCAGATTTCAATCACTTGTTCCAGGCCGCCTACGAAGGTGAATGGCAAACCTGCCTGATGACGGCCGTTGTACTTGCTAGTGGTGACAATAGGGAGCCGGGAAAGAGAGCCTCGGGAATCGAAATAGCTCGCATGCTGCTTTCAAAAGGGGCCGATCCCAGTTTCCAAAATGAAGAAGGCAGGACTGCTCTTCATATGGCAGCAACTTCTCGCAGTGTGGAATGTGTGGAACTTTTGATGGCGGCTGGATGCAACATCGAGACCGTTGACAAGATGGGGCGGACTCCAATCCATACCATGATGGAATCCGTGGTGCCGAGTTGGGATGTGGCAGAGGTGGAAGAAGTCCTTCGCCTGTTGCTCCAAGGATTATCGGAGGACGTCGTCATTTCATTGCTGGCCCAGGAAACGTGTCAGTCTATTGTTTCCGAGTCCTCGGGCGATAAAAACATTCAACTAGACACACCATTGACTAGTGCATTGAGGCGGAGATCTTGGAGTATAGCTCGTCTCTTGATGGCTCTTGGAGCGCAGCTCCCCACCGGCTTTAGTTTCCAGCCTATTATGGCCGATGCGGTCAGAGAGCTTGAGTATCAGATTGTGGAGAGACTTATTGAGAATGGGACGTCACCAGGTGATGACGCTATCTTTAAATTGGTAGAGGGCATTGTTACCCGATGTATGGGTGAGCCTTGCTCTCTGCTTTCTTCGCCTAGCAAGAAGCGCCCATCTATGGCTCAGATCATGCGTATATTTTCAAAGGCAAAGCTTCCCAAGCTTTCAAAACTTCCGCACGAGGATATTGCGCAGGCCTCCCAGCAAATTCTGACTAGTTTGGCGTCGGCGGGCGCAGACGCGAACTTTTACGATCCAGAAGAAAACACAACTCCTCTTCTGCTCGCAACTGAGAAGATCCCGATTGCTCTGGTTACGGCCACTCTATTGGAGATTGGTGCTGATTGCTTCTATTCCTTTGAGGATGGATTTGATTCCATTTTAACAGCTGCAGCAGTGAACAACATAGAGTCACTGTGTTGCCTACTAGCACATGCCTCAACCTCGCCAAAGCTGGGGCATTGGACGCAGCATTTGGAGTATCAGGCGCGGCTGAGCAACACAGAAATCTTCGACTGCATATGCCTGGCGTTGAAACGCGCTCAAAAGATAGACTACCAGAACTCAAAAGGTCAAACATTGTTGCACCTCGCCGCAGAAAAAGGGAACATCGATTTGGTCCTCAGTTTGATCTGCCATGGTGCCCATGCAGATATACCGGATGAAGATGGCTTGTTTCCCATCCATTGTGCCGCATTTTTAGCATATGACAAGGGTCGAGATGATAAGGAGCGCCGGCAGCCTCGGCATGATATAGTACAGCACCTTCTTCCGATGAATGTGGTGAAACATACTTCCGATCATAATTCCTATCGCTCTGTTGAGGCTGAAACCTCCCTCCAAGACGCAAAAGTTTGTGAGAAGATATCAAACACAGTGAACACAGACGGACACACGATGCTTTGGAATGCTTTCCTCTATCACGACGAGGTTTTGTTTCTACATCTTATCGAGCTCGAGGCCGATTTTAACTCTTGTGCCACAATTTCTGGAAGCCAAAGCCACCCGTCACTTCTTTACCATGCATCTGTTCGTGGGATGGCAAAAGCAGTGTCTTTTTTGCTAGAATGCAACGTTGATATTGAAAAGGCTGACAGCTGTGGATGGCGACCACTGCACGGCGCATCCCACTGGGGCCAGGTTGAAATAGCCGAAAAACTAATTACGGCCGGAGCTACCGTCTGCGCTTCCACAACGAAGTTCCAAGAAGATTCCTTCACGGGTTCTGATCCTGACGGGGAATTATGGAATGGTCATCCTCTCCATTTGGCCGTAATGGAGGGTGACGTTGACATGGTTGAGCTTCTTTTGAAGCATGGTGCAGATGTGGATGCAAAGGCAGGATGCTTTTCCAAAAAGTCCAATGGAAGAATATGTGGACCAACTGCTCTTCACATAGCATTAGATCCACAGACATGGTATCCTCAAGACGATGAAGACAGTCATGAAGACCGCCATGAAGAATATTTGAAAATTGCTAGAAAGCTGATTGAAAAGGGGGCTTCTATCGAAGGCGTCATGGATCAATTGCGGGTGAATGATATCCCAAAGTTCGAAGGGTTTGAAGATGTCTGGGATAAGATTCGAGGCTCTATATAGGATTGAGAAGTTGTGACATATTTACTACCAAGTCCAGTGACCCAATGCTTCCAACCTTCCAAGGTCAACTCCATCGATTCACAAACTTAATGACCTTTCCCGCAGTCGCACTCCGTTCGAACCCTTTAAGGTCATCGAGAAACACGATTCGGAATAGATGTTCATTCTCAGGGAACAAAAGGAAGAAAGCCTCCAATCGTTTGATAAGATCATCGTTCGATAAAATGCCGTCTCGGGGCGGAGACCGAAGGAGACGAATTTCCAGCGTTGCCTGCGGTGTACTCTCCAACCGGTCCAAAATGATCTGCCACTGCAGAATACCACAATCTTCTTCCCGCATCAAGGCATCAATCCTCTCAAACTCGAAATAAGAGGCATACCACTTGAAGCTGAAGCGATGGTCGCGGCCGCGCATGCGCAGCACACGTAAATGTTCCCGATCAGCCTCGGGAATTACAGCACAGGCCGCGTCCGGGAGCGGGTGGATGGAGCCAATATCGCCAGTAATGTAGCGGACCAGCGGGTTGCGCAGTCGCTGGAGAGATGTCTGCACGATAAGGCCTTGTTCTCCTTCTGGAAGCACTGTCGACTCAGACGAAGATACGCCATCGACGGCAGAGGGAGAGACGATCTCAACCAGAACATTGCGCATGTCGATGATGAAGTCTGTGCTGTTGCTAGTCACACTCTGCTCTCCTGTCAGATCCGGACTGCTAATTGCCCAGGGCCCTGCCTCGGCACTTCCCATGACGGAAATTATCTTGACATCGCCGAGAATCGTCTTGATAAACGCTCGCTGGGGACCAGTTAAGGGCTCGGAGGTGTAGACAATCTTTTCGAGACAGATGCGATTACGGTCCTCCGGCGCCATGAGAGAGATATGATAGACGGTTTGGACGACCTGGCTGCCGTCGCCCGTGAGAATGTTGACATGGTAGTCGGCCAGAGACTTAGCGACATCCACAGGTGGCATGTAGCTTCCGGCGCTGAGAACAGTGGCTCCTGCGTTTTCCATGATTTCTGTCATGAGATCAAGTGACCTGATTGTTTCCATAGTTAGGACCTTTGCTCCATCTTGTATCAATTCGGATCCAAGTACCTGTAGAACCCTCCAGCCAAATGAGTGGACAAGACCCAATCCCCGGGCTGAATGACACCGCACAGTTTGAGAAATTTCCCCATCTGCAATCTCTGTTGACGGTTCTCATGTGCATCCACGGCGAACATCATGGGGACCCCGCCAGAGCCGCCACCCGTAATGCTCATGTAGGAACATTCTCGATATGTGTTCCGCGGGTCCACATCGTGTGTGAGTCGTTCAATGACCTTGTACCTGAATTAAATTAGCCTAGTTACAACGAAAGGTCTGCCAGCATTGACTTACAGTGTTTTCTTCCCGAGAAGTGGCTGCTCTTGCAGCTCAGGCTTTGCATTTTGTTCAGCGACCAGCTGCTGAAGTCTATGAATAGCTTCCGCATTGGCGGGGTATGCAATCTCCGGGTTATAGAAAGGGTGTGTCTTGGCGACAGCCAGAACCTCTGCCAATGAATAAGTTTCTGTTGCCATTGCTGCGAGAATCTCAGGGCGGTATATCCAATTGTGATTAAAAGATACAGAGAATAGCTGGACTTTAAGGGGTATAACTTACATGCAGAGAACAGAAACTATGACAAACAGTATCTTGCGATGAAAATGAAGTTGTGATGTATCATCGGGATTTTAGGGTTCAGTATGGAGTAGCTGAACTACGTGCTTTTACGCGATGTAGATCAGCTGAATATGTGGAGTTCTCTTCCCGTTCTCCACAGAACTGCACGATGCATGTAAGACATCGAAACATCGGAACCTTCAAATTTCCGTAAAAAGAATAAAAAGAAATATGTACAGTACTCTAACCCGTATTGGGACACTTTTCAGGCCGAATTATGGGGTAGTATTACTGAAATTATATCCTATACCCAAATCGATACCCAAGCTGACGACCTTTCTCCCAAGATGCAAGGATAACTTTCTTAGACTACCCCTCTTCCTCGGAATGCGGCGTTGTATCAATGCTCTCAGATCGTAAGAAGCACATTGCAGCAGCAGCAAGGAGCAAATATAAGAGAGCTATTACCATTAGCAAATCATACGTGCAGGTGAGATTAAATGGCTTACCCCAAGTCCAGCTCATGCATTTATAGCCGATAATTTCCTTCAGCAAACCACCTAGGATTGGACCAAGCATCATACCGAGGGAAGCAGCAACATCCATCATAGAGAATACGCGTGACATGCCTCCTTTAGGCCCGAAAATACCTGGGGACTTTTCCTGAATTGCTTTAGCAGTAGCTAGAGTATCTTTGTCAGTCATAACATTTATATCTTAGAGGAATATGACTTACCCGCCAGTTCGACAGGCGCGATACCAGACACAAATGGCCGCAATGTGCCTACAGCCACGATAGAGGTTATGTAGAGCGGTTTGCCCATAGCATAGGCACTCGCCCAAGGAATATCGCTACCAGCAATACCCATTAGGCCAAATGCGACTGCCTCGAGAATGGCACAGACCACCGTAGGTGATCGTGTTCCGATTCGATCACGGACCCAACCAGCAAGAGGGCCGATCAAAACACCCGGAACGACAAGGCCAGCAAAAAGGAGTCCAGTAGCACTGGGACCCCATCCGAATTTCTCTTCAACGTGGAGAGGAAGCGTGGCATCGAAACTCGTGCTCATAGTTGTACCCATCACTATAATCAGCAGACAAGTTATGATACGACCGTTGCATAGCATTATATGCCAGAAATTTCCGATTGTCGGTGGAATTTGTTCTTCGGAGGAGGGAAGCAGACTCTCGGTCTCTGTTGGACCGTCCTTGGGCGTAGAGGGAGGACTAGCTGGACTCTCGATCATACAAACGCGTGCAATGAAGTCTATGGTCAGGACCAGAAGCGGGACCGACCATGTTATCCAGTAACCAGTAGCCTCCAAAAGCAACCCAGCAATTGAAGGCCCGCTGATTGTCCCGGTGTTCGCGCAAGACATCATCATGCTCAATGCGAATCCTATATGGCTCGGGCTGATAGTGTCGGCGACTGTTGCAAAGCCGACAATCCACACAGCAGACCCCGCAATACCTTGCATCACACGGCCTAACAGTAGCATTGGGACTGAGTGAGCGCTGGCGACCATGCATGTGCCGATAATACACCATCCAAGAGATAGTAATAGTGCGGTCTTGCGATCTTGGTATTTATCGGCGAAATGACCGATAATAGGGCCCGAGATCACAGCCAGAGTACCATGGAGGGCAAGAACGGCAGAGGTCAACTGCTGAGCTTTGGATGGCTGGACATCCAGGCGATTCTGGAGCATTTCACCAAGGATAGGAACTAGAAAGCCATAAAGGAACGTCTCTATTCGGTATTAGAGTGTTGTTTAGAGTCTGTATAGGGGTATACAAACCAGCAAACAGCGCGATCGCGACGGTAGAGAGAATGAACCATTTTGACGAACGCCAACTGTAGCCTATTGGTAAAGGCTTCTTGTGAATGTCTTTCATGTTTGATCAGAGGATGGTTGAAACTTGGAGCAATATTCAACGCCATATAGAAATGCATTTGTCCAAAATGCAGATCTCCTGAAGCCTGATTTCAGCCCTGGTGGAGATAGCCCAGGAGAAGATCATCCCTCGCATAAAATTCAATGCAGAATTTCCCGATTTGGCTTGTTTCTTTTCTTTTTTTTGGTTTTGTACACATGTCGTCCTTACGCTCGTCATATACACGTGAAGTTCCTAGGACCCCGAATGGATTCAGCCAGCCTCTGGGCAGGATCACGATTCGCCATTGCTGACAAGGGATATAAACGCATTGAGAGTGTTCGGACCTTCAGATCCACACGGAATAAAGCTGAAATCTCTTTGACATACTCAATCTGCATGCCTGTCACACAGTAATTACATGCGCCTCTCTTTTCCTATATGATCGGTCATAATATCCAAATCTGGATCTAGCTACGGTCTACTCCATATTCCATATTCTGTACTCCGTATACTGCATATGCATTTGCCCCACAATATATTTTTATATTTTTATATATTTGGTCTATTTGAAGCTGTTGGTATATGTAGTTGAAGCGCGGACTACTCTTTTGTGGTTGTTGCGCAAAATGTATCGATTTTTCCGTGCTGTTACTACAGCAAGAGTGAGGACTGCTAGCTATTCTACCCATCCTATTAGTATGTTTTGTCTATTGTTTCTCTTTTCTAATACTGACCATGACAAGGAGATCTAAGAATTTCTAGTCTCGTACCCCTGATCGACGTCGCCAAATCATCACTGGCCTCTGATGCCTCTCACCTGAGAGAAGTACATGAAAACCTCGAAGCTAAAGGTGTGGTTCAAGTGCAACTGGGATTTGGCGACGAGAACAGCACATATCTTCAGCACCTGATATCCAATCTCCACAAAAACCACAATCATGGTCTCCCAATTACCCACAGCGCCGAGCGTGGTTGGTTTTGGGATGTTCGGCCTTCTCCAGCAAGTTTCCAAAGCCACGGACACCAAGCTCGATCGGAGACAATGTCTCGGTTTGAATGGCATACCGACTGCAGCTATGAAGAGCAACCACCGCGATTCTTCGCTCTTCAGGTCCTTCAGCCAGATCGCTGCGGCGGTGGGACGTTGTCCGTGCTGAACGTCGACCGACTCCTTACCTTGCTGTCCCCTTTCGCGCAACAATGGCTCTCCAGCCATAACTACAAAATCACCGTTCCCCCCGAATTTCGAAAAACCGCAGGGGAACAGCACATCGTGGGCAATTTGCTCGCGGTAAATCCAGGAGGAAAGCCTGGGAGTCAATTGCGGTTTCGAGAAGACATCACGGTTCCCTTGACTTCAAATGCTACCAAGGCATTGGATGAATTGAAAGAAATTCTGTACGGTGGTGGCGCCAAGGAAGAGACTCTCCATTTGACACCGCAAAGTCTCCCGCAAGGATCAATCATCATGATGGATAATCGACGATGGTTACATTCCCGGAATGAAGTTAAGGATCCCAACCGACATCTTCGGCGAGTCCGATGGGATGCGACATCATTTGGACCCTTTAGCTCATGATCCTTGTCATTATTGTATTGTGTACGATCTCAAAAATCGGCCCGTGTAATTATGCAAAGCAATACAAGACCCTGCAGACCCCCCACTTAAATACATGCAGATCCCCTGTCCTATTTCTCAGCTGGAGCATGCATATGCATCTACATATATATATGGAGTGTGGAGAGTACTCCGTACATAGTACAAAGTAACTAAATAGTTATTGCAATATTTCATTATGTAAAAAAATAGTGATAGTCTAAGAGATCTGACTCGTTACCTTTTGGCTTGGTATCACTAGCTGTCATTAACTAGTTTGATTCCATGACTTATTTATATATTTATATATTTATATCATATATATATATATTGCCCAGGTATCTTCATCTTTTCATTACCAACGCAAAATATCCACTCCGTACAAAATGAGAAACCCACTTCTAGACCCTCTTCATCTGATCAGTTTCCCTGATGATGTGGACTACTCGCCCGTGTTACCAGAAGGGCTAGACGTGAACCTTTTGGATCAAAACCGTCGGAGTTATATCTCAAGGCTGAGCAACTGCTCCTCTTCTTGGCCAGGGGGATCCCTGGATGCATCGTGTCCTTGCCCGGTGCTGACCACCCAACGGCATGATGACGAGTTGAGAAACTTGCACCTCGCTCTGAAATTGGTACTGGAGGATATTATTCAGCGATGGTGGACGGATGAAGAAGCCAGGTTCCCTCTGCGCATGCCGTTGGAACAGGAGGAGGAAGATCTATTGCGCGTGAGTAACTGTCCCTTCTACTGTATCATTGTGGTATACTGAGCGATTGTTCTTGCAATAGTGGATAGACTCGAACCAACAGCTGTTCCGACCATGGAACGAGCGACAAGGATCTTGGAGACCGGACTTTTTGTTGGAGAAAGATGAAGCTGGTATGGAGGTTTTTCGCATTTGCGAGATCAACGCCAGGTTCTGCTGGAATGGCTACATGCATGCCGGTTTTGGTCAAGAAGCGCTCTCGGCATTCAATATTGAGTCGCGCGGTCTGACTCATGCTGTGGAAGCTGAAACGGTAAGCAAAGTGATAAAAGTCTGGCAGCTGGGTTGAGATAAATTGCTGATTATTTTGAATGTAGATTCTCGGTGGATTGTTGGACCTATTCGACAGCAAAATTCCTCTGCATCTTGTCAAAGGCGAGGAACATGGGATTGATATCGCGATGTTTATCGAATTTGCTGAGAAGAGACTTGGGATCAAAATGCGACTCATAACTCCGGACACCCTCCGACTCGTCCCAGATTCTTCCCAGTCTGGGAAAGATGGATACAAGCTGTGCTGTCTTGCTGATGCAGATGCTGTTGATACACTCACAACTGAGTCCGGCGAAAGAGTGGAAGAGATTCATCAAATTAGTCTTGAACTTCACCAGCGGGAGATCAATGCTCTTGATCTAGAGATGAAACGTCAGATCAGTCTGCGGTGTTTCAACGATATGCGAACTATTCTACTTGCTCATGACAAGAGAATGCTTGGACTCGTTCTTGAAGAGCTCGAATCTTTGATTAACAGGAACATCATCACTCCTAAACAGGCCGAATTGCTTGAGCGAGGCTTAGCTCACACTATTCTTCCGGGCTCAGCAGCATTGAACCAGTTTATTAAGAACTGCAAAGCCTCGGATACCTTCCAAAACGAGTACCTCCTGAAACCGATCAGAGGTGGAAAGGGAGCTGGTATCTTGTTCGGTGATGAAGTCGGTCCTTCCGACTGGCTAGTTCTGCTGGAGGCGATGCGGTGTCCAAGACTGAAACTTGGAAAGACTCTCTATGTTGTGCAGCGCAAAGTTCACCAACCCTACTACGACGTGCTTTTGGGATCGAATGCCAAGGCGGAGCGCTGCCATATGGTTGGAACGTATCATGCAGTTAATGGTAACTATCTTGGACTGGGAATCTGGCGTTGTAGTCCTGGGAGATTATGTGCTATATCCAATGGGGCTACCTGGATGTGTTCGGTAAAACAGCAGTGCTAGTTTCATACAATCAACTTTTTCGAGGTCTTTTGTTTCTGAATTACTATATCCGGTTAGTGTTGCCCTTTTCGGGATGGCGCCATAGTACGCCGTCACGAAACCACCCTCTCCTGAGGTCTGTTGCCTGATGCATATCCGAAGGCTGTAGATTCAATGACAAACTATTGATGGCAATTGAGCTTTTTCTGATCGCACTTAACATCATCTTATCATCCCAGGATATATAGCGTTGGCCCTCGACATTCCGTCGTTCTTTTCTGCCCTCGACGAGACATCACATCGTTTGATATGACCGGACCTCTCGGCATCCAATATGTCTCTCCAATCCTTCCCAGACGAGATCCTCCTTCGCATCCTATCCTACCTGCCATCTCATACTGATGCAGCAGCACTGTCTCTACAATGCCACCGTTGGCATCGGCTTTGTGACATGTCCAATCGGCGTAAATACCGTCGCATAAAACTCCGAGAGCCATTTGATTTGACAGTGGCTTTTAAAATGCTCCGATCGATCCTCAAAACTCCTCAGTATGGGAGGTATATTCGCTACATAGAGCTAAACCGATCCCCATCGCTAGATTATGGGTATGTGCATTCATACACGGTCAAACCGCCACAATGGCCCATCCGACCAAAGGATCAAGTCCGTCTAACTGCGGCGGTTAGGCGGGCCGGCTTTAATTGTCCGGAGGAACAGGAGAAGGTGCTCAATATCTTACTACAGAGTCCGGGTAGCATGCAGTAAGCTTGCCTCTCCCTCCCCCTTTTCTGTTCGATAAATTTGCTGGCTCATTTCCAAAAAGAATACTCGATTCTGACTTTGATCAGCCATAATGACCCACGAGTCCCGTTCCTCGCCCAGGCATTGGCAGCATTACTGATCAGCGTTTCACCACTATTAGAATCATTGAGTTTCTGCCCTGTCGGCCAGGAACCATCGAAACTCTCAAAACTAACCGCCCAAGCCAATGGAACTCCACTCCGGGAATGTGATTATTTCTTTAAGCATTTCCTAGACCGGGCGAACTGTAGCCCACAGGAGACCCTGCCATTCCTGCAACATCTTCGCCAGGTCCGATTTCTTGTCGATCCCGATACAAGAATCTATCGCTGGTACTATTACCAGCCCTATGATCTATACGGCAGCTTCAACATGGTACGCCGGCTCCCCGCAGTAGAATCTGTCCGAGTGGACGCAATTATGAGCACGCAGAGCCCGAGTATTGAGCCTCCACCCCGATCTGCAAATTACACCAGCATTACCATTCGGAATTCCAATGTAGATTACCAGTATCTAGTGCGGGCCATTGAGTCGGCCAAACGGCTCGAAGAGTTTACATATGCGGTCGGTGGCCGAGGCTCGTCAGATGGCATGTTCAGCATGTTCAGCCCGGATCACGTCTTCCGGGCGCTTTTCCTGCACACCGATTCACTGGTACATCTGGATTTGGATGTGGAGGCCGAAACCCCACTAGCGGAGACATTCGACCCTACCCTTGGACAATATTTGTTTGACGACAGCAATGATCGATCGCCTCGAGCCCAGCAGGCCTATCAGCAGGAGTGGGTAGATGAACTCCAAAAGCTCCAACCGGAGCAGGGTGGTCAATCATCGCCTTGCTCTCTTCGTGGGCTTACTAAGGTGAAGAATCTGAGTCTCGGAATCCATACCCTGTACTACCTGTCGCGAGGAATCGGTGCTGATCAGGGCGAGGATGCATCATTTGCTATTGTGGATCATCTCCCGCCAAACTTGGAAGCGCTTTGTATCTATGGGTACGAAAAGGGGATGAAACCGCGGGTTGAGGGTCTTCCGGACGATGTGTTCGATAAGCAGTTGGAGCAATTACTCGCTGAGAAGGATGCCAAATTGCCCTGCTTGTCATATATCGAGGGGATTGATGAATGCATCGAAAATGCGACCACCGTCAAGCAGCCAGCCACCAATAATGAGGATCTGTGGGAGGAAGACACCGATGATGAATGGACTGATCATGAATATGATGATTAGGTATGAATTGGTCTTACTGCAGATTTTGAGATATGCATATCTACCGAGGTGTCCACCTCGTCGCCAGCCACGATTGAGTCCCACGTGTAGAGGGGGCCCATGCGATAGGTGCCCTAAATTGCCACAGTTCTGGTGGCAGACTAATCATTTTTCGGGAGCATAGATATATCCTAACTAGTATTCACTAGGGTGTACTCCGTACATGTGTACTCTGTGTTGTTTTTCTGGTATTTCAGTTTTAGGAAATTTGACGCGAAACTATAGGTATCACCGTAAGCTTATTCCATATATTATGTGGCGAACTACTCCATACGGAGTATGGAGTACGGAGTACCCCGTAGTGGGGTCTGAATTGTTAAAGCTGAACAGTGGCTTCAACTAGTGTACTACTAGCGTCAAGGCCGTGCGATATATTGTCACACCTGTTCATATGTAGCACAGGGGTAAAGTGGCTTCAGCTGAAAATAGACAAATATCTATCTGATTGCTATGACCCCTTGTATATGCATGTACGAGGGTATTTGTATAAGATCTCACTGGAAGTTTCAGGGGATGGAGTGGTGGATCTGTAGATCTTTCCTGTAGAAATAGAATACATACAGATCTCTGTATATGTATGTAATAAATACCTTACTCCGTAGCCATGAGAGATTCTCCGATCGATCGTGTACATATATTAACATCTTGCAGATCTCATGTGGAGTACTCCATAGGTTAAAGAGCACGACTGAGACCATGCAGATTCCGCCTTGACGAATCAAAATTATCTTGCACGACATACGCTGCGCATCAGGTTTTATTTGGTTCTTGGAACACTGCGGGTTTTTGTTCTTTTTTTTTTGAAACCTCAGGCAATTAATTGATGCCCAAGGCAAATGTGAAAAGTGATGTCAAAAGTAGGGGAGCAGACAAATGGTCACAATTATTTATTTACCTATAGACTTGGCTCCCTCGTGGGTTGTTGCAGTCATATCACATCTCACACTCATATGCAGCTTACATTTCCTCAGAGGAGTTCTCAAGTCACCTACATATGTAATTCTACTCCGTATATGTACTCAATATACCGCATACCTTGTCTTCTTTGCTCCTCGTATAGTCAGTAGCAATTTCCAATGGTCGTCTTCCTAGTACCAACTCCTAAGTTACGCACACATGATGCTGTTTACCAAGAAATATCACTACGGAGCGAATATGACACCAGAATCAGCACCACAGTTATTCCAATTCTCTCTCCCTATTTCTCAAAATTCATATCAACTCTCATCCACTCTCTCAAATCACTCTCGGTATGTCCTCGGAGGACCCCAATTCTAGACCATGGAAATGTACAGAAGTCCCCGACGTGGGGGCAAGCAGGATAAAATACAGACGTGGGAAAGACCCATTTAACAATGCTGTAGCATGCACGTGCAAGCCACCCCATTATCAAATGAAAAAGTCCCACGGCTGTAATGGATCCCGCCAGCCCCCACGTCGGGGACCTCTGTATGTCACCGTGGCAGGTGATTGGGGTTCACTCAGGCGAAAAGATACCCAAAGCAGCCATCACATCAACACAAGGGGCGATTTGCTGATCGCAGTCTAGGAAAACGGCTCCAACGATTGCTTCCATTGTGGCTGCCATGACCTTGCGTCCGACAGTAGGCTGCGAATTGTTTCTTACGACGAAGTTGTTGATTTCAAGAGCAAACCCTTGCTTGGCAAGATAGGCATTGTTAGCCTTCTCGGTAATCACGTTGGAGATGTATCCTAACCAGAGCCGAAATCGTAAAAATGTGAACTAAAGCAGCTAGGGCAAGACACTTACCCTTCGTGTAGTTCTGAGTATAGCCATAGTTCACAATCACCAAGCGGAGAATTGCATCACCGATCAGGGCGAGATCCTTGTTACCATCTCCGTTAAACCCGGCGGCGGCTTGGAGCGCCTCCCGGGCCCGAGCACGATCGTTGAAACGATACTTGATCTTCTTTTCGAAGACCTCAAGTACCTCGTCTGAGGGGGTTGGAAGTACGTAGTGCAAGTCCATGATGCAGATAGTTTACGGCAATGACAGATCTTGATGAAATCAAATATGGATAGGTAAATCGGAAGTTTGGAGATGAGTAATGAAAGTTTTGGGAGATGGGGTTGTTTATAAAGGAAAGAGAACCCCCCCCAATGCGGACTGGGCACAAATAAGGCAACTATGCGTCCAAAATATCCTGGTTACATACCATACGCTATTATACATATCTTCCATTTTCGAACAAAATATCAGGCAAATTTCCAGTTGAACAAGAAATGAAATGAAAGACAGAATGTGTGGATGTTGATATGTTCGATGGTACGTGCCATGTGCCTAACGACAACCGGGAAAGAAAGGGAAGGGGCGATTCGAACGTCATATAAATACATGTACATCCATATATGGGTACCCATATATGGGCACTGGCTCCGACAAGAGAACTGATATGTTTTGTAATTCCATCGAATGGGCTTCAAAGCCGAGCTACTTCCTTGTGGATAGTCTCAGTATTCATCAGCGCCGCCCGAGATTTCAAGTTCAACCTCTTCCACATAGCCTTGCGGCGCTCATGTCCCTCAAAAAATGCCCTCACCCACTCGCGGCGGAATTTTGGCAGCTTGCGGCCCTTGCCCTCCTCCCCTTCGCCAGCTAGAAGCCTCACTGTCTCGAAGTAGTCTTCGAAGTCTGGGAAGAGCAGTGTGAATTTCACGCCATCACCCCGAACCTCGATACGATCTGCTTCCCATTTTTGCATCACGTCAGCAGAAGGTAGAGTGGCTCTGCCAGCCAGCAGCCGTGCAGCCAAAACCGCTTGCCATTCGAATACTTTAAATGTCAGACCAGCCGCGACGGCGCCGACAAACAATAATGTCGGATCTTTCTGCCAAACAACATGTTGGTAAAGATCAGGGACACGGTTATTGCGAACTGGGACTGCGGGTAGGAATGGCAGCGTCCAGCTATAGCCTGTGCCGAAGACTATGTGGTCAACGTCTGTGATGCAATTTCCGTTTGTTAAGTGCACAGTCCTGTTCGAGACTCGTTCTATTGAGGGATGCTTTTGTATCTTGGGGTGGTTGAATGCTTCATCGCCGAAGTACCCGTTAGCAGCATGGCCGATTGTGATTGCATGGACTGGTTCCTTTGCCGTTTCGACAAGGTCGAATGCGATGTCAGCTGCTGAGACGGATGCGCCTACAACCACAACTCGCTTAAATAATTACGTTAGCACAATGGCCCCGAGACAATGTGGTTGTGCAATTTGAGAATCTAGCTTACCTTGCCGACAAACGCCTCTCTCCCACGGAAATGTTTGCTGTGAAGTACGCTGCCCGGTCTGGTCTTCTCAAATGCCTCCAGGCCTTCTATTGGGGGTATATATGGGACCCAGAAGTGTCCGCTCGCCACGACGACCGCATCAAACCACTCAACACACCAATAATCACTCTTCTCTCCATCTTTTCGAAGCGTTACTTTCCACTCCGTCCCCACCTTCTCGACCCGCTCGACTGTGGTGTTGTATGAAACCCAGTCGCCGTAACCCCGGCGCTCTACGAGACTCCTCACGTATTTTCGGACCACATCCCACTTTCGGAATGGAGTTTTAGGTCCGTGGTGAGATATGGAGAGCTCGCTGCGCTCCTCTGGGAAAGGTTCTTGAGCGAACTCCATGGGCAGAAAGTCGACATTGGTTTCCAGATAAGGGTAAACGGACGACTCAGTGAAGCGAGGTTGATCTGACTTTGGAGTCTGCGCAGGAAGACTCTCGGGGATAGATAGTGGGGGATCAGCTGTTCTTGTCGCCAGAGATGCAAAGTCACGGAGGGTTGGAGGTTGTGATGAGTCGCCAATCCTGGTTTTTTGTGTCAGTCATCGCCCGAAGAAATTTCAGAGAACATAAACGAACCAACAGCCTCCAGGGCCCTCGCGGCGCTCAAATACACGAATAATATCAAAGGTCTTTTCTTGCGCCAGGGCATCTATCGCAATGGCTCCCGCCGGCCCGGCGCCGATGACCGCAACACGCTTAACAGGCACCATCATGAGAATTGAAATTAATAGAATAAACTACAGAGATTATAGAAACTATAGAAACCCGATATTTAACGATATATAGATACACTGAAGTTGAGCGAGATCCCGTCCCAAACGCCGAATTGGCGGGTTTAGCACCGATCTAGGGTTTGCTGCTGTCGTCGTTTACGGGTCTCGTCACGCAATTTGACCTCGCGGGGCCACGACTTGGACCGAACCAGTTACGAAGCCGGAAACTTCATCTTCGAAATTTCTCTTCAAATCCCTTCAAATCCCGTTGGAATAAGAAGCAGTCCCAAGCGATAAAATGTGGTTTAATGGTATTTTGAGCCTTTGGCGCGCGTTATCCAGGGGATTTATCGCAGCACGCCATATTATACATAAATTATGATAGGAATAATGAGGGGAAAATATCTAATAGTAGTGATAAGGCTAAATCGTATAGTTTATAGTCTATAGTTTATATTCGAGAATCTCTGGAGTCAGTATTCCACTCAGCTATCTCTACCTCGCCTGCCGTTAGGTCGATTTCATCAGTCAACCTGAGAGCAATGATATAGTATGGATATCAAAATGAGTGATGAGAAGCTAGATCTCAAAGGTAGCGCCTCCGGACATTCTACCTCATCGTCGCTGCCCGTATTGCCCGAATGGGATCCCAGTCATGAGCAAAAGGCTCGCAGAAAGTAACCGCCAATGACCCTCATAGATAGAGGATTAAGGATTAATCGCTGACCTTCATTTCTCCCAAGGATCGATATGTCCGTACTTCCTCTGCTTTTCCTCGGTCTTCTTGTTTTCCAGCTCGACCGCATGAACATTGCGAGCGCATTGACTGGCGGCTTCGCTACTGATATCAACATTTCACAATCCACAATCAATTTGGGCAATCAGCTCATGTTTATGGGTATCGTGGTCTTCGAGATACCATGTAATATGGCCTTACAACGAGTATGTACGAGAGCGACTCTTTGAAGGATCTGATCCTAATACGAACTTTGACAGGTTGGTCCTCGCAAGTGGATTTCGGCCCAGGTTTTTCTCTTCGGCTTACTTGCTACCATGCAAGTATTCATTCGGAATCGAGGGTCGTTCCTGGCTATACGGCTGCTCCTAGGGTTCGCTGAGGCAGGGTATATTCCTGGTGCGGTATATACTTTGTCGTCATGGTATACGAAAAGGGAATTGGCCAAGAGAGTTGCTATTTTCTTCTTTGGGATGTTTGGTGGTAATGCCTTGAGTCCTATCCTGGCTTCTGGTATTCTGCTTCTCGATGGTCGACACGGCATTCGAGGGTGGCAATGGCTCTTTCTAAGTATGCATGTTATGCATGTTCTAAATAATTGGAAGACTCCATTCACTAACACATTAATAGTTGAGGGGCTATTCACGATATTTGTCTCATTCCTCCTATCACTATTCCTACCTGGATCACCCAATCTTACCAGACCATTATTGAGCCCTGGATTTATCAAATTTTCGGATTCCGAGAAGGAAATTCTTCAAAGGCGACTCGAAATTGATAATGGTGGAAGTACCGAGGGCGCATATGGCGTGCATATTCCGTTAAAGGTCGTCTTTCGTACTGTGTGCTGCTATCGACGCTGGCCGCACTTTATTTCTACATTCGTTGTGTTTTCTACATGGAGTCCTCTAACCACTTACACGCCATCCATCATAATGTAAGTCTTCACTACCATCGATAAATGGATTGATCCAAGTCTCCCAATCACAATTTTGAACATGATTAACTAATTTCTACAGGTCACTCGGCTTTGACAGAACAGCGGCAAATGCTCTGGCTGCAGTCGGCGCATTCCTATCACTTGGAGTGGTATTCTTCTTCGCCTACATGAGTGATCGGACAAAACTCAGAGGTGCATCTGTTATCGCTGCTCAAGTCTGTTACCTCGTTGCCCTGGTGGTAACTCTCAAGGTCCAGCCCCACGCCGGTAAATGGTCACGTTGGGGACTTTGGACTGCTGTGAACAGTTTAGCTGTGGGATATCATCCCATACACAACTTCTGGGTTCAGATTAATTGTCGAGATCCGAGAGAGCGGAGTATAAGTATCGCGTGAGTTTCTCCTATATTCATATATTGATCTTGGCTGGAGCTAATGGAGTCTTGACTGCAGAATGTGGGTTATGTCTGCTATAAGCGGTTTAATGGTTGGGACACAGTATTTTCAAGTGGACGACAAACCATTGTAAGTGAAGGGTTTCCCGGACTTCATTGACGATCAGTTTCTAATCTCAACATCAAGTTATTTAACGGGCCTACGTACCATGATCATTATGGTATCTGTAGGAATCGCAAGTGCTTCAGCGCAAATTGTTATTTATGTCGTTTATAATAGGCGTGTTGCCCAAGGCAAACATCAGCCCAGGGATGGTTCAACGCCTATGGTGTATGTCCCTTGATGATAGCAAATCATGAAATTTATAGATCCGGAATTCCTCCATGTTATCATTTGTGCATGGTTCTAATATCTATCACCGAAGACATTGCTGCTTGCTGCAATTAACGAGACCGTAAGACATGAATGATGCTTTTTGCATCGAAATACTATGTGCTGGCTAGTAATTTTTGAGTACAGCATAGAAAGTAGTTCAACTCTTGTATGTGGGATGGTTCTCTGCAGATTTCAGATATCACGCCTTAGGCTGAATATCCTCATCCTGGATCTGCTCTGGGTCAACGTCCTCGGCCATCGACAGTTCCTGGGCTAAAATCGAGTTAGCAAGAGTCACAGACCGCGATGAAAAAAGGACTCACTATTCCAAAGCTCTGCATAGATGCCGTCACGCTCGAGCAATTCGCGGTGTGAACCCATCTCTGCCACATGACCTTCCTTCAAGACCAGAATTTGGTCGCTGTCGGCGATCGTGCGTAGGCGATGAGCCACAAACACGCTTGTGCGGCGCTTCTCTTTGAGAATGCTGTTGATGTTCTGGAGGAGGGCCTGCTCTGTGTAGGTATCTAGGGCGGATGTCTAGGGAGAAAGGGGTTAGTCATCTCAATTAACCGCCCGGTGAAGGGGCGAAATGAACACTTACTGCCTCGTCAAAGAAGAATAATTGTGGATCCTTTAGAATCAACCGAGAAATTGCCAGCCGCTGCTTCTCACCACCGGAGATCATCATACCACGCTCACCAACTGCAGTTTCGTAGCCGTCAGGTAGACCTTCAATAAGCTTGTGGATATGGGCTCGCTCTGCAGCACGGCGTACTTCTTCATCTGATGCATCAATCCGTCCATAGCGGATGTTGTGGGCGATCGTGTCGTTGAACAGCGGTGTGTCTTGCGGCACCACTCCAATTGCCTTGCGGAGGCTGTCGACGGTCACATCGCGGACATCCTGGCCGTCAATCAAGATACGGCCGGACTGGACATCATAGAAGCGGAATAGCAGACGCAGGATTGTAGACTTTCCGCAGCCGCTAGGGCCGACAATGGCGAACTTCTGTCCTGCGGGGATACTGAAGGTTGCATTCTTCAGAATCGGTCGGTCTGGGTGATAGCCGAAAGTGACATTCTCAAAGCGGATCTCGCCGCCATGTGTCAGCTGCAGTGGCTTGGCGTTGGGTCGTTCCTGGATGGTGACGTTCACCTTCTGCAGGTTGAAAAGCGTCTCCATATCCAGCAAGGACTGGCGCAGCTCACGATACACAGATCCCAGGAAGTTAAGAGGAACTGAGAGCTGGAAGACCAGCTGATTGACCATGACTAGGTCACCGACGGTCATGGATCCGTTCGCAACTCCATTGCAAGCCAGGTACATCATTGCGGCCAGCGCAGAGGAGAATATCATGTTTTGACCGGAATTGAGGAATGCCAGAGACGTAGTCACCTTAATTGATGCATCTTCATACTTCTTCAGGGCCTTGTCATATCGTGCCACTTCGAATTTCTCGTTGTTGAAGTACTTGACGGCCTCATAGTTGATGAGCGAGTCCACAGCAACCGTTGCTCCGCGATTATCAGCTGCATTGGCCTGTCTCCGGAACTTTGTTCGCCAAGCTGTTGTAGTGATGGTGAACGCTGTGTAAGCTACCATGGTTCCTGTTGTGATAGCGGCAAATTGGAGGCCATATTGATAAGTCTAAAACACGTTAGTAATGTAGGAGCAAGAATACCGGTTTACAAATCATACCAGGATACCGCAGACAAGCGAGATTTCAAGTGCTGTCGGGACCACGTGGAAAACCATGGAGGTTAGGAGGAAGCTGATGCCCTTCGTACCGCGGTCAATTGCGCGGGTCAAACCTCCGGTCTGCCGAGAGAGGTGGAAGTTGAGATCGAGTCGCAACAAATGTTCAAAAACATTTGAGGCCACCTTCCGAATTGCCTTCTGCGCAACGCTAGCAAAGACCGCGTTACGGAGCTCCTGAAACAATGTAGCTCCAATTCGGGTCACACCATCTAAAGCATATTAGCTACGAGTCCATTTTTTTAATATGCTGTCATTCTTACAAGCAATGATCATTGATCCAGCCACGGTGTAGGCGGTTCCGCCGATAGTAGCAAAATCTACATTCATGGAGTCGACGATGTTCTTAAAGTAGAAGGGAATCTCCACATTGAGGATCTGCAAGGGGTTCATATTAGCATAGTTTAATAAAAACCAAATGGCAGATGAAACTTACCTTTGCTCCAATAAGCAGTGAAAGTGCTGAGCTGACACGGAGCTTTGTACCCCAATCATCCTACCAGACATAGTCAATACCCTGTTACTCTATACAATAGTACTCGGTGATTACCTTAGGCCACAAATATTTGGCCATTTCTTTCATGATAGCCCAATCCGCCTTCCTTTGTTCTTTTTTTCCGGCTATGGACTCACTCAGAATGTCCTTCTTTGGTGGGGTTTTCGCATTGCCACTTTCTTCCGGCTTCTTGATGATATTGGCGTTTGCTAGTTGTGATGGAGCAGGGGTAGATATCGGAGTAGCTTTGGCAGTTGCATGGTCTTTGTTTTCTGTGGATTGGCTCCATAATGAATTGTTATTTGATGTGAATGCGCGCAGGTGTGTTCCATTGAGTCGTGTGCTTCGTAGCTGGCCGGCGAAGCTCGGATAGGCGAATTGCGCTGTGCGCCAGCACGGCGATCGTGCGGCTCTGAGCAGCATGGCCGCTTGGTACGATATTCTTTGGGCTCCGGAGTAGTTCGAGTCACCGAGAGGATGTTCAAAGGTGCATAGTGGGAGCGAGCAAGAAATATTACCGTGCAGTAGCTACGTCTCCGATAGCTCGTGGGGGGTAATCGCCGCCTTCGGAGAAAAAACTGTCGCTCCCAATGCAGAGTCAAGGATAGTCGCAAATAGTCAAGCAAACATAAGAAGCAAAATAAGAATGAAAGTAATTCAAGAACTTATAATAAAACTTCCAAATGTCGCAATTCAGAGGGGCAGTTGTGTACTTCGTAGGCCGCATCGCTCTCGGGCCCACGATTTTCCCGGGTTCCCTTTCGTCACAACTGACGTAAATTCTCCCTTCGGTAGCCCTGGAGACTTTGCTCTTTTTTCATACACCATGCGCCCCATACAAGGTGTTCGGCCTCTGTCCTGGGCTCGAGTAGTTCCTCGCGTTCACCGGCAAACGCGATGCCTTCAGATTCGCGCCGCGCCTTCGGGAGTGCCTTCGGTTAATGGCGACAATCTGCCACTTGCTAGCACGCCCAACTCTGTTGAATCACGAGGTAATTGCAATCCCTCGGGGCTTTGATATTGCAGCACTGAAAATGAGGCCACATAGATGCGCGATTCGATGTTGTCGGCGCTCCATACTCGCTTCTTTCGGTTTCGCTCTCGGCATCGCAGAACCTATATACACGACGCGGAACACTGGTTGGATTGAGCGGCAAGGCGGATAATGTGCGATCCCATGATAATGTTGTCCCGAAGGAATTGCCATGCTAACGCATGATGTGTACAGGTGGTTTCCACCTTGAGCGTTCTAGAACCTTTCCGGAGGGCTATCGTCGGAGTGCCCTTCCTTTATCAGAAGGTAAGATGCGCACAGAAGAGGACCTAAAGAAAGCGATTGACAGTTCCCCAGATCTCCTCACCGACCCCCGTCACAGCCCTCGTTTCCGTTCGATCGCCCAACACTTCCTTCGCCGTCGTGAACGTCAATGGTTCCGTGGACTGGATGGTTGCCCAAAGACGGGCTTTACTTGCATGGACGGGCCGGTCTCTGTCCATCAAGCCGACTATCAACGCAAACCTGGTGAGTAGGGCTGTGATCGCGTAGGGGGACATACCAAGCTAATTCGCGCAGAGTTTATCTCATTGGGGTAGCTCCGAAGTGACTGGCAGAGGTTTAATAGCGTTGGTTGGAAACGGTCAACTGTACTCGGTCGAGTTGAAGGATGGCGAGCAGTACATTGCGCATCCCAGGTAAAAACATCGGCCGCGATTGTACATCTGACGTCGCTAATATTTCATCGACAGCAACGTGGTCGCTTACACAATGGCCTCCAATCCTCCTCGCCCCTACCGTTTCAAATCCACCACTCTCAACTTCCAGGTCCCCGGTCTGAAGACGCTACCAAGACTTCTACAAAATGCCAAGTTCATTCGTGACGTGTCTGATTCCAAGGTATACAAAACCACTATGCAGTGGTTCCACAAGCTGCGTACCTGGTCTCGAATGACCATCTGGGGAGATAGAGTATGGTAGCCCCATTTTTGTCCTTCGCTATTCACCAACTAATAACTTTTTTCTAGCTGTTCCTGCAATTCGACGGTCCCATAACCATCCTCGTGCAGTCCCGCGGTCCTCGTCTCAACGATGTTTTGTCCGCACAGGAAGCTAATGAGATCGCCAATGTCCCCAGTGGCTTTACCTCGCCCGCTCCTCGCGAAAAGACAGAGGATGAAAAAACAGAAGCCGAAAAAGCCGTCAGCAATATCGATGGCCTGACGCGCTCTGTCGAGGAACTAGAGCATGAAATCCAAGGCACGAGCCAAAGCATTGCGAAGATCCGCAAAGATGGGAAGGTCGAAATTGAGGAAGTTGCTCGCACAAACTAAATAGAAAGACTCGCTTCAAAAGGGTCGACTTGGAGGAGTTCTCTTCGCATTGGGTTATGTACGGGTTAGAGCGGTCTCCATTTGGGATTATCACGTTGCATCCTGTACAGTATGGGCATTTCTTTTATCTTGGCAATTGCCGACAAATCTTTTTCCTTTGCCTGCTATTTTCACCCTCCAAGTAGAAAGGGAAGGCACCAAGATACAACTCAAGTAGCACACAAAAAATAGCGGAAAACATGCTACATGGAGGCGACTGCAAGCGATTGTCATGTAACAACATGTCTTGATATGAATTCAGCCCAAAGGGAGGAAAAGCCGAAATATTCAACATTGCGCAAAGCCAGGAGAAATTGATGAGCAGTCACCCCATATCCACGCCTGCTGTTGCGCAAATCTATTGGTTGTGTCCCAAAGTTCAGGAAAGAGCTGTCTCTCAGTGTCATCAGCTATTGCATCGGTTGCTGGCGACATGCGACCAGAGATCGCTCTGTCAAAGTCGGATAAAGCTTGTATCTTTCCTGAAGTCAAAGTTGGCGAAGTCAGTGATTGACTCACCACTTGGGCTTTGCCTCCCTTCTTCTCTTGGGGTAGATCCAAAGTTATTATGTGCAAGCATCTGTTTCAGTTCTTTTTCCACCACCAACTTTGTCGGCTGCTCAATAATTGCCAGTCCCTGGACAGCCAGTTGCGACTTTGAGGCCAGAGTCCGCTGTATACCCAGTAATCGATGCAATTCTATCTTTGACCTGTGGGACTCGAGTGACAATGGCTCAATGCTAGCCAATATACAAAGAGTAACGCCAGCGGTGAGAGTGTTGATGCCAATGAATGCGGCTGCATGTGTATCTGCTACCAACGAGAAGATCGACGATGCGCCAATCTCCGATATTCTGAGAGCAGCATCTCGACATGGGTCTAGTGTTTGGTATAAAGGCCCGATGGAGTGGTTTGGTGCAAGACCGATCTTTGGGATTCGTTTGTACGCCAGAAGAGGGCGATGGACTAGAATCTTTGCGTTTTGATATGCAATTTCAAGAGCAATGGCTTGTGATTGATAGATATGGTTTTCGAACTTCGTCCCCGATAATGCTGCGATATCTCGGTCCATTTCCTCTACAGAGGCGTATCTGACTTATGTGGCATCAGGATCATATTATGTGGATTGGGCGCTTATGCACAATGAGCTGTCCTATTAATCATGGTCAGGGAAGCAGTCGTGCTTCTACCCCCTACCCTCCGGGAAACTCTGTAACCACGCTTCCAGTGTCCGTTGATCATTTTCATACATTCGAGCACCGACAGTTCAATATGAAAAAGATCCTTTATTGTTGCAACCGAAAAAAATGAGGGCAAAGATGAGCCCGTGCCTCCCCGACCGTGAGCCTCAGTCGAAAGAACCACTCCATCACTCAAGCCCATTTTTCTGCCATATATTCCAGGCTTCAATCCAAGCTCTCGTAGCTAACTACCAAGTTGGTTTATAACTAGTTTATTGTCCTCTATAATAATGAAGAAGCAAATCTTTGAGATAGAGGGCTCTAACGACGGGGGTCGTCAGGACTATAAGTGGATACCCGACGCTCCGAGGCCAGAATAACGTATATCCGTTTGGAACTTTGACAGCATGATCATCCCTAGGAACCATTTGTTAATTCCGGGGAGTCCTCGTGCTCCCGTAAAGAAATGATACCCTTGGTATTTTCCATAGCATTATGACGCATCATAGGTGGATTGGAATAAAGTTCTTCCGGTCCTTACCAAATAGCCTGAGGTAAACCCTATTGCCACAGAGTAATAACTAATGACACAGAAGTCTTAACCAAAATTGAAAGAGTATATTTTTATCACGTGATAGTATGTGCTATAGGTACCATACTGTAAATAATTATATAATCATATACCAAGAGACACTATCCTAAAAGGGTATAGTATTCTGTGCCATTAGTGATTACTCTGTGCCAATAGGGTTTACCATAGCCTGATGTTCTGAGTGTTATTGGGATTAAGCATGGCCTGATGAAAAATTATGGACTTGACTGTTCGCAGATCGAAATAAAGCACTGGATATAAAACATAGCATGAATTCACGCAATCACCCCACGCTACAGACTATAACATATAAAGATCAACGCCTCTCTTCTCCTTTCTTAGTTGTTCCACTGCCATCGTCATATATATGGCAAACCTTCCTACCATTCTCGCCGGAGATCTCTGCGCTGATAACCCATTCCTTGTCGTCACGGTTGAAATGGGATTGGTGCACAGGATTGTCATCTTGATACCTGATTTCGAGTCAGCACAATGCAACAAGCATAACTTTTTAAGCCAAACGTACTTGATGTCGCCTCTTTTCAGCTTGCCAAGTCTTTGCAGTTCTTTTCATCAGTGAGCTAAACTCAAGTTAACAATATAACAGGAAGTCCGGTATCAACATACCGCTTCAGCACCCCCTCCTGGGCCTGTGAGTTTATCCACAGCAGTTGTATCTATCAAATCCAGCCCACTCGAGAAGAACCCGAGCGGATGTGCTAAAGAGGCGCAACATGGTGTATTCGCTCTTACCGAAGAGCTAGGTATAGGAGTGACGGAGACACGACTGGGAACAAAATCAATGTTCCGGGATAATGGAGAATATCCGAATGAGAAGACAGAGAGAATAAAGAGATGGTTTGGGCTATTTCATCGCCTACCTGAAAAACGAAGTTGTATATATACCCGCTACCCTCTCTCTATTTGGGACCTATCCGGCGGCCCTTTTATAAAGCGATAGGATTGTTGCTATTCCAAGAATAACCGCCTTCCTTCCTATATCGAGTCCCTCGTATCCACTGAATTCATATACTAGACACTTGGTATTCAAGGAGCTGGCGTAATATGTGTTTCAGGGAATCGGATGGCCCTCCTCAGTGGTGTAGCGAGTAATGGTGTATGAATTCTATTCAGCCTCGGCGGCTATCAATAGGCTCGTTTGCTCCCATTTTCTTTAGCGCTCTGCGCTTTGATCCTACTGTGAGGCGAAAATACATGGGGTGTCAAAAGTCTGTTGACCAACGTTTTACTATGGCGCCCCATAGTCAAAAATATCGTGAATTTGGGCAAAAACAAGGTTTCCGAATTTTGATGGTGAACAAGTCGATGAAGAAAAGTCCCACGAAGAAATTTTGTATTATTTATATCCTAGTGTTTAAATATGTTGAAATAAGAAAAATTGTAAAAAAAAAAACCGTGTCATATAAATTCGTGGAGGAAAAAAAGCCAAAAAGGCGATTTTCTTAGTGGTTTAGGGGGTGTCAACAGACTTTTGGCACCCTATGTACGGAGTAGTAGCCTATGAAATTACAAGGGATCCATGGTGCCAGCGTGAATGATGAGTCATCATTCTCCTTGGTACTAGGTAGGTACCAGTTAACCTTCATTATACATTCTTCTCGTCTCACCTTAACAAAAACCAGCCTATTCTCCTACACGCCCAACATGGCTACAATCATGAAATGGGCCACAAAGGCGTTTCGAAGGCCTCCCTCCCCTCCCATGTGTTTTCCCGCCAGCGGCTTCGACACCGTCCGTCCCTCGGAGGTGCTTGACGAGGAACGATTTGAGCAGTTCAAACAAGGAAAATATTATCCTGCTAATATTGGCGACGTGCTTATTTCTAAATACCAGATTATTGGTAAACTTGGTTTTGGGACTACTTCTACTGTATGGCTCGCTCGTGATCTTGAGTAAGTCCAGGTAGATCTATTCGTTTTAACTAAACACTGACTCACTGAAACAATCAAGAGGTCATCAATATGTGACACTCAAAATCTACACTAGTGACGAAGGTAATCAGGAAGAGTTTCAGATCTATAAGCAACTAAACCTAGGGCGTTCATGGCATCCTGGCCATGCCCATATAAGGAAAGCGCTGGATATCTTCACGATCCCCTCTTCAGGCGGCGACCATCCGTGTCTCGTTCAGAATCCGATGTGGGAGAGCTTCAGGGACCTCCTGTATCGCAATCCCAACCATCGATTTACCGAAGATCTCCTCAAAGCTGGTCTTATGCAGATCTTTCTTGCACTTGACTATCTGCACACTGAATGCAAGCTTGTCCACACCGGTAAGACGTATCCATAAGGCTTTGTTAAAATGCGGTTCCCCTAATACAAATTCTTATAGACATTAAAAGCGATAATATTCTCCAAGAAATAGAAGACAAGTCCATCCTTGAAAGTTTTACCCAAGCTGAGCTGAAGAGCCCTTCACCCCGCAAAATAGTCAATGGTTTGCCGATATATGCTTCACGGCGTTTCGACTTGCCGAAAGTGTTTGGTCGAGCGGTTTTAAGTGATTTTGGCTCTGCCGTACGAGGAGATGAGAAGAGGAATCATGATGCACAGCCAAATATTTATAGATCGCCGGAAGTGATGCTGAAGACTGATTGGAGCTACCCGGTTGACATATGGAATGTTGGTGTTGTGGTATGCTTTGCCTGTTCACTCTTCACTCTCAATATCATATACTAACCACTCAGGAATAATAGGTGTGGGATTTGTTTGAGGGGAGACACCTTTTCTATGGAAATGACCCTGATGGCAAAGGGTATTCGACCCGGGCGCATCTTGCAGAAGTCATGGGTATTCTAGGGCCACCTCCTTTAGATATGCTCCAGCGTGGAAAAAGAAGCCATGAATTCTTCACCAGTGATGGTAACTATCCTTTTCTCGCTCAATGCACTTTGCAAAGGCTTACGAAGGCAATCTTACAGGGAGATGGAAGCAAGACATAGAGATTCCGACAGGAGCCAGTTTGGAGCTGTCGGAAAAGTTCCTCGAGGGAGAAAGTAAGGAGATGTTTATAGCTTTCATGAGAGGGATGCTTCAGTGGCGGCCTGAAGATAGGAAGACAGCGAAGGATCTACTCCAGGATCCGTGGCTGAATGATTAGTTGGAGTAACTCGTTTGACCTCGGGAGTGTTCATTGCTTTGTCATCACCCCAAAATGCACTCCACTAAATTTTATCTCATCTTCTACCACCTCTGGATATTGGTTGTTTTGCGGTGTTAAAACGTTCGTACAGTCGGCTAGTTGAAATGAAGATGCGGAACGGGATCAACAATATTGATAAACTTGACTTCCTCAAAGCATACCCTCGAGCACGAATTGAAGCTTTTAAATCGGAGACTATCAAAAATACCTTCGGAGCAGCCGGTTTAGTCCCTTTTTTACCGGAGAGTGCTTTCAAAGCTTGATACTATTCGGCTTCAAACCCTAACTACGCAGGGGCATAGTGGCCAGGGCTACTTTCGGATTTAATAATGCATATAATGGTGCCTTAGTGCGCTAATTTGGTATGGCAGAAAAAATGAGGATACCTGAATTACAATTACAGAGGCCCGCTTAGGTAGCATTTAACCCTATGAATATGAAGCTATTTCTGCCATACAAACCTATACATCGCATGATTTTTAGGCGGTTTGAACCTGAATTCAGTGATAACCCTACAAAACTCGAAAACTGCATTATCAGTACGGAATATACCCGGCTCGGTAGTGAAATGCTCTTATGTTGTATGGAATCCCTTGGGAGTTGCGGCCTCAGCGGGCGGAGCTTAGGATTACACCGGGATTGTTGGATCACGTGACTATGTGACTTCGGTTAATAGATTTACCAAGACCGATGGCCTCCGGGATGACCTGCGTAGACTTCCGCACCGGCCCATAAAGCCCAGAGCCTAACCCAACCCAACCCGCAAATGGGTTAGGTTTTGGGCCCGGGGTAAAAGCCCACTGGGCTTTAATGGGGGCCCGACAGGCCCCAAACAACACAAATATACCGAGAAATCTAAAGTTGAACCCCCCCTTTTAGTTTTTTTTTAATTACCCTTTGTTTTACCCTCGTTTCTAAGTATTATCCCTAATGTAATATTAAGTTTGAATAATCTAGAGTTGATTACTACAACATAGTTATTTCTCTAAATCACGTTTAAAAATATAAAAAAGCGCGTTGTTTAGATAATTTATAAATTACAAAAGTTCACATAGAAAGTAATAGTACTCCTATAATATATCTTGCCAAAACATTAAGATTAATGGTATCTCGACTTCTACCAGTTAGATTTTATTCAAATTAAAAACTTATACTTATATAGTTACTATAATTCTAGATTCTAAATTTGAACTTTATATACCCAGTGGAAGGTCGTAATACTGCGATTACAGAGGCCGCCTAGGATGGGCTTTAATGAGGGCCTTATGGGGAGGTCTAGACCTGCGTCCCAGCATCCACCAGTTTCACGGGCGGTTTATAACCAGATTGATATCAGAGATTGATCTGTTTCAGCTGTATCTACAGATTGAATATAATTATGTTTTTATATATTTCAGGATATATATATCAAATGTAGTACAAATCCAACAACAAAAACAACAACAACAACAATAATAATAATCTAGAAACGTATTTTATTCCAGAACAAGCAAATATCCCGGATAATCGGCGAATTTGGCCTCGGTCTTTAGATTCACGCGGATATATATATATGCAGTTGCCCTTATAATCTTTCTAAGAGTATGCCTATGTTCCATACGGAGTATTGATTATGGCCGAGCGGGTTCAGAGTCCGCTTACTAGCCAATATGACCTTCCAAGGGCTCGGAAGTATGGATTACTCCGTAACCAGCTCGGACCTCTACATCCCCCAACCAACCCTCGATTCGCTTCCTTGTTTCTTTCCCCCTATTTCTTTCCAAACTTGATTTTCCTCCCTAGTGATCATTGATTGGGTGACATAATACTTCAATTTTTGCCCTCTCATATCCCAACATCCTTCGTGGACTAAAATAGATTAAGCCTTGAGTGCACTGTTTCGATATCAGCCTCAGCCAATATGGATGCTCTATCAAATTTTCAACTGCAGAATTTCTTCCAACGATATAGTCCAATCACCGAGAAGATCTGCGATCAAGTAGCTACTACACTTGCTAACGGCGGAATTGTCAAGGCTACAACGTTCAAATTAGCGATAGCACCGATGTCTTCATAGTCCAATTTCGTGGTCCTAGCAACACTCTAGATCCCAAAATTCTAGCTACTGCGCAGGAGATCTACGGATATTTGGTGCCCACCTGCCAATATCTTACCGACTAGTATATTAATGGGTTAGACCCTCTACAATTATATATGATGAACTGTATATCTGGGGATGTGCTTCTTCGAGTGACACACCTTTCTCCACAGGCCTGAGAATCTTCCTCTTCTGAAACAGACTGTAGAAAGCTTGGCTATGTATGCCTACTTTTATTTATCTCGAGGTTCTATTATAATAATATTTAGATTCTCTTCTTGTGCGTGGCGTAATCGGCCATCTATGCCCTTATTCAGTGAAGCCTCGATCTAGAGTGAATATTTTTTCTAACCTCGACCGTATAATCAACGAATTACCAAGCTGTTTCTAGCCCTTACTAGATATACCTGAAAGCCAGCTCCTATCTCTCTTTATAGATAATTATCATATAGTAATTAATAACTAGGACCTTCTTGAAAATCAAATCCACGTGGCTATTTAAACAGGTAACCTTACTGGCATTTTTGATTGGCGGGATGATAAAGTAGGTCCTTTTGCTATATATCTGGGGGCTAGAGAACATTCTAGGTATCCGGAAGACAACTTGCATAGCCTTTCACCCACAGTATATCGAACTACGTTAGCTATTCTGGACGACGCTTTATAAGGAGATAGGGGATGTATCCGAGGAAATAAAAGTAGCAATTCAGACAGCAAGGATGGTTGGTATCTTTATGGTCAATGAGTTTATTGAAGCTTCTGAGGAGGAGCAAGAGATGAATCTGGCTGTTCTCAAATCGAGGACATTGAATTTGTCTGATATTGGACTTGTAACAGCAAACGGAAGTTTCAGTTTCACTCAGTGAGCAAAAAGAGGCAAGGGGCGAGCACTCGAGTGGGAAGGGAAAGCCGAGATTTGCCAGACATTACCCGGTATTCATGGAGGGAGGTACGGGGTAGCTAGAAAGCGATGACCCGAAGGAGCGCTTGTACTTTTTTTTGGTTTCCAATATTTTTTCCTACGACATGATTTAAATCTCAATCTTAGCCTTTGTTATAGGCCTACTTGGCATTTTTGAAACTCGAAGCTCTGGATATTCTAATCTGCCACAGCCCTAAAACTTTAGGACCAAACGGCTCTGCGCCGACGTTGAGGAGAGTTTTAAATCGAACTTGATTCAACGCACAATTTTATTCCTTAATTTTATACTTTCCTGAGAGCTATAAATCGGTGGCATATTCTAATATCTCAGCAGATTAATGATCCAAATCTATAAGTCGAACTTTCCTCAAAGCCGAGCAAAGATGGCCAATGATGACACTAAGGTTGCCTCCTCTATCGGCAATGCCACCAATATACATATTTCCAACAATCCAACTCTGGTCATGAGTATGCATGGAAATGCTGATCTGGAAAAAGGACTCGCATCATCTGAAAAAGCCGAATCACCTATCGAGAAATCAGTTGCTGCTGGTCCAGCACCCGTGACACCAGTGATCGGTCCGCCGCCTGATGGAGGTGCGCAGGCATGGCTGGTCGTATTAGGAGCTTTCTGCGGTCTATTCGTCAGCTTTGGCTGGATCAGTTGTTAGTCCTGTCGGAATATATGAACTGAACAGACACTAATATCAGCCAGGTATTGGAGTCTTCCAAGCATACTACGAAAGTCACCAACTGAGCAAGTTCTCTACTAGTACAGTAACATGGATCACATCGCTAGAAACCTTCACTATGTTCTTCTGCGTGCGTATACCATTCACTTAGTACCAGTTTACTATATCCCCAAAACCAGTCCTAACATCCTCCCCAGGGCCCAATATTCGGAATTATGTTCGACAGCTACGGACCGCGGTGGATCCTCCTCATCGGCACAATCCTTCATGTCTTCGGCCTAATGATGGCTTCCCTCTCAACAGAATACTACCAATTTATCCTTGCTCAAGGAATCTGCAGCCCAATCGGCGCAAGCGCCATCTTCAACGCTTCCGTCAACTCGGTCAGCACCTGGTTCGCTAAGCGTCGTGCTTTCGCCCTCGGCGTAACAGCCGCTGGATCCAGTCTGGGTGGAGTCATCTTCCCGATCATGGTCACCCAACTGATCCCTCAAGTCGGATTTCCCTGGGCGATGAGAATCTGCGCCTTCCTTATTTTGTTCATGTTGGGTATTGCCAATCTCACGCTGAAGTCGAGATTACCGCATCGCCCGAAGCCATTCGACATCCTGAGTTTCATGAGGCCGTTGGCTGAGCTTAAATTTGTACTTACGCTTGCTGCTTCTTTCTGCTTTTTCTGGGGCATGTTTTTGCCATTCACTTTTGTTATTAGCCAGGCTGAGAGATATGGCATGTCTACCAATCTAGCCGGGTATCTGATTCCGATTTTGAATGCGTCGAGGTATGTTTTCCATTTCTAGCTCAATAATATCCCCTCGTTGATGAATTAACAAAATATAAATAGTATCTTCGGCCGCACACTCTCAGGCTATCTCGCTGACAAGGTCGGCCGTTATAACATGATGGTTCTGACAACGTTTTTCTCGGCTATCCTCGTCCTAGCCCTCTGGCTACCGTCAAAGGGCAACGTTCCAGCAATTGTTTTCAGCGCTCTATATGGCTTCGGCTCTGGTGCGTTTGTCTCACTTGCACCAGCTCTTGTAGCGCAGATCTCCGATGTCCGCGAGGTGGGCGTGCGTAATGGCACTTTCTTTGCTGTCATCTCGTTTGCGGCCTTGACTGGCACTCCTATTGGTGGTGCTTTGGTGCCGGTTGTTCTCCATGACGGTTATACTGGGCTACAGACATTCGCTGGTGTTGTTATGATTGTTGGGTCGATTTTGTTTGTTTTTGCTAGGGGGGCTGTTGGAGGGTTTAAACTTACCGCAGTGTGATAGACGGCCTTGTGGTGTCTGTGGTTTTTTGGATGTCTTCTCGGAGACTTTTTTAGATGGCGTTTTTTTTTTAGATATTTCCCCCTTATTAGAAGAATTTCAAAATATAACAGGCGACAAAATAGATGTCTACATACTCGAGAACTTCATCCCTTTTTTCCATACCTACTCCCAGCAATAACCCAGCTCTACCACCAAAGCTGAAATCTCCACGAAAGATGGAATGAGTGTAATCTACTAGGATAATCCCAAAGGCAACAGAATTGATGACGTTCAAAACATCTGACGGGGCTAGCACCTAGAAGTAATCTCGCAATCAACAAGGTACGGCTAAAACCTTAGGCTCCCGCCTAATATATAGTGGGCGACCCTTATCCCGGGCTCCAGGAACTTACATTTTGTCCTTAGTCTTCATGATAGACTCCCTATCCTAACATGGCTTCATGGATCTTCTCAGTATTAAATGATCTATTCCAGGCCGGGAGGGGGACGAATACCACCTTCCTCACAGACCAACATGTCCCCAGTACCGATCTGACCGGCAAATGGATCATTATAACCGGATCCAATAACGGCGTTGGCTTCGAAGCAGCAAAATTATTTGCGTCATGGGGCGCAAACCTCATCCTCGCCTGTCGTGAGCCACCTGCATGGGAACTGCATCCAACAGCCGCTATGAACCAATGCAAAGAGCTCGCCCTTGCGTACGGCCATTCGTCCACTATTGAATGGTGGCCAATCGACATGGCAGATCTCAGCAGCGTCGATGCTTTTTGTCAAAGATGGCTGCAATGCGATCGCGCTTTGGATATCCTGTGCAACAACGCCGGGATTGCTGAGCCGACCAAGCAAACCCCTATAACAAAAGACGGGTTCCACATGGTTCATCAGGTGCGTTTTTTTCTTTTATCTTTCTAAACTTCTATTACATATGAATACAAACAGACACTGATGAAATCTTTCAGGTCAACTTCTTATCCCATGTACTGCTGACCCTTCGACTCCTACCATCTCTAGCTCGCAGTGCCGAGCCGAGAGTTATCTGTACCACATCATGCTTCCACCATCTAGGAATCTTCGATCTGGAACGCTTTAACAGTGAAGAGGGCAGCAGGGGTAACGCTTATCGGAACAATAAGCTTTACTACCAAATGTGGGTTGTAGAGCTGCAGTCCCGACTCCTCAAAAACCCCGAGTACCTCCACATCACAGTCAATGGCATCCATCCTGGCTTTGTGGCTTCGGGTATATGGGATGGTCTTGAGGATGCGGGCAATGCGCCAAGTGGACTGAGCTTGGTTTTGCGCTATGTCGCCATCACGTCGCAACAGGGTGGGTTGGCTATTGTGAATGCGGCTACTAGTCCAGAATTTGGGCCAGATCCTAAGAAGCAGGGTGTTGGCGCACAAACTGGGCGTGGCGGAGGGAAATATATCAATCGGATCTGGGAAGGGCCTATGAAAGCATATTGTAATGATTCAGAAGCTAGATCGAGATTGTGGATCAAACTGGATGAGGAGCTGGGTTTACAAGAGAAGGGCCTCCTGACGGGGTTGGGTCTTTGATGTAATGAACTCGGTGCCAGCAAGCGGTTCAAAGGCTTGTACTAATGAAAGAGACACCAGGGAAGAATAATAGAAAGGATGTTGAACATACTATACTTGTGAGAAAGGCCACCTAAGGGCCCAGCGTTCTGATCGGTAAACATAGGAAAAGAATCAACCGGAAAAGAAGATCTTGGATCGGCGATTATGATGAAAAGGTTATCACAACAAAAGGTGTAATGAGAATGTCCTCAAAGTACCTAAGATGGATTCAAAAGATAGACCAAAATACCTAGCAAGAGTATAGACACGAAAACGCCGTAGCACCGTCGCTGAAGGATGATGCATGAAAAGAGAAGAGAAAAAAAACACCGATTATGCTCCGTGATTTGCCGCCCAAAAATGCAGCAATTAAGCCAATACTCCTTGTCTCATGTTCTGGACCGTCTTGACTCCAACACCTTTCAGTTGGCTCAGCTGTGCCAGGCTATTGACCTGGAATTGGGGCTGGTCTGAGATGATTTCACTATCATTTGTATCCAATGATGCCTGATCCATCTCGCAGAGACAGTCAACAAGAGCCTCTGCCTTCTTTGCGCCCACTCCCTTGAGCAATTTGATCTGGCTCACGTCCCGCGAGTTGATTATGGAAAGAATATGCATAGTTCGGGGAGAGAGAGGCGGGTCCCCACTATGAAGGAGTTCGGGGGCTTCCTCGATCTGACCGAGCTTGGCTGCAGCGCGCTTTTTCTGTCTTGGGCGAGGAACATCCTCGTCACTTGAAAAGCCGGCATCAGTCTGGTCCATGTAGTCATTCTCATGATTCTCTGCTTGGCGTTTGCCGAGGGTTTGTGTGACATCCTTCTTGACTGAGAGCATGCTACCCAACCTCCCCTTGGGCGGAGAGTGAGTTTTCTCTTCCCAAGCCTTTGCATGAACGCGCTCCTTCAGGGCAGCAATCTTGCCTGCCAGCTTCTCGTTGTGAGGGAAGTGGGGAGCTGCAAGCTGGTACATTCTCAATGCTGAGGTGTCTTCGCCACGCGCCTGATGTTGCTTGGCCATCAGCAGGTATGAGAGACCCTCGGCGCGGGCATCTTCTGAGCCATCAATACGCTGCTCCAACTGTTCCAATCGCCTTTTAAGTTGCTCATTAATCTCATAGACTTGTGTCTGCCTCGATTTTTCGCTCACAGCCCGCACAGCGAGTATCTCCTCAACCTTCCTCTCGACCATCTCCTCGATCCTAGCAGCCGAGAAGTCGTCATGGCGAGTGGTCGGTTGCGCGCCCAGAGGCTGACGAGCGGACTTTAATGATGGAAGACCGGAAGGGGCGTTCGAGATCGAGGTGCGTTTCGGCGCTTCCGGTTTCCGGAGTTGACTAATAAGCTTGGATTGCGGTTTGTCCGAATACACGCTGAATGCCTTCACTGGTTTCCCGTCTTCCTTTTCTGTGGAGTCCTTTGCAACGGGCGCCGGCATATTGACGTTCACAGAAGCTGTCAGTGCACGCAAAGGTTGCCGTGTGCCCATGGATGGCCGGATCGATGGCCGCGCCGGACCCTTAAACATGGGATCGTTTTCTACTTCCCGAACCTCGATCTTCCGTGTGCGATTGGCGACGTTCAGAGAGCTAATTGTGTCAAGTTGATAAGATCGTACAGGCGCGAGGTTAAGAATCATCACTGTCAAGCCATTGTTCTGGCCCAAGGACAAAATTCTTGTCATCTTGGACTCGCGGTATGGGATGCGATGCTGCTTCTTATTAATAGCCTCGACACATTGCGCCAGAACAAAAAGACTCTTGTTGATGCTAGCCGATTCGACCATGCGCTCCTTATCATTTTCTGTCCGTCGATTGTCTTCGGATCCTGCGAGATCAATAGCGGAAGCAGTGCTGACGCGAACCTTGCCAGGAGAGGTGACGGTAACCTTCACGCCGAGAATAGCGTGAGATCGAGACGAATGGGCGTTGAGCTATATTCGGACACTTAGTAAGAGAACCTATATCCTGATTTTTAGCACGATATCATACCTTTGTCGCGGAGGTAGATCGGTTTGTGTTGGCCTGGTCATAGAGCTGCTCAAACTCCTTAAGAGTAGTACATGACTTCTCGCTCAAGCCGCAAACTACAGTTTTGCCACCATTATCCCGGAGGGAAAGACCTGACATTGTGCGCTTCTCGAGCGGCTCGAACAAGTCGTACACCTTATCGTTGTAGATTTCATAATAGCTCAGGGCAACCTGGACTGTTGTCTCCCCATTGCTATCCTTCTCGATCTTCCGGCTGCGTCTGTAGATGCCACTCAGAAGGCGGGGAATCACACCCCGATCAGCCAGGGTTTTCCCGCCACGCATTGTGTGTGTTTTGCCTGTTCCAGTGACACCGTATGCGAAGAGAGTCACGTCGAATCCGTTGAGAAGATGCTTGATCGTTGGTGACACTGTTACTCCAATCAATACACTGACCCATCGCAGACCTGGCGAGCTTGAAACAGCAACTCACCTTCAGCATCGAACAGCTCCTGCTGCGATACATCCGCGTCATACACGCCATTGAACTGGAACGCATATTCCTCTCCCTCATTCTTGGGGTTAGGGATCCGGACGATATTATCCCTGTCCCTCAATGCCGCCAATTTCTTGTCACTCTTGTCACTGTTGTCGCTGATTATGGACTGACGTGATTTGGCGTCGGCGGCAGCGGAAGATCCTGTACGAAGGATTACATCGGCCTCCCGTTCGGACTTTAGTAGAGGACGAATACGCGCGACAACTCGGACACTCATTTTGGCGGGATGTTCATTCAATTGTCGTATGATGATCTGGGGTCCTGGACGTCAGGTCTGCGATCCAATCCAAACAAAACTGAAGGAATGACTATAACGAAGTGTAAAGCCAAAAAAAAAAAGAACAATGAAGTCCTCCGCAAAGAAACAAAGAAACGAAACTAACTACTCGGTGTATGCAGAACTGAAGGTTGTGGAACGTGTGGAGGAGATTCTCTTGTGCACCGGCCAATGTGGTTGTTGTTGGCAGGGCAACCGCCTCTTCGCTCTACAACATATGTTTTATAGTACATTCTTCGAGATTCAAGCACCACAATAGGGATATATAACTGCTTTGATGCAGGTTAAACAATAGGATTATCTAGGAAATGCTATAGTCTCATCAATATCATTGATAGTGCAATATGATTTACAGATCTGCCCTGCGCTAGTCAGATATGAACGCTTAACTCCCAGTGCAAGCCCAGATACTTGGAAATATATATAGATCAGCTTGGCAAGAATAAATAACAAATATAAATTCCTCAAAATTGATATCTCAACGGTCTTATACTCAATATCAGATGTTGTCGTACAATATAAAAACACGCCTCTCGTCACATGTCCCCCGTCCTCTGATTGGCTGAAGGGCCCCGACCTAAAGGCCACCGTAGACCATCATCACCGCCTCTCTCACACTCCCTTGGTTTCTTCTGGTGAGCTGTCCTTTGCTTCGCTACTGCCTTTCGTGATATTTCTGGGTTTCCTAAAGGTACAGCCTGTTCTGTACGCAACCAGATTCGCCCTGTCCCGTTGATGAGAAACTGATTGTGGGGGTTCCAGGAGCTGTTACCACCCGTCTTCTCATATCGATTCCACCCGCGTAACGAGCGCAACCTTCTTTTCCTCCCAACCCTTCAGTACGACTAAACACAACCTATTCAACCCTAATGGCAGCACCACAAGGGGGATTCCCTCCTCAGGAAGGGTATGCCCAGCCCGCCTATGGCTCTCCAGAACCCACACAGTCCCCGGTCCATGGGCAAGGCGCGCCCGCACCAGCCGCAACTGGAAAGAAGAAGAGAGCGTACGCTGGTGAGGCATTTGATTTTGGCTCCGGTGCCAATGCCGCGCTCGGTGGACAACCCACAGCTGGTGGTGCCTACGGGGCCTACCCCCAGCAGCCCCAAGTTGCAGGATATCAACAACCCGCCTATGGTGTTGACCCCAGCCAGATGCAACCCGCAGCACCATCATACGGCGCGCCTGCTGCCGCCGATGTCACCCAGATGACACAGCAATTTGGCGGAATGGGCATGAGCGAGCCCCACCACATGCCGCCCGTGCAGCCTGTGGCCCAAGCCCCTATGCGACCTCAAGTCCAGCTCAACCAGCTTTACCCCACGGACCTTCGATCCCAACCTTTCAACGTCGCTGAGCTGGACTATCCCCCTCCTCCAGTCATCTTGCCTCCGGGAGTATGTATAGATGTCATACTTCGCATGTGGTCGATATGCTAACAATTGACAGACCAGTGTTTACCCATCACCCGAAGCCAATTGCCCTACGAAATATATGCGATCCACGCTCAACGCTGTCCCCACAACCAACTCACTTCTTAAAAAGTCAAAGTTGCCCTTCGCCCTTGTCATCCAACCGTATGCTTCTCTTCACGACGCCGAGGACCCTATTCCTGTGATTCCAGACCAAGTCATCTCACGATGCCGACGTTGCCGCTCCTATATTAACCCCTTCGTCACCTTCCTCGACCATGGCCACCGCTGGCGTTGTAATATGTGCAACCTGACCAACGATGTGCCGCAGGCCTTTGATTGGGATTCTACATTGCAAAAGCCCGCTGATCGTGCGCTGCGTGCCGATCTCAACCACAGCATGGTGGAATTCGTTGCCCCGCAGGAATACATGGTCCGACCTCCTCAACCTCTCGTCTACCTCTTTTTGATCGATGTAAGCTATGCATCAGTGACCAACGGTCTTTTGGCCACCACCGCTCGCACCATCCAGGAGAGCCTTGATCGCATCCCGAACGCAGACCGGCGTACTCGCCTCGGCTTTATTGCTGTGGACTCAAGCTTGCACTACTTCAGCATTCCCCGGGACGAGTCAGGGTCCTCGGAGCCCCGCATGCTGGTTGTCAGTGATCTGGACGAGCCTTTCCTCCCCATCCCTGGTGATCTCCTGGTGACGCTGAGCGAATGCCGGGAGAACATTGAGGTTTTCCTCAAGAAGCTGCAGGAGATGTTCCAGACTACTCAAAACAACAGCTGTGCTATGGGTGCGGCATTGCGAGCTGGTTACAAGTTAATCTCCCCCGTCGGTGGAAAGATGACCGTTCTCAGCTCATCTTTGCCCAATATTGGTCACGGAGCGCTCACTATGCGAGAAGACAAGAAGGTACTGGGCACTAGCAAGGAATCAAGTCTGCTTCAAACCGCAAACTCTTTTTACAAGAGCTTTGCGGTCGAATGTTCAAAATCTCAAGTCTCTGTGGATATGTTCCTCTTCTCATCACAATACCAAGATGTGGCATCTTTGAGCTGCTTGCCCCGCTACACTGGTGGTCAGACCTACTTCTACCCTGGCTGGAACGCTGCACGGACTGAAGATGCTATGAAGTTCGCCCGTGAGTTCTCTGACTACATCTCGTCGGAGATTGGTTTGGAGGCCGTTCTCCGCGTGCGCGCAACCACCGGTCTACGTATGAGCACCTTCTACGGCAATTTCTTCAACCGTAGTTCCGACCTCTGTGCTTTCCCAGCCTTCCCTCGTGACCAGGCCTACGTGGTAGAAGTGGCTATTGATGAGACAGTTACAAAGCCGGTCGTCTGCATGCAGGCGGCTGTCCTTCACACTACCTGCAACGGTGAACGTCGTATTCGTGTCTTAACCCTGGCACTTCCAACCACCCAGAACCTGGCAGACGTCTACGCCTCGGCTGACCAGCAGGCCGTTGCTACATTCTTCAGTCACAAGGCTGTGGAGCGCACATTAAGCAGCGGCCTCGAGCCCGCTCGCGAGGCTCTTCAGGCCAAGATTGTGGAGCTTTTGCAGACTTACCGTAAGGAGCTTGCGGGTGGCAGCGTTAGCGGTGGTGGCCTCCAGTTCCCTGCCAACTTGAGAGCCTTGCCTGTCCTGTTCCTTGCAATGATCAAGAACGTGAGTTTTCTCTATTCCGCTTGTGATAGCTGTTCTATACTAATCGATACTCTCTAGATCGGTCTTCGTAAATCCGCCCAGATCCCCACGGACATGCGCTCCGCAGCTCTCTGCCTTCTGTCGACCCTACCCCTGCCGCTCCTCATTCAATATATCTACCCGAGAATGTACTCACTACATGACATGCCCGACAATGCGGGTGTGCCTGATCCACAAACCGGCGAAATCCTCCTGCCCCCTCCTGTCAACTTGTCCTCGGGCCGCCTCGTGCCCTACGGTCTGTACCTCATCGATGATGGTCAGACCCAGTTCCTCTGGGTTGGCCGCGATGCTGTTTCGCAGCTTATCGAGGATGTCTTCGGCGTCCCCGACAAGTCGCAGTTGCGGGTGGGCAAGCAAACCCTCCCTGATGTTGAGAACGAGTTCAACCAGCGCGTGCGGGCAGTGGTTGAGAAGAGTCGGGACCACCGGGCCAAGGGTGTGGGCAGCATGATCGTGCCTCACCTGTACGTTGTCCGCGAAGATGGCGAGCCCGGTCTGCGTCTCTGGGCTCAGACAATGCTAGTTGAGGATCGTGCCGATCAAAGCGTCAGCTTGGATCAGTGGATGGGTTCCTTGCAGGAGAAGGTTTGAGCCCTCTGCTCTGGCCATGTATCGGTCAGCACTGACGATTTGTTCTCAGGTCGTGCAGTAATGAGGACCTAACCGGTTGGTCTTAGTGGAGCTTGACATTCATGTTTTCACGAGTCCTCACGCCTGTACCATTACGTTGGGGAAGATTGCGCTTGGTTTTGTATCACGGCGGGCATGTTTTGAATTATCTAGTACTAGTAGATCGCTGGGTTATAGTTGACAAGGCAGTAGACGCTGGTCGCATCTATGAAGAATTAACGGTATCATTTTTCCCTTTTTCAATATTTGCATATTGTTTATTATCTCATCAGCACCCCCTCGGGACATACAGCCGGATGCACTGGTCATGCCAATGATTGTAGCAGAAAACACCGTCAACCATTGCCAAAGGTCAATTATGTATCATAGTCCCTACTTTACCTGGTTGGATCTCGCTCTTTTCTTTAATTGGTTATGTACAAATGAGCTATTCTGCCAGAGCCACTCCCTGATTAGGATACCCTTCAATGGTCCACCCAGAGGTGTTGTACTGTGCCGCCCACTCGTGGATCTTCCAGAAGTCACGGCAGGTATGCTTGACCGCGAGGTTAGGGATCCAGGCCGTGCCGTCATCCCTCGCGCCACCGGGACGTGGGATGTGTACCAATGGCGTTAAATCACTGTGGCACATAATGCTCTAGACACAATTAGCAGGTTGAAAATGGAACAAGAACGAGACCGGCTTACCTGTCTGAGATAGTCGATGCAGTGATCTGTCTATCTGTTAGCCAGTCTGAGCAAATACCCAGAACGAAGAAGACATACCCATATGCATCTCCGCATTTACGCCCGTGGTAAATGTGGAGTTGTTACAGATCAGCCGACGTAACGAGTTCAGGCAGTGGAGCTGGTGGAACACCTCGAGTTGAATCAAGGGCGTGCTATCTGTATCAGACGCGGGCTCTGTTTCTTGTCCCAGTGCTTGATACATGGTGTCATCGAGAGCGATAATGCCGGCTGTTTATTAGCTAAAGAAAAGGACCAGCGTTGTACAGAGTATAAGTCCTACCACTCAATAGTTCGTACCACTTGACATTGTTTGCTGGTGTTGGGGGCCCTTCGTATTCTGTGACTGGGTGTGCTCTTGTGCCCATCCCACTCATCTCGAAGACAACATCTTTATACTCGACGGAATTTGCAGTAGGGCCTGGCTTGTCAGTCTGAGCACCTAAAATCGGAAGAATTCAATCATACCAAACTCGAGGGCCTGTAACCTAAGGCGGCAGGTGTCTCTGTAGATGATATACCATGATGCAGATAGCCAGAGCACCGCTAGTAGGGCATGAATAGCGATTCCGACAGGACGTAGGAAGACCGATTGCTGAGGTGGAGCTGGACTCTCGAGCTCACTGTCGTTGCCCTGCTCCAGCCGGTCATACCAGGCACCTTTACTGAGAAAGCTAAACGCTTTCATGCTGAGCAGGGCCTGGAGTATGAACCATCAGGCCGGAGAGGAAGTGGGCCACTATTTGAGAATCTACTACAGCGATACCGGTCTACTACTATTACACTAGTCTATTTCTAGGGCATCTCAAATGATATCATATGTATACTCCATTCTATACCCCGGAGCTCCGAGCGCCGAGCTCCGTATATGTAGTAAATCAATGTAACATTTGTCCAAAGGAAGGGCTTACTATAAGAATTCAATTGGACTCCGCTCCGCCTAGTGATCCTGGCGGCACTACTAGTAATATGTTCACTTTTTTAGTGCTCCAAAGTGGAGAATTCATTTATCAATGTCGTTATCAAGGTACAACCAGTGGAACGCTAGCACCTCCGTATATGCAGGAGAGTCTGGGAAGATACTAGGCGTGGAAATATAGAGCCTCGGGTCAGTGCATCGGAAGCCGCCGGGCGGGCCCCCCCCTCTCTTGGCAATGTGAGATATCCAACCTTTGGAAGCTTATACTAGAAAGTTCGTTTGTATACTCCGTACAATGCATCTAAGTATTCTCAATGGCTTGGAGTTTATTGCTTAAAGCTACTAATCAATTCTCTGTATAGTGTTTTTGTATTCTCCATGCCTCACTCTCCACTTTAGTCAGATCTTAAAAGAGCCAATTCCCTACTGGCTGAGAGGTTGTTGTTGGCATATAAATGGTTATGACCATAGATCATTCTCTGGCATTTCGGATACCATCTCCGTAGTCAACTACATATTGATATGAGGCCGCGTAAGCGTCTGCATAAATAACCGTGTCATTTCCACTAATCGCTAGATCTTCCCCATATACTGATCGATAATCATAAACTCCTACCCCTGCTAGTAGAGATAGGGCCTGGGTCCGGTATTTCCAGGTCGCAGGGATGCGAATCCCGACTTTACCATACCATGCAGCTGACTTTAGGTAGACGCCATTTCCCATAGCCAGCTATCTAGCAAGAGACAAACTTAGTCTGGATAATGGTGTTGGTGCTGTTGTGCTCGATGTGTTGTGCAAGAAGCATTGCTTCGCAGTGCGCCGTGTGATTATACTTTCCGATGTAATTATCCACAGGCCGGCCCCGCAACAGGGCCTGGTGCATCTTCCGCCATGTGTACGTGCAGTGGAGCAGATGGTATCCCCACGAAACAAATAGCTCGTCGTAATCGTCAAGCCAAGGAAGTTCTCTGTGAGTTCTGCGTCGTAACAGTCTGTTGGTAACCAGGAGAAACTCATTGGATCAAAATGACAGCCCATTGATTTGGCCTCTTTGCGTGATGATCCACAGTGGGCGGTAGGAGAGGTCGACAACTTGTGTAAGGTGGAGGAGTGTAGAGCAGGTCGGCAATGGGAATGTTCAGAGACAGAAGAACGATGAGGATGATTAAAGTAGTGGTTGCTTTGACTCTGGATGTTTCCTGGGTCTTCTTTCTTAAAGAACCCTCGAGAAAAGATTCCCCGAGTTCGAGGTTTGATTCCATATTGGGCATAACGCTACCAGGACAATTGATGGTTCGCGGAGTCGAGGCATATAGTCAAATTGAATGAACATATAATAAAGGAATAGCTTGTGGCATACCGCTAGACTGATCCTAGGCCCAGTAGTGCATAGCCAAGGAGGTCATGGGACGTATGTGAAAATATTTCTAGTCGAATCTGGTCTACAGAATAGCGAGGGGATAGATAGGATATACAAGGGTTTGCTCTCAGACCTCCTTTATTGATATTGACGGTCTATGGGATTCCAATGCCTGTCTACAACACGCCGGTTTCGGGCCTTACGCGAGTCAGTACTTCGGTATCTCGAGATATGAGTAGCTGCTCTCTTCCATTATTCCAGGTCCTCTCTGTATTTGAAATAAGTCAAAGATCTAGCTCACTTCTACTCTTTACGAGATCTACCATATTTTCTTAGTGGCACGCACTGACAGTACTTCTCAAGCTGATCGTAAATCGATATCACCATGGTTCGTTAGTCTCTGGGTGGTCCTGTAGATGACCAGAGGGCTGCACTGAATAGCGTGATATGTGTGTTCTGGAGGACGAAAGAAAGGTTTGTAGGAAATTGATTAGGTCAATCAAACCAAATGATCTAATTTGTGAAAAGACAGTATACCGAGAATCTGGTAAGCTAGTAAAGAAACGGCCAATTATACGGAGTTGGGGTTGCCGATATCTGTTCGGCCCTGTGCCAATTCAGGTTTAGTGGTCTAGTTAGTACTCCGAGTTCCGTAGTGTAGGTAGGTACCAGTCGTCCAGTCAGGCAACATGAACACGCACTAGGGTAGATAACGAGGGGGTTGCTTTGACTCGATACTACTATATAGATCCCTGCACTTTCTGGTCCTTTTTTTTTTTTTTTTTTCTATCTGGTGACCCCCGCCAGTCAGACAAGGCGACATCTCAGATTCAACTCCCTATTCTACATCTTCTCCGTAGTACTTCTTCTCCGCCATGTTACCATCAACAGATGATATAGCAAAATTTATTGCTATCGCTCCAGATGCTAATGAAGGGACTGCCCTTAGGTTTTTGGAGGTAAGATACTTTGATCTCCTCTCTTTCCAACTATACTAACACATCTATTCAAGGGGGCGGAAAATATTGACGATGCCATCAGTCAGTATTATGAAAGCCAAGATGAGGCTATAGCTCCAAATTTGTCCGATCCAACAACCCTTCGTATGGATTCTGGGGCTGATATGCGGAACTCCCCCCACCGTATGCACGTTCCGCAATAAACAGGGTTGCGCATCATTACACCAACGCATTCACTGGAGCCGCTGACCTCCGCTCTAAAGATGAAGTACGACATATAATCCTTTTATCTTGATAAATGACTAACGTCTATCTGCTCTAATAGCAAGATATGAAGGCCGCCCTACATAATATCCAGCAGGCGGGTGGCATTTTCAATAGTGATATCGAGCCAGAGCATACTACGCAATTTTATAATTGTAACTGCGATGTCCACAACTACAAAGAAAGAAAGGCTGCCAGGCTTCCTGTTCAGGAAATATGGTCTAAAGCAGTCATCTACCCAGGTAAGCTCGGCCAATTTCACGATAGCAGTTGCGTTGCAGCCACGGTCTAACTTTCTCTTTCTCCGACCAGGTGAATCAGCCTATCATGACAGTCACTCGTCAGCTCTCATCGCAAAAAACCCATATAGCCGGGTGCCCTCACTATTTCCACTTACGACTCCCGGGACTTACACTAGGGCGAGGCCTACTCCGTCCGGTTACAATCACTATCTTCAAAAGATGATACAGTTGAATGCATCCCTCAATGCCGCGGCACAGACTGCCATTGATGCCAAAGAGCCAGTATCCATATGGGATACCGAAGACACAGAAACCTCTGTATCAAATGAGTCTGACGCCACAGCTTCTCCTGATACCCAGCAACCAGCTATACAGGGGCTCTCTCATCAAAAAAATCCCTCAGGTACCCTCACTGAAAGCTCCAAGCCATCGGCATTTGGTAGTTTGAAAAGGATGTTATCGAAGAACACATCAGAGGAGAAAGCAGGGAAGATATCTATTCATCCCAAAGAGCTACGCGCGGCCATCCTAGAAGAAGAGCAAGGCAGATGGCCGAGTCAAGAATGGCGGCAGCTTGTGGAAGCCTATCAAGAAACAGTTGGAATCAGTCAAAAGGTCGCCGATCTTCGAGCCCGGCGCCCAATTCAGTATCTTCACCTCCTCCGAGCTGGATATTTTGAGCCTATTCCAATGGCTTGGGCAAAATCCACATCCAGCCCTCTCAAATTGATCATTGATGCATTTGGTGGGTGGAGAGGAGTCACACCCAGTTGGAGAGGATACAAAGATCTTGCCGAGGAACGTTTATACTGGGCCATGAATACCACAGACGGCATTGCTAGAAACAAGACGAAGCCCGATTCCATCTCTGCTATGAACATGGCTCGATCTAGAATTGAATCTGCAGTTAGCACACCTACAGAATACTTCTCACCCGACGATATCTGCAATATTCAATCCATCGAGGCTTACTCGAAGCAGGTCATGGCTCCTTTCAGATCCTTTGCGGAGCCGGCAATTCCTTTAGATGAAACTATGATTCTCCTAGAGGCCTCAAAGTCTATGAACTCTCCACCCCTTCTCCCGTATTATAATGAGCATCTCATTACAGGTTATTCCGTCTCTAAGCAGGCAAAGAGCAAAGGTGACTAAATTGACCTCCGACCAGTCTACCTCGGATACTGACTGCAGGAAATAGATATCGCCAAGGCCGTCATACATCGCTTTTCCCAAGCAATGATCAATCATGACCACGATACTCGAGGCTATCAACTCGTCACCTTCGCAAATCAGGCCCGCTACGCAGGCCTCATCAACCACCAGAATTTGGAACAAATATGGTCAAACATTAGATTCGGAGGAGAAACTCGACTGATGTTAGGCTGGCAAAGAGCCAAGGAGCTCCACTTCCAAAAACACTTCGGGACAGCAGTCTACCACCCTATGTATGGTTGGCAAGCCGGTCCACAAACACCCATACTGAGACTGCTTATCGTACTCGACGGCGAAGCAGCAGACATGAACGAATTCCAGCTTGATCTTCTTGGCCTATCCTGGGTCTATGTCACGATCTTCCTGATGGGTGCAGATGGATGTCCAAACCACCACCGCCTTGCAAACGAGCTACAGAGAATCAGCAATACCAATCCCCGTATCTCTTTCCTGGATGCGCAGGGGAACATGCCAGAGCGCTTCATCACTCACGAACTGCTGAAGCGACATCTTGGATACAATGTTTCGTTCTCTGATTTCAAGACGCTGGAGCAAGCGACGGTGGATCTACCATCTTATGTAGAGTAAATTACACGTGTTCAATTGAATGGTCTGGGCTGTCTGATCTGGCTCAGGGAGGATCAACCATCTAGTGATATCTATCATGTTTTATTGCAAATGACTGTGTTTTTCTACCTCTCAAATGAAATGAATGAATACGTAAGCTCTATGGTGCTACCGTAATCAATCCAACGGCTTTCACGGAGTAGTGGCTAAATAAGCCGACTTTGACCAGAGACCAAGAATATTGAAGATCAGTGATAATCTACATGTACCTATATATATAAACAAGGATTCAATTACCTCTGGGCCATCAGAAAATTCCATCTCACTATTTTCTATTTTGAATGTATTAGCGCCTGTCTGTTATAATTAAGCATAAGCCTTGGAGCAAGTGGTCACTGGGTGATCATCCTGTCCTGAAATACTCATTCAGCAGGACTGAGCGTCCTCATAAAGCGGTTGTACCCTAATTTAGGAAAATCCCAAAGGCCTAAACTCCCGTACTCGGCACATAGAACATACATATGTACCGGATAATGCCTGGCGCTCGAGATCTTTCCCTTTCCGTTTTAGTGCTCACCCCTTGCCGCTTTTTGATCACTGAGTAAAACTGAGCACGTCCCTGAGTATTCTGACTTGATCATGGGTCATTACATAATCAACTGATCTACTCACTGAGCATCACCTGATCATCCCGTGAGCATTCTGATCCACTCACTGATCATCATCTGAGCACTCTGATTTGATCACTGAGTGCTCACTGAGTGTAGGGATGAGCGGCCTGAGTAAGCTACATCAATAAAATGCGACACGCTAGCCCCGTCACGTGCAACCCTTCTCATTTAGATCGCCTATCGTCCCATCAAAAAAGGACTGGCGCCGTCAACGTGACCGTTCATCCTAGCGGTCTCATTCCTATCCAAGTAAAAGGCCACAGTGGGCCTATTCAATTGACCTATCATTTTCCCATTTCAGACCATGCTCCTGGGAATACCCTTCGGAATACCCTAATCGGGCTTTGGGCCAGGGCGAGGGCGATTAGATAGGTTTCCTTGAAGATCTAGAACCCTTCCCTGTATCGGCAACTGAAGGAATTAGTTTTCAGCAGTTGACGATAATAAACCACTTCTCTCGCCAATGAGCGCACGAGCCGAAAATTTCCTAGGCATAAAACGTATTGTCTTTCGCACCATTGCTAAGTAATCGGTAAGCCGAAGACAAACCAACAACAATAATACTCGATGAGTTCCTGGGAGCCTACCATACATTCCAAGGAACCCACTAAGCTGTATTACCAGAGTCCTAAGGGCCCATAGCTATTTCATTTGAATCCTAGGAACCTTTAACATTGTCCCCCACCCCTAGCATTTCTGCCTAAAGCTATACCATTTCAAAAGGGATATATATCTAGCCACTTGCTCGAAAACAATGGTCTTCATCATTTCTCTGCCTCCAAATTACTTAACAAAACAAAAAAAAGGACCGCTTCTGAATATACCAAAGTGAGTTCAGCCTTCATTCACTTGTTGTCCCGCATCAACTGACCGTACTCCAGATTGGCATTTATCTCGCGCCCACGATGATACGATCGAACCGATCAATATTACTGGACCCACTGCCCACGCAAAAGCTCGCAGCGGAGCATCTGTGCCCTTCTGGAAAACCTCAAAGCTACCAAAAGGATAACCGAGGCTTTAATAACAAGACTATGCTATATATTGTCTTTCGTTGACACTACTTCAGGGAGACTGTCATCAGCATTGGGTTAATCGGAACCTAGCAGGCTCAGTCATCAAGTCCAACATCATCTTCGGTTAGCAATCCGGAGCAACGGAGATACAGGTATTAGATTCCAGGACACTCTTAGAGAATGAACTGAACACTCGGCCAACATAACTATGCACGAACCGGACTAAGATCGTCTTGATTTCTTTGGGAAAAATAAAAGTGCGACTATTGACAGAGCGGTTGCACACGTTCGAAAATACCACATATACGAGGATAGAACTATCTACGTCGTATATAAAGTTCGGAGCTCCCAACATTGAAGCATTCGGCTGACTGATTCACTACACTAGACATGCTGTTTTTCTTCGCCTTAGAAATTATCTCCAATAAGGAGAGAAGCGCAGCATTGGCCATAGAAAATGAAATATTGCTGGCAGTTGTTGAAACAAACAAGTGGCAATATATAATTGAGGACAGGCGGCTGGCACTCCAGCGCATCACTCATGAGGCCGAAGGTCAGGCCATTTGAATACAACAATCAAATCTAAATATTCTGGAAGGACTTTTGTCTGGAATCCGTTGGCTACGAAATGGGCTAGATTCGAACGCAGCCAGTCATCTCAACCCCAAGCTGTCCTTAAGGACTAATCAGACTGTTCATAAGTTTGCAAACCGTCGGCAAGTTTGTCCCTACCCAATTATTCCGTTCGGACAAAGCCTAATGTGACATCATAATGCAGATTCTTCCGATACCGCAGATGACAAGGAAAGCTTGCTTATAATGGGAAGTTATCCCAAAGCTAGACGTGGAAGCAGACGCCTTTCAACATTGGGGGGATCCAAGATTAAAGGGGGATTGCATACTATAGCGTGAGGCAGTTGTCAATTTTGAAGTCCAGCACTGCTGAATGCCACCGAAATAAGGCAGTTCGCAATACCGACGGAACAATTTAAGCCACTGATTGCTAGGACGTGTCTTATATATACTTGGTGCTTGGACTCTGAGTTTGCGACAAGTTCCGAAGGCCCAAATAACAGATATAAGTGGGCTCCATTCTTATGAAAGGGATGTAGTTCCCGAAAGACTACGCAGGGGTCCTGTGGCTGACTGGATTCCTTGAGATTTGAGAGGAGAAAGATCCGTGGTTGAACCCACCGGTCTGATCCCACCTACTAAAACTCACTTCTACTTGCGCATACTCTGTGTCTTCTTCTCCCAGATGCAGGGACACGTTCAAGTTTCTTGTGCTTCAGTCGACTGAGATATACCAACGATGGCCCCTCCCATACTATGAGTTCGCTAACAGGCTCAAAAGTATAAGCCCTAAGGCTGATGAGCTTGGCCACTTGATAGGAGGCCTGTACAGTACTGGCACGGGCGCTCAGAAGTGCTCGGACTTGCAGCGCCGCTTCTGTCGATCCAAAAGAGAGAGTGGAAAGATGGTACGGATGCGAATAGAAATGGAAGGATTCGTTTTCCCCTCGCCATCGAGTAGGTATATGATATGGTAGTATATTCTCGGCCATATTACGTTTATGGAGAGAGTCGTGCGTGCAGGTCCTCGTTTATTATTCCATCCTAACTTTATAGGCATCCTTTTGCCCGCTGGCTCCAACCTGTCTAACCAAGCAACTCTCCTGTCAAGGCTTGAGTGAGCTAGGGAATATGCATCGATTGGGCGAAGGCACGGTCTCCTGGTTTTCAATCTATTGGGATTTAAGACGACAACAAAAGCCCCCCCTCCCCCCATTGCTACCCAGCCTCCCAGCTCCGTATTGGAACCCTAGACTTACGCCTGACAGATACTCAAGCAGCTTACCATCAACATTTCTTGATATGACTTGGGAATGCTAGATTTCTGCTGGTTGGAGTACGTATGTCAGGTCCACTAACGCATATTTCTGGACTAGCGGTCAAGGCCTGACCCCATGCCGCCCCCAGCAACCCAGTTCTACCCTAAAACCCCGTTTGACCTTATATTATTGAACCTGTGAAAATTGCAATCGCAAGCGCAGACCAATTTGAATACTTAACCGTGGTCTAATAGCAGCACCATTTTGAGAACTAGCTTGGTTGTGGCGATTTTGGTCTCGTATTTGATACACAAGCTCAATATTTCTGCCCGTAAGGTAAATACGGCTCTTCTGATCAAATCTGCACAGCCACCATTGCGAGACAGATCAGCCACAATATTTGTAAGGCTCGTAATTGTTGAGGTTACTGAAACGGAAATATTTCTGTAATATACCACCATTGTACAGTCTTTCCCTGAAAGAAGTTACCAGGCCAACACAGCACGCTGAGGCGATCCTTTAGGTAACCGGTAGTCCTTACCGTTTTATGGTTTTATTCACCTTCTAAAGGAGCGCCCGGTTTTGCTTCTACCTTTCCACCTCCGCCGCTGCAAAGTCTAATTGGCCTTTCTCCCTGCACGCGTACTAGGTGAGTGTATATCTGCCCTTTGGTGTCTCAACGATTGACACGGCAAAGTGCACTCGAGCGATGTCGACTCAACCAAATCCTAACCAGCAACTTGAGGTGCTGGAGAGAAACGAGGTTTACGAAGGCTCAGATGAAGGCTTCCAATTCGCAGGTACTCTCGTCGTGTATCAGATGAAGGGGTATTTGTACCACGCGATGCTGAAAGCTCGTTACTCTTCCCCTTGGAATGTCAACGCAGAGGATTTTGAAAATATTATCCAAATCCCTAGCTCGGCCTACAATCCAAAATTTTCTGTCGACTTCACGCCAGCGCCTCAAACCCTGCCCAACAATTACTTTGTCAAAAAACCTCAATTGATCAGTTACGATCGAATCAGTCAAGGACCTCGACCTGATTCGATTGCTGAGGACCTCCTCAAGGAAGCAAGAATTTACGAACATGCAAAACACGCCGTACATACCAAAGTATCCCTTGTTACCGTTGCTGTCATCCCTAGTATATGGTGTGGTAATCGAGTTTTCTTTGTTCGGTTGGCACAGTGTCAGTCGATCGAGATTATTTGCGGGTTTCTAGGAACGTTTAAGAAAGGCCCCGGGCCAGGAAAGGTTGGATGAGAGAATTACCGATGGTAGTGATTTTTTTGTTAACGTCTTGCGGAAGGCCACGAGTGGACAACATCATCTAAATGACAGGAGGTCGATAGGCTTGAGAGAGTGTTAGGCGTCGAAAAAAGGTCTTGCCCAACCCCACTGTCTTTCCCACCTTAAACTCAGCCACTTCGTGGCTATTTTTCCGGATCTCTGTGCCACAACCACACGTAATCCATCCACTTCCTTCCCACTCCTTTCCCACTCCTTTCCCACTCCCTTCCCACTCCCTTCCCACTACAGTAGAATTCGAAATCAGTTTTAACTCTAAACTCTTACTTTTTACGTCCCGGACCCTAAGTGGAGACACGCTACCTAATTTTAGCTCTTCCGCTGTTAATCCATGTAGGACATCCGATCACATCATCTAGACTGATTAACTACAATGCCCAACACAATGCGCACGGAAAACTGCGATTTTATCTAATGGCTATCCCATACATAATATTGACCCGTACTATCCCCTTGAGGAGCATCTCACCGCTTCGAATTACCTCCAGGACAATGTCTACCCATCCAAACAGGGTCCGGATGGACCAACACCTCTATATTTCTACCATTGACTCTGAGCCACTTCATCGCTATCGACAAGGCGGTTACTATCCAGTCACTTTGGGGGAATGCTTGAAGGCTGGAAGGTATAAGGTGTTGCATAAACTAGGGTGGGGAGGCTACTCGACAGAATGGGCGGCAAGAGATCAAAGGTTGTACAAGCTGGTGTGACTCGCGGTAGTTCTAGTTAACTTAAAAGCTGCTTGTTTACAGGTAACAGACGTATATTGCTATCAAAATTTCTATTGCAGAAACTGAATATAATGGGGACACGCGAGAGCTCCAAACCTTGAAAGTGCTTGCATCTCATCATCCTCGTCCGAAACATACGGTGCATATACTCGATGACTTCGATCTAAAGGGCCCAAACGGATCTTATAAATGCCTAGTTATGAGCTTCTAGGCCCCAACGTTCCAGATATAATTGATGCAAACTTTCCAGATGGGAGACTTCCTGGCAAGCTCGCCAAAACCATTGCAAAGCAATGTTTGATCGGACTCGATAGTTTGCACTAACGAAAGATTGGCCATGGAGGTAAACACTTTCTTTGAAATACTTTGGACAGTGCTCACTTATTATAGATCTGCATACCCGCAATTTGGCCTTCGCTATACCATACATAGACGATTTGACTGAAGAAAGGTTTATTGAGATGCTAGGAAAACCAGAAGTTGGCTATGTCCAAAAACGAGATGGGAAATACCTTGAAGCCGGCGTGCCCGAATATATTGTGAAACCTGCCTCATACGGGAATCACTCTTGGTATCTAGCTCAGGATGTCAAAATAATCGACTTCGGAGAGTCATTCTTACACACTGCCCCCCCTGAAACACTGCATACACCTCTATCTCTTCGGGCACCCGAAGTTATATTTCAAGATAACATTGAATATCGTGTTGATTTGTGGAGCATGGGCTGCATGGTGGGTGAAATCATACTCGGGTAATACACAAAAACCCAAGCTAATAGGTTAGCAGCTCTTTGAACTGTTCGTGGGCTAGCCACCTTTCGACACATTCTTAATAACGCCCGCAATCCTTGTTGGCCAAATGCGAGAGATGGCAACTGATGAACTACCTGAAAGATGGCAACATAAATGGAATACGATGAACACAGGGGACGTCATGGCCACAGAAAGCACCGGGCCCAACTTGCAGGAATAGCTGGAAGAAGTATACTTTGATAGCCCGCTGAGTCCCGATCTCACACGAGAGGACATAGTGAGGCTGGGACGAATCGTTGGAAGATTATTGCATTTTGAGCCGTCTGCAAGAGCGTCAGCGAAACAAGTTCTTGATGATACTTGGTTTAATGAGTGACCCCATGACAAATAGTCATTACAATATGAAGGCGCGTGTGAATTTTGTCTTCATTCAATTGAACTGTACTGTGCCTGGCAAATTTCTGAGACTTCTTCGATTTTCAAGCCTACGTGCCGAAAATGACCTCTAGCACTCTCTTCTTTTGCACCGACCATATCAATACACCATCCAAGAAAGGTATCAAAGCCTTGATCGGGGTCTACTTCGAGGCCCCAGTTGCGTTTAATAAAGGCTTTGAGCTCAGCGAAAAACTCTTCAATCGGATTTAAGTCCGGCGAGTAGGGTGGCAGATAGACCAATTTTACCCCTATATCTATATATATCTGCGTTATCCGCTCTGAATGATAAAACGAGGCGTTGTCTATAACTAGAACGGATTTAGGTTCGGGCTATCTTCCGCAGTGCTGAAGAGGCTGCGCTATAAAGTCCTTGAACACGGTGGTATCTGTGGACCCGCAGAATACACGCGATAAAACGATTCTATCCTGGGAATACGCAGGCAGTATCTGATATCGCTGGTCGCGGTGAAATTGTGATACTTATATAGGGGACACACCAAGTGGTGACTAGCCTATACACCTGAACCCAACCCTTTTATTATATCCGGATTTATCTACGTAAACCAGCTGATACGACTGAAAATCCGACAAATTATACAGATGCTATTCTCGCAAATCGGCATTGCGCTCCCTCGCTTACTGCCGAGTGCTCTTTGTAGACTAATTGTTGGTAATAAGGGCTCGTCTGATACTGGAGGTTATAACTAGGGTGCGGAATTCGTCCCAGAGGAAAACAGCTATCTTATCGAGGTATAAACCGGGCTTTTTAGATAGGTGTTCGCAGAGGGCTTTAATCATCAGTGGCGTTACAGTCCGTTTCTGTCCTATTCGAGTTGGGGGGGGGGGGGGGGGTATATACACTTCCAAATTGCCGCAAGTTTACGCGAATAATTATAGTCGTAGCCTGGCTGCATTCTGCTTCTTCAGCTATTTTAGATATACCAAGTGACTGGCTCTCTATTATATCGCGGATGAGATACAGCTTGGATAGTGGAAGTCTGGGAGTTATTTAGTGAGGTTGATTATAACGTTCTAGAGAGATAGTCGGGTGAAGATGCCTCCTGCTTGAGGTGGGTGGTTTGGCAGAGAATTACCATTGTATGGCATTTGCGAGTAAAATACACAGGACAGGGTCCCACCTTCGTTATGTAAAATACAATGTCTATTCTTGGAAATCACGGATCTACCACTATTCCAAATGTGAGCTAGCGTGTGTTAGATTAGGGTTCGCGAATCAAGTCGCAAGAGTGTGGAGTTGACTCCATTTCGAATTCTACTGTATGTCTAACTCAGATCAGAGGATGAATCGATTGTAGCAGTGCAATCAGTGGCTTACCGTACAGTTATCTGCTTACTCACGAACGCTTATGTCTCCTTACAGCGTGATAATCAGCCTGTTAGCTATAGCTTCCCCATGCTGCTTTGTGACACTATCTTGGGAATCAAGTTAGGATAGGCTAACACGCAAGAATGTGACCAGGCTCCTCAGTGTAATCTTTCGCCTTGAGGGTATGACCAACACTCCTTTTCACAATGATTGCAACCAATATGAAATGCCTTACGTCTGGGAAAAGAGCGCCGCATAAAACAGGAGCAGCTGCGCAAGCGCCGCAATTGTTCTTTTCCTGGAAAAGTTCCCCCTCCACCCTTTGGCGTTCGTCTCTCTCTCGGCGAAGCTTTTCCTAAAGCATTCTGTTTTCGTCTCGTAATAGTTGGATTTCATGGTCAACTGCATTTCGGACATGCTTGAAAGCGTTATCCTAGTTCATTATTAGTCGAGGAAGAGAAGGGTTTTATGAGGAACTGGTACCAAACTAGACGGCTCTGTCTCGGTTCTTTTGCGTTTACGTGATGGCATCATGTTGGGCGCATCATCGATTGCTTCAACGAGCAAGTTCTCGAACTCCTGGTATCTGTAATCACGCCGAGGGTATCTTCGAGGACGCGAGCTACCTGGCTCGACGCTTGGCGATTCTTCGTCATCGGGTATAATAATCCTGTTGGAATAGCTTGCCATCGTGTTCGTAGGGGGAGGAATGCTGATATGACTCGACCGGATAAGAGAGAAAGAGAAAATCAGACTATGACACCGGCTGGGGGAGGCCCTTTATATACCTGAGAGCCGATTGTGGCGGTGTCACCATAGGAGACAACTAGACTGATGGTGTGAGGCTAGGCCATAGTGTTGCAGCGGATGTAGACAGGTGCAGATATGCGGTTCTCTTGAAATAGAGTCAATTGGATGAGTAGTCTGGTAAATTGTGCGGTAGTCCTGAGAACGGCCCATCAAAGATGGAGACGATTGGTAGATTGCTCTTATTGTTCCATGCCTTTACACTAGCCATTATCACCCACGGAACTAAGGCGAGCATCCTCGGCCTAGTTTCACACTCAGACGGTAAAAGCCGGACCGTATGACGATGTTGCTGCAGAATGTCCGTCCAAATTATCGACGTTTGCGGCGACAAGGCACACTCTGCAATACGAGGCGAGGAATTCTGGAAAGCGGAAAGCTGCACAAGGAACCAGCGTATGAAGTTATATGGCAGCCTTTCAGAGGGACCTTCATATAAAGGGGCAGAGTACCCTTTTCTTCATCCAAAATGACACGGAAAACATTAGCCAACGCCTGTGAGGGCGTTGAATCCCCTAAGGCAGATTTGATGCCCCAATATGCAATATGCAGTGGTGCTAGTCCAGGAAGCGCAAAGGTTCAACAATGGACCAACTGATTGACGCGAAGTGGACCTTCCGATCGAAGTTGTGGGCCAATGGTGAAAATGCCTTATCTCGGACGCAATAGGAGGAGGAGGAAGACTAAAATAAAGGGACTGTAATCAATCTGCATGAGGATAAAAGGGAGCGGGAGGAGATAAAAATATCGGTAGGGTACGTATAGGGAAGAGTCCAGGAGAGAGCTAAAAACAGCAAAGGGTTGAGGCAGCGATGGAGGATGGAGGATGGAGACTTTATCGATAACTTATGGATAGCAACAGGCATAGGGACGCTATGCCCAAACTGACATGCTAAAACTTATATGGAAATACATCTGCTAGGAGCTGTTATCAGGAGGATTGACTATGCTGGTAAAGAAGCAATTGTTTCGAAGCTGATCTTGAAAATGCGCTTGAGCTATTATTGTTAATCTCTACGTGCTTGGATGAATGGTAATCGTGCTGCACTTTGTGTTCCAGACCAACCTTTCTACATCAGAACACTAAAGCGGGTTATATAGACCGAGCTCATGTCATATAGCCAATAATAGCCGTTAATTCCGTTTAATAGCGTTGCCAACTGAATCGGAGTGTTCACCAGAAGTGGTCTCCGTCGTTGATGAGGCTCATAGGTACAATTGAATGATCGGCTAAGAGATCTCGAATATCACGTGGCTGAGCAAAGCCCTACTTGGTTAATTCACAGCCGACTGAAGTCTGAAAACCCTCCCATGATTACTATTCCACTTTTCGTGGGTGTTCCGAGCAGGTCCTGCGGATGATATATGTAGTGCGAAATGAAGAAAGCAGGAGCCTCGACTGCGTGAGATCTAACTCTCAAATGAAACCCGCATTTGGGTATTTTTGCTGAAGAAGCGACTCCACCATGAGATGGTGAAATCATGTACCCCGTGTAACTTTTCGGCTTTGACGCTGGTACGAAATCCTTAGAGAAAAGGAAGAATGCCTGAACCACCTGTACATATAGCTCCACACGTTGAATTGGAATACTAAATACTATAATTAACAAACCCCCAAGTCATTGTTGACGGTGAATCGCACACTAGAAAGTTCTCATAATAAAAATAGAAAATGAGAAATTTCACCAAAGACCAATCACACATAGCATGAAAGAAAGCATGCTTTTCAAACAGACACATAATCACAGATAGAATTCACAGCATGAAGTCGCCGGGGTATAGCGAGTAATTTTGATAGACGGGTATGACAGGATAGGCATCTCATCATGGTCCCCCGACTGCATTTTTTCCCTCTTTTGGACATAAGCAGACCTGAAAAGGACGACAGAATCAAAACGGAACAGAATAAACAACAGCATACGGCAGACGCACATCACCCTCGACAACACTATTGTAGAGACCGCTGCTTTGGATGGCCATTGGAACTGTACCGTCTTGCGATGTTGCGCACTGTGAGTTCCAGGCCTTTGCGTGGGTGACTGGGTTTATGTCTGAGAGAACGTCTGGGAGGGTTGAGAGGTTGATGTTGGACTGGGGCCAGCTTCGATAGGATTGGAGGGTTGAGAGGACGCAGTCTGCGTCTGTATATGTCGTCGTCATTGCTCCTATTGGCTGGGGCATCTTCGTGGCTATGCCTTGGCTTGGGAGGACGAAGTCGTACGTAGCTTCGTTCATGATGCTACTGCGTTCTTCAAAGACCTCGGTGGGTCTGCCATTGAGATCCCGATACTGGTTGGCCCATACGGTGCTATAGTCGTCGAGCATTCCTCTAGTGTTGGGCATGTAACAAAGCGATGTCTGACCATGATAGTTGGCTGACTGGTTATTATAGGACTGGTCTATAGCGACGGGTTGTTGCCGTGGGAGGATATCCAGCTTGTTCTCATTTTGCTGGCATAGAGCCCGTATTTGAGTGGAGCCCATAATGGTTAGCGTTTTTTCCTGACACCTGGTTGCATAAAACCTAGCCGCTTCTCCAGCAATATCTTCAGGGGACAAAGATTTTGGCTAGTAGGGCAAAAAAGGAAGGTTACTAAAGCTCTCGTTGTAGGTATTGAGGACTTTGGCTCACTCGTATGTACTGGCATTCGGTGGCTCCAACATGACAGCAGGTTGAGCAAGGTAGGCCATTGCGGATATCACCGCTACATTTGATCCTTCTCCTCCGGCATCGAGTGCACTAGTTGAGGGTTACAGAGTGCCAGGTGATCAAGATGACGGGAGCACTCACTGCGACTAAAGCTCGCTTCCTCTGTTTTCGTGGCATTTCGTCTCCTTCAACAAGATGTTCCTGCTTGCCCACCTTCATCGACCGAGCCATAGAAATGGTCGAGTTATGCCGGGCTTCTGGTCCAGACAGATCATATATGTGATCCATTGATATAGCAAAGCACAATAACCCGTCAGTTCACAAGTAAGAAATATTCTCAATCCACTTCAGAAGCAGGCTTCGTAGTGATATGATAGGAAAACAATTCATCGGTGTTTCTTGGTGGTAAATGTTTCAGTGGATGAATAGATATATATATACCCTCAAACTATAGTAGGGCCACCCTCAATGACTGTTTTACCACATATGAGGGTCACACCAAATTATTCCATTGGATATATCCAAGGGTATTATGTCCTACAATTCTGACGGGCTTTTTTATTAATGTGATTTCACCAACACGTTCAATAAATTCTTATTTTTATTTATGTGTTATATTATCTACCCAGGGGCCTTTCGGATTTATGCAGTGTATTGCGGCCTTAGTGCCTTAGTTTGGCCTTAATTTGGCCTGATGCTGGCGTTAAGCCTGACCGTTTTAGTATTGTAAAGCTTTCGGTATGGAATAACTAATACGCCGGACTAACCCTTTGAATAACTCGATATCTTCTCTACCACCTCACTCTATCAAGATAGGCCTAATGGATTTGATTTTTTTCATATTATATAGACGTTAAAGTATTTGTAAATAAAGTGAATATATAGTACCTTCTAAATAAGGGAAATACCACTCTCTCCTCAGCTAGCGAGTAGGTAGAACTTGATCAGTTGTGTATAACAGATAATATTTGAATTCTCTATTTAATACAATAAAAATCAAATCTATTGAGCTTATACTGGCGGAGTATACTCCGTACTGATAAGACAGTTGTCGAGTTTTGTGGGGTTATCACTGAATTCAGGTTCAAACCGCCTAAAAATCATGCGATGTGTGGATTTGTATAGCAGAAATAACTTCATATTCATAGGGTTAAATGCTGACTAAGGTATATATTCAGGCGCTCGCGGGCCTCTGTAATTGTAATTCAGGTATATTTATTTTTCTGCCATACCAGATTAAGGTATTAAGGCACCATTGTATGCATTAAATCCGAAAGTAACCCTGGCCCCTATGCCCCTGGGTAATTATCCATTCTAGAATTTACCGCGCTCACCAACTTGTCCCATCATGGGTATATTTTACAATCTATCAGATGGCGCACTACAACGTGTTCGTCCTAAAGGTATACTCTGTTTCCACCTATCGGAAGGTCAATATTTAACTATGAACTTTACAACATACAGAAAAATAACCATTTCCTCTGGGCGCTCAATGATTTCATTATCTCAATGGCCGGAGAAACGGTGGCTTATTAACATACACAGGCCACTGGGGGGCATAATATCCATCATTAATACTGCATAGCACGGCCATACATTCCAAGTCCGTATAACAGAAATTCAACATTCAACGGGGCCGTTTCTCGGATTCTGATTTGGATGAGACTTTCTAGGAGGGTCAGTATCTATGGTACAAGAGCGAAACGGGACTCACTTCTGTTACCGCCTTCTTCCTCTTCTTCTTTTTTATATTTGCGGTGGAGGTGGGACGCCCGGCTTTTTGACCCCCGTTGTATCGTACGCACCACGTCTATCAACTTAGCTTAGCTTGGTTGGAAGCTCCACTGGATATAAATTACCCCATATTAAACATTTTCCGTTAGGAAGAACTGGCCTCTCTATTTTAATTTGATATGATAGAGCGATTCCACGTGTGATATAGGAAAGCCTGGTTCTTCTTTGCAATCAGAAATTTCAAGCAAATTATAAGGCTTGATGGTTCTATATACGAAGTTAAGTTAGTTTAGATTGAAGAATTGAGCACGGGGATTTGCATACTAAGTGCAACTGTGGGCGTAATGGGACGTATTCAAGGGCACGTAAGTGTGAAGATACCGGAGCTAGCTCTATTTTAACGGTGAGTGAAATAATTTTTTGATATAGGGATCAGATGTTATATACTATATAATTGAACTATGATATACGGCCCGAGTATTAATAATGTGTACCTCTTTGCAGCGACAACCAGAGATTTCAATTGGTAGAGCCGGATCAGCGCGTGCTTGACAGCTGACGCTGATTGACGTCTTAAGGATAAAAGGATTAGCTGGGCAATCTTGAGAGTCCTGGAAGAGTGGAATTCGGCAAAGGATTGGAACTTGCTAGGCTAGTACTATTTAGGTAGGTATGTGTATTGATCCAAGAGCTATAGTGGTACAAAGGCAGAATGTGGTGGAGAATCGGCGGACTCTAGGAAGAAATTCCTAATGGAGTAGTTAAAACCCGGAGTGCTGTGTGTTATCGACATTGTTGTAGTCACAATTAAGTCAGTGAGACTAGCAGCGATAGCGCCAAAGGTATATTATGGTGGAGTCTACGGAGTATGCATAGATATACAAATGCTAGACAGCTAATGCGCATCACTTCATCAGGCTGAAGGCTATTGGTGTACTTTTTCATGGCCAATCAGCACGCATTAACAACTCTTAACGTCTATACCACTAGTTCTTGCAATTTATAACGAATTCTAACTAGGATAGAAAACAAAGGAAAGAAAGGAAAACATGCAAACTGAAAAGGTAGATCCATGTCTGCTCCTCCATCATCAACTTCTGCACAAATAGCTACCATCTCGGCCAATTTATGCAATTCAATGGCCTCGTTAAGATTATCTATCGCGTTTGTCTCTTTATAGAGAAGTTCGAGCTTGGTCCCGAGGTCATGGTGGAGTTTCTTAATCAAAGGATGTTCAGGAGTGGTGGCCTCGATCGCTTGGCGAGCTAAGATAATCCGCTTCCTGGAGGTCAGGAAAGTCTCTTAATAGCCTGTATCGGGTTTTGAGGTGGCTTCTGAGGTGGCTCATGCACTCTGCCCGTAAGTGATGCTCACCATCAGCAGAAGCCTCAAGACTCCTTCTATATAGCAAAATCGCCTTGTGGAGATCTTCTATCTCTGTCAGTGCTCCGTACCGTAGTCCGAACTTGCGAGCGAGGTTGCTCAAGCGCTCCGCAAGCCAACATGAGCTTTTATCAGTCGCCTCAACCGCTTGGGAAGAGAACTGAATTCCCTCGTCGAGATCGGCGATGTCTTCGGTACAGCCATAACGTCTTTCAAGCATTTCCCCAAGGCTGGCACGACGCTCTGCAAGAACATATTGATCGTCAGGTGTAGCCAGAATTGCAGTGCGAGCGAAATTAATCGCACTATGAAGGTTGGGCAAAAATGCAGTATATCTGAATCGACATTCGAATATATCTCCAAGGCGGAAATAGCGCGCTGCAAGGTCGGGATGGGCACGAGGTGTCTTTAGAGCTGCACGACAACAAGCCTTAATCGCTCGATTAAGGTCATCAACGTCAACTTCGATTTCACCTCGGTGTTGGAGTAGTCCAGTGAGGATGTCTAGGCGCGCTGGATAGTCGGGATGATCATGAGCAGTCTTCTGAACCGCCAGCTGACAAAGATCAATCGCTGTGTTGAGATCATCGAAATTTTGAGTTTGCTCGTATCGACCATCCAGCAGTCCCGCTAGGCCGACTAGGCGCGCTGGATAGTCGGGATGATCATGAGCAGTCTTCTGAACCAACAGCTGACAAAGATCAATCGCTGTGTTGAGCTCATTGACATTTTGAGTTTGCTCGTATCGACCATTCAGCAGTTGCCAGAGGCGATCTAAGCGCGCGGGACTAATATCACCCGTCGGGTCTGTAGGTTGATATCCATTATAGGAACTGACTTCGAGGGCGTCCAAGTGCGCAAAAAGCTGAGCACGATTATAATCAGTGACCAGCAATCCAATGCTCATTTTGTAACACCGGTTTTAGGCTAGGTTTCATCTTAAGATAAGCCGATGAATAGGAGCGATTGAAGAAGGTACTTACAATGACAAATTTTGGTTTTACGGGTATTGATGGTAGGTAATATAAGATCGACACCTTTATAGTCCACTCCCTATCGCGAAGAAGGCTTTGCGATATCTTGCTTATATAGGCTAGATTAGTAAACGTATAGAGAGCAGGGTTGAGATACTGATTTGTTAGAGCCCAACTAAACACGCAACAGAGCTAGTAGTCACCCAAGCATGATCTTTATAGTCCTACATATTCGGCATACCAACATACTTTTTGCAAACATACTTTTTTGCTAACATACTTATTATTAAGTTCAGCTTAGGTTCTTCCTAAGTATTTTCAGCTACTAAGGGGGGATTGGAGGCTCGTGATATCTAAAGGACAAAGAAAAGAGAATATCATTTATCTTGATCGTTAACTCTACCAGTAGAGTTTCTTATTTATCTATCATAAATCAATATAGCTCTTTCTCATCTGTGATATCCTGAATACTATTAGCATAGATCCAGTACTGTCTGGGCGGAGGATTCAGCACACGCGTATTAATCTTAGAGCCGTAGCGAACAATTCTATCAACGTCATCAATTAGGAATAGCATTCAATTCTATAGTGGCTATACGTTGACCTCAAAACTTTCCCAATGCTTGAGCTAGGTTAGTCGAGTAATGTCTAAGATTTTGGGCTGAACAAGAAATGGTTAGTCAAATAAATATTCAGAGGGCCTAGCAAGGAAAACTTACTGGCAGCTCCGCCATGATCCCGCGACATTCCCGAGAATTTTTTTTCTGTGGATCGAACTGCCCCATATATTTGGAAAATTCACAACTCGTAGGAACGGGGAGTTCAACGGTTCGATCATCATCATCATCATCATCATCATAGTCTATCACAGTAAATAGGTAAATCCACAAACCTAGGGAATCGCTGTCATATCTCTGACTATGAAAATACATCTCATCCACATAATTAGGGGTTGACGTGATATTTTGGAGTTGATGAACATTCGTTTGCGTGTCCGCCCGGTCGTTATTATCACTAACTTGGATTAGGCCCGTGAACCAACCAGGAAGCCACGAAGATATTTGGATTTGTGGAAAGCAGGACATTTTGTAAAAGAGTCAAGGCTAACAGCTGCATCAGAGTAAACCTTGGTAGCTAAAGGAATAACGACAATCCATCATTTCATTATATAGCCCATGATTAGTGTGCCGGCCTTCACTAAATCATTTTTCTGACGTAGACAGCTTATCCCTCTTGGTTTCCTTCACTTGCACCGTAAGGGTTGATACCTGCGAAGCTAGGGTTACCTGAGCTGTACCAGCAGGCCGATCTCGACTACTCGTGTCTAGCCACTCCACAGGTGGACAGGCACCCATACTTTGAAGTTGAAAGGTATGGCCGTCACCATATCTTGTGATTTTGACAGCTATACTTTCCCCTATATAGTTTAGTTCTGATTTTAGAGGATAAGAAAGAGGATAAGAAACGAAGACTTACCCGTTTCCCCGTTCGCGTACGCTGTTTCGAATTTCATGAGTGGTGAGATTTCGTTTAGTACGTTTCTTATTTCCACTGGAATTCCGGAAGATGTTTCCAAATGTAAAAGATCCTTGAGCTTGAAGGGTAAGACTAAGAGAATAGACTTGATTGCTTCTGCTTTAAGACTTAGTAGATATTAAATTTATCATCGAGGGTCTATACCTTTCTCGCTTTTCACTTCTTTTATCACGTCTAATTTTCTAGAAATGTGGCCGAGGTTATCAAAGCTAAGCTTTTCAAGCGCATTCCGATAGTACTTTCTGAGCTGATCGATTGCGCTCAGTGGTATGAGTTCAAATTCCGCATCTGGAGGGTTATTCATCGCGAGATGAGTAGAAGAGAAAATAAAGTAGGGGGCAGCTAGCTTTATATACTTCAAAAGGTCAGCCGCTATAAATTGCGACAAGGTACGACGCAGACCAGCAAACATGCTTTAAGCCTTCTGCCAATAGATTGGCGATATCTCCTAAACTAACTCTAAGGGTGGTAGAATCTCCCAACCAGTCAAGTTCTTTGAGATCTCCTTAACGAGCACACGTCAGAATTATTATAGCAACTCTCTCATTTACTATGCATTTATCCTAGACCAGGGACTTCGATTGGTAAGTCACTAGATCCACAGCACACGCGCATTAACTTTACTAGGCTAAAGCTGAAGACTGTTAATTTAATTTTTGCATGGCCAATCAGCACGCATTGACAACTCTTTCTTTCCAATCCCCGATTTCTACTAATTTATACGGGATATAGTGCTAGGGCATCCATAAAGATACCTGGTATATATTATAAGTTCTTGATCGGATGAATCACGTATAAAACGTATTCTCATACAATCTTAAATCAAAATCACTTTTCCTCATTCACTATGTACTAGAATAACAAATAAGACAATTAAAATCATGCGCTATCTAAACGGATGATTCACTAACAAAGAGCCCGAAAAATCTTCAAACAACATACGCAGTGAACAACCAAAGATATCAAAAAGTAAATAGAGTAACATCCCAGTCTCCTTGGATGGTAGAGGCAGACCTCCTCATGGCACGTGTTGTGATGTTGCAAACCATTGTGACAGTATACCGACTGAGATGCCCGATCATGGCCTATATAGCTCGTTGAGGGAGGGTGGCTATCTGCTTTTGAAAGACGACGGATATGATTCGCAAAGAAAAGATAGAGCAACTAATAGCGTAATAAAAATAAGCTATGCTGGCCTAAAAGGGGGAAATAAAATAGATCACTCTAAAACTTACAGACTTCCACATAAAAAACCACTAGCCAGACGAAGATCAAGAAACATCTTATTCCTGTGATATAATTAGTGTAACAAACCAATTTGCAGATATCGATGAGACATAAATTTGGAACACGGCCAGTCAATAGATATATTGCTATATCGCAAAGCCGAGTTCGAAAAATACAGAAAAAGATGAAAGCAAACCAGCCAAGTACGGCGTACAACAAAAGACTGGAAATAGAGTCGTCATCCATATTTGAATATAGAAGAAGTTTTTTTCTTGGAATTCCACACGGTTGATGTACTAGGAAATCAAGGTGCTTTTATAATAAAACCTACAGACTATAGTTCATAGCTGTTGCTGTTCGGACAAAATAAAAATTAGCTAGTAACTTATTAGAAATGAAGGCATATCTCAGCTAGCTTCGTTATTAAATTTATAGATTTAGCAACGACCGGGATACTGAATGTCGCATCTCAAGCTATTCTAGTTTTCTAGTTTGTCAAGCATAAAATCATGGACTGAAACGGTATAGTAGCTATACTATTTTGGGATTAAGTGAGAAAATCTTTTCAGTAACTAAGGCAATAACCTTAAAACATTTCACTATCTCTCTGATCACTTCACAATCGTAGCGGCGTAGCAGCCTCCTTTCTGTGTCTCACCCAGTCAAGGGCCTTCAAAACCGCCTTCTCAGGGTTTTCTTTGAAACCCATCAGATAGTTGTTAATCTCCGCTGCAGTTAACTTGTTGGGGGAGACAATCCGTACAAACTTATCAGAGAGGTCTGATATTCTCTTCTCCCTTGTCGACTGATCGTTTGATTCTCTTTCTTCACTAATCGGGGAGATAAACGAAGACTCCTCACTAAAAAATAGATGGAAGAGTTGCTTGATGCATATGGTATCCATGAAGTCAAAGTGGTATTTTTGATCCACCCGGCCGGATCGAGTAAGGGCCGGATCAAGTTTTTCTGGATGATTGGTGGTCATGATCAGAATACGGCCCTCCTGTGCGCCAACACCATCAAGACAGTTCAAAAAGGCCGACAAAGAGATACCAGCGCTATAGAGCTCATTTTCTTGGGACGAATCCTCCACTCTGCCAGTGTTCTTCATTTGTGAAACCTCTTGACCAATTCCGGCATTGTCCACATCTTCAAAAAGCACAATGCAACGTTTCGGAAGACTTTGGAAGAACTTGTTCAACATATCATCGTTAAGCTTTCGAGAGTTTAGGCTAATCGTGTAGATATCAAGCCACAGGTGCCCGGCAATTGCAGAGCATATACTTGACTTTCCGGTTCCAGGAGGACCATAGAGAAGATAACCTCGGCGGTATGGAATGCCACGCAATTTGTACCAAGCTTTGCTTTGTGGACTCAGGAATTCCTTTATGTTTTCAATCATGCCATCCTTGATGTTTGGAGGCAATGCCAGAGTTGACAATGGACGAGGAGAGTTCGACATAGTTGAAACCCAAATGGTTGTATTCCGTTCAACAAAACCGCGATAGATTGTGATTTCATTCTTGCGACGATTAATTGAAGCATACTGTACTTCTTCTAGAAGAGTGAACAGCACCTTTCTGTTCCAAAAAGGTGCGTAGATCGTGAAGGTTTCTGTATCTGAGAGCCAACTGTTTTGCGTGTGGTATGGATCGCGGTTAAGAGCCAGAAGAGAACCCCGGTATAGGAAACAATGAAGCTGGTTCCGGGAAGGAGTGGTACGAATTGGCTTAAGGTTTGCCTCGTCTCTCAAAGAACGCCAGTAGGCCTCCCCGCTCTTTTCAAACCGCGTTTGCTCTATCGAAGGATCTTCATCGGTTTCCTCGTCGTCTTCATTTTGCCAGGGTAAAGAGATAGCATTCTTTACTTTGACAATAGAATTCCGGGAGCCGCTGAATGAATCATTCCTTGCCATCCAGTGTAGGAACTGGTTGTGTGTTTTGTCGTGGTATGGAATTTCAATGGAGACGGTAAAGTGAAGGAGCGCATTTTGAACAGTTTGCAGAAATCGAGGAAGTATAAAGGCAAGAAATAGACATAAAACGGCAAATAGAGCAATGTAAACAGAAAATGAGGAGACATCAGCGTGTAAATAGGAAAGAAGAGGGGTAAAAAGAGAAAATCCTGGAAATAATAACTCCAAGGCAGCGGGGAGTACCTCAGAGATATTGTTGTGCATGTTGCAAAAATTTCCTGTGAATATATGGATACAATAGACGAGGGCATAGGCCTTTTATAATGGACCCCAAAGCTATTTTAGCTTATAATTGATCTTTACCCATTCGCGGGGAGGCATCTCCAGAGTGCATATGTAGGTTGACAACTTCTCCCTGATGAAATCACATCTATGGCGATAATCCTACTCCGTCAATGTTTGTAAAACCTCACCTTATAGCTACCGTTATGTCATAAGACTCGAAGTCTAGATCTAGGGTATCGTGCGCTTTCCTATCTTGATCTGGGGAGTAAAACGCTAAAGAAACAAAGGCGAAAACGTAGGTTCTCGATTACATAAATCCATTGCTATTACCAACCATGGCATGATTCCTTATAGATTATCGTATGAATTTGTAGCTTCAACTTTCATTGCATCCGGGATTTATACCACGACTTAGAATATATCTATCTCTTTCAATGCCATATTTCCGCCTTACATAGCACCACTCCTCATTTCCCAGAAGACACTTTGCAACCCCAATCTTGTAGTGAAGGTTCAGCAGGTGGAACTTTGACAAGGCTGTTGCACGAATAAAGGGACAGCTATAGACATAACCTTTTGAGTGGGCGTCGTACCTGACATAGAACTTCACAAAGATGGAGTCTAGGGTCCGGACTGTACAGTCGTATCTCTCAAATCCAGCTATTTTGTCGAGAAACTGAACCTGCATCTGGGTCAGCGGGCAGATCTACATTGTCAGCGTTTCCAGGAATACCCTCCGAGTTACCCGGCCTTTACTTACAAAGATTTATCTCATTTGGCCAGCCAAGTGGTAGGGAACCGCGCTTGATCAGCCTCGTGGGTGACTTTTCGGGGGCCGGGGGGGGGGGGGGGGGGGGGGAGGAGAGAAGGGAGCTGAAAGGAAGAAAACCGTGTTTAGTATATACGAGGGAGCACATTGATGATATGTATTTCCAGCAATGGAGCATACTGTCAGATAGAGGCGGGTGATATCTAATGCCAACCTTGGGGTTCACGGTTTCTGCGGTTGTGCCGTGCACTTGAGTTTCCCTGGCGGACGGAGAATCGTCTTGAACAAATAAAAAGGAACCAATCCAGCTAGGAAGCAGTCTCTGTAGTGGAATACAATTCATGATGATTTCCTGGTAAGCTGATAGATATTTCTAGTGATGTTGATATGGAAAAGGGTTGGCTAACAGAGCAGCGTCAATGGGTTGTTATACTAGCCGATCGACTATGTAAAAATTTCGCTTGCTTTGGATAGGCAATGTTGTCATCTTTCGGCTTCACACCAAGGAAGCAGTCGGAGGTGGGCAACAACTATGTCAAGTTGTAGCTCCTATATATCCAGATGTTTACCACGGTTTGAATCAGTCATATTTTTCATCCTGCCCAATAATAGATAAAATTTAAAGCTTAACAATCTTTGTTGTTTGATTGAAACCTTTAGGCTCCAAAATTTATTAGAGCAAATCCCTTGGCCGTATGCTATTGAGTAGGTGTGGTAACGAGGTATAAACAATGCTACTGTTATACAACCAAAAGTCTATGGACGGCCACAATAAACTCATCCTCGTCATTTCGCCACGGTCCAGGCAGTCCTTGAGCCCCTTGGTTTTATCGACATTTTTGTCATGCTCATCCAAGTGTTGGAGCTTGTCCGCCGCAGTGTTTCACCTCCGGTCTGGTTCCTAACTCATTGACACGTTCTCTGTACCAGTGATCACTCACGGATTGCCGTAGCTGCATGCAGGGGAAACTGAAGAAGTCAAAGGATCCACTAAACAGGAGCGCTGTGAACCTATATAGCTCCTGAAGCCTTCGACCATTTGATAGACTTAGAGCTCTGTACCCTTCTTTTATAGATCATTGATGAAATACAAAAGTCTTAGTTCTGATGAACCGTCTCGATAATGAGGGGTTTCTTCTTGAAATGGACAGTAAATAGTTGAGCCCAGATTACTTTTGGGATTACCGCGACTGTAGACTCTGCAGAGTACTCTGTAGGTACAATAGACAGCTTTTAGGTGACACTAATAGCTTTACGAACCATGAACCGCCGACGATCAATGCCATTCTAGGCTCGTAATAACTGACTGCGAAATCACAAATAGTCTAGCTCAGGATCTGAGGATACAGTTGATCTTTTCTACTTTGGTTGCCTGAGGTTAGTTCTAGACTTCCTAGTTCTCTCTCTAGGTGGCGTCTTCTTGGCGCAGATATACGTCATAATGCAGATGGAATCAATCTAACCAGACCTGGCGACCCAGCGGCTGGGTCGCCAGATCTGGTTAGGGGATATAGGACTACATACCAGCAAGTTCCACCAAGGATAGAGAACGAGAAGCCGGACCGACAGTAGTTTGTCCAGGTGGTTATCTTGGTGCGTTCGCTTCCACTTATTCATTCCCACTTCCAGGTGAATACTGGCCTGCGTTTGTTTTGTTGCACAGGGCAAGTTCGGATATCATGATCGCGGGATGGGGAAAAAGCACGACCTGGAAAAGAATTGGTGGGTAAGGCAGTGGAAGAGAGTGGAAAGGGAAATGGGAGCCTTGTCGATGGAAAGATGCGGGATCAGCTTAGAAATGTGATGAACGTGCAGCTCAGGACATATCCCAGCGCCACAGGCGCGTCGCACGGACCCTCTTCTTCCCCTTCCTCTCCCTATCCCAGATGCTACCATCAGTTGCGGAGAGGGGTTTTTACCTCTTGCTTCTCAGTCCTCCTATTTTGTGAGCTTGTCTGACTACTAAGCCATGGATTATACTCGCCTGATTCAGTGTCAGGGCAATGATCCCACTTATATCAAGCACTTAGAGTTACGCATTATCGAGCTTGAGAGTACCTGCTCATCCCGTTATCCCGAGACCTCAGGAGTTCAGCAGCAGATAAGTGGACAGCACAGGCCTTGTGAGATCTGTCGAGACCCCAATCTTTCCACACAAGATATAGATGCTTCCCAAGAAATATCTGCCGATAGTATACGACTAGCCTCTGAAAGTTGTCACGACAATCAATCAATTCAACACAGCAACAGACCTCCAGGGAGTACGTTCGCCTTCATCCCATACGAGCCACCAGTGACAACGGAACCCCTGGTCACAACAGACTCCTCCGCGCTCACGGATTCTGCAAGGCAGCAATGGAATCATTTGGACTCGCTCGCATCCTCACTTAGTGATATACCCAAAACTTCTCGTTGGAAAGTGTGGACCTCTACCAATGATGATCGACGAAAGAATATAGTTCTTAGCTTGGTATCTGGATTAGTCTTCCCGAATGATGATAACCCGATAGCACATGAGCTGTCTGCACCTATATCCATCCTGCTGGAATACAGCAAATCTATGGAGCCGGCAGAACCGAGGTGCGCATCAGCGAATTCAGAGGAGAAACGTCAATTTATATACTTCCAAGAACTTATCTTCTGTTCAATGTGTGCGGTCGCCTTGGAGTTCACTCCAACGGAAGTTGTCTTTGCAGTCATGCGGTCTGTTTTCCAGTCTGACGCCAAATCTAAGACTCTCAGGGCACGGATCTATGGTGCGAAATGGGCAAACCGAGCCATTTACCTTTTATCACGCACCCGATTGGGTTCTTGTAGCTGGGACCTCATCTATATAGGTATGAAGCATATTCGCAGTTTGTCAGGACAAGCTAACTTCTAGTCTCGGCAGCTAATAATCACGTCAACTTTTATAGAAAGTTTAACGACTACTCTATTAAACCCGATGACCTGATACCAAAGCTGAAGATTCCAGAGGATACTCAAACGATATCAGTCCCGCTCGCAATCCCTTCCATCATACGAACAATTTTCAGAGATCTAGTACCGTATGCCACCCGCACAAAGCGTCTTATACATCTTGGTTAATATTTCTCATTATAGGCTCGAAAAGATTTGCGAATGCCTAGGATATGAGCTTGGTGATTATAATAGACTAGACCTTTCTAGTCTTGAAAAACGTCTCGTCATGCCAGCCAACACTAATGCAAACGACACCGAGCCAAACCACGCCGAGCCAATCCACACCACGCCAATCCACACCACGCCAATCCACACCACGCCAATCCACACCACGCCAATCCACACCACGCCAATCCACACCACGCCAATCCACACCACGCCAATCCACACCACGCCAATCCACACCACGCCAATCCACACCACGCCAAACAAGAAACGGAAAAACGGGTCACCCGAAACTTCGTCGAAAAGGCAGTGTTGGGCTGTATCATCTGACTCACCAGAAGGTAGGATACCATAGAAACATTTACGTTTTTCGGGGACTGATCTTTATAGGTGATTATTTTGAAACTTTTAATGGATCACACTGGTCAATCCATACCACGCCTGCCCCATCGGCACCAGGTTCGTGTTCAGATTCTGTAATAGATACAAATGAAGAGATGGTAGGTTCCAGGGTTGGCTATACAAACTGTAGCCCCCTAAACAGCGGCCAATCTGCACAACAGAGCATACTTCCTCGCTCACATGTTGATCTATTGTTTGATCAATGGGACAACATACCCAATCCGGCGTTGCTAAGGGATACACGTAGTCGAACATCATCTGCGGTAACAATTCCCGATTTCGAATTGGAGAGTCATGCCGATCAACTTTCTATAGCGAACCTTTGTTTCGGGCTGAATGGGACGCTAGATCTCGAATCTAGTTCATCATCCAACATGGCAACATCACCTCCCAGCACAACTCTCAGTCAGACCTTTTCCCCTAATAATACCACTCAACAGCAAGGGAGCAAATCTGGGTCATACAACTTGCAAGTTGATACAGTACACATCGATAATGAAGAAATCCATTCTTGTATGGGGAAAACCTACTCGAAGAACGTGTCTGGCAATAATAGGTGTGAGCCACACGAGTATAGAAATGAGCATGCCTCCCACACTCGTCCATCACTATCCTGGACTGACTGGTCGCAACAATACGCTTGGGAACTTGATGGTATACTGCAGCAAGGTCTTTCGGCGAATGATCCTCAACTGCCACTGTCGACTGACTGGTCGCAACAATACGCTTGGGAACTTGATAGTATACTGCAGCAAGGTCTTTCGGCGAATGATCCTCAACTGCCACTGTCGACTGACTGGTCGCAACAATACGATTGGGATTTTGATGGTATACTGCAGCAAAGCCTTTCGGTACATGATCCTCAACTGCCACCGTCGACTGACTGGTCGCAACAATACGATTGGGATTTTGATGGTATACTGCAGCAAAGCCTTTCGGTACATGATCCTCAACTGCCACCGTCGACTGACCGGTCGCAACAATACGATTGGGATTTTGATGGTATACTGCAGCAAAGCCTTTCGGTACATGATCCTCAACTGCCACCGTCGACTGACTGGTCGCAACAATACGATTGGGATTTTGATGGTATACTGCAGCAAAGCCTTTCGGTACATGATCCTCAACTGCCACCGTCGACTGACCGGTCGCAACAATACGATTGGGATTTTGATGGTATACTGCAGCAAAGCCTTTCGGTACATGATCCTCAACTGCCACCGTCGACTGACCGGTCGCAACAATACGATTGGGATTTTGATGGTATACTGCAGCAAAGCCTTTCGGTACATGATCCTCAACTGCCACCGTCGACTGACCGGTCGCAACAATGCTCTTCCGACCTTCTGCAGCAAGATCCTTTGCTAAGCAGCCACTCGATACTACCCTCTTTGGGTTTAGGCCAGGCGGCCGCCACAGCTATCTCGGGAAATTCTCCGGAGACCCGGTACTATTTATTATTTCGTCCTTCACTTGTGTCCAGAGAGGGCAGTTCTTCTTGGGACTTAGAAAATAGTCACCACGCCCTTGGATTCTCGGACGCCATTTACCAGAATACTTCTTATTCCCCAAACAGGAGCCTTTCAGTAATGTGAGACATTTGGTAATACGAACAATGAAGCAGAATAATAATAACATTTGAACTTCCTCGAATTTATTTCTTGCTTGGACCGCGGGTAAATATCAGCGAGGCGCAACGACCAGCGTAGTTGTACCCGCACCCACCCCAACTGGGTTACTATTGATTTGTACGAACCATCCTTCCTTCAATAACCACCCGTTCACTTCAATTCCTTTCGGTATTGGAATAAGGTATGCCGAGTTGGGAAGATTTAGTTTTGTAGAATTCTTCCAATACCTCAAGCGTCCTTCCCAGTTCTAGTTGCATTAGTAATATGGTCTGTCAAGGAACAAATAATATTCGTGCCTACCTCATCAATACCGAGGGCGGTTTTCATACGAGAAATCAACACCAAAAGCGCATCCCCGCCGTACTTCTTATTCCCTTTTTCATCCTCTTCAATTGTTGTGACTTGTGGTAGTAATACCTTGATCTCTTTTCGGATTCTTTCGGCATCGGTTACATCTTCTAACCGTCGAGGTTCCATCGAGTGCGAAAGAACAGTTCTAAATCGAGCTCCTGGGGGTAAGATTAGCTCAAATTCAATATAACCGGGAATTTGAAATACCTTGCGAGGGCAGAGGTTAGATTTTGTTGTATTCACGCTGCGATTAAGAGGGGTAAATAAGTAATTATCACCACAGGTAAGGTTGGGCACTAAATCACATGACACTGTAAAATCAATGTCTATCGGGCCGGTCATCAGACCAAAAAGAGACGTCATAGCCACTAATTTTCATTGTCCGAGACCCTGTCCGAAGTAAGATGCTGTCATCCAAAGATATTCACACTAAGTCCAGTGAAGCGTTAGCTCAGTGTCAGTGCAGCAGTCACGCGACTCATCGGTGATTCTTACCCTGACTCCCCCCTTGTCATTAGTGGCATTCGGGGCGATGTGTTGGTAAAGACACAATAATCCGCCTGGCTGGGGCATGTGGTGGTCAGTGTATCCTCCAACCAGCCACGAATCACATGAAAGAGTCACCTAAATAGAGTGCTGATTAATCAATACCATTGTGGAGGTATGGTCATAGCCAGAATGACAACAGTTGGATAGGCAGCAATCAAGAACCTGCTATGCAGTTTCTTTGGTATTTATCATCAATCCTAATAAGACAGGGCTGGGTGGAGCTAAATTTTTATTTGTCGTTATATAGTATACCGTTCGCTGGTCGAACGCTATTTGTTATTTGATGAAAAAATTCATCGAGCCTTATGTCTTTGAACTATAAACGGACGGTAGATTGGTGATTATATACAGATGGCCAGCCATAAATAATAGAAGCAAATGAATCTGTTAGACATCACTTACCCCTTGAGCAGTATGGAGTTAATGGTAAATTATTGATTAAGCTATAGTGCAGTGTTAAACTAGCTAAACTAGATAACCCGTACTCGCTTAGCCCCGGGCATCTGTGCTTTGTGCTGAGGCCTCTTCAATGACCTGGAACGTTCCGTTGCAGGCCGACAATCTAGCTCGCATCGGTGAAAGTCAATAATCAAAGCCCGTCCTAGCTCAGCATTCCATAGGATATTATCAGGCCGAAGGTCTGAGTGTCGTACCCCCAAAGCGCGTATTGTCTTCTTCGACCTTTTAATCTCCCTGCGAAGCTCCGCGGTTTGCTCAAGTTTTGCTGTGCTCTCACCGGCCCAACCCATGACGAGCATGTGCCGAATTTGTCCAGCTCCATGCAGAAAGTAGATTTTTGCTAGGTCTATCTTGCCGAGGAATACTGGGACAGCAGACCCTTGCGCTTTTCGTAAGATTTGGTATATATCAGCTTCGCGAGAAACATGTTGCCGCCAGAGACCGGACGTCGTTCCTTTCCCCACAACAGTATACCCATAAGGAAAACATGTGAGCTTAAACGGGGCGCCGTATGATCCACGAGTCCCAAATGGGATGCACCGGTCAATCTTCTCATCTATTTGCTGCTTAAGACATGACACTAACTTGGCAGCATTGATAGGATGCTGAACCTCATCCCCGCTTCGCTGGTGAATACGAGCATTTGGGCAAGAATCATCCAGACTGCCGCCATTTTGCAGCCCCAGAAGACAACGCTGGGTACAGAACTCTGCTTGTTGTCGTTGGGATATGTCTCTTTGATTGTCACGCTTATTCCGGCGAGAAAGTCGCTGCGAAGGCGAAACTTCAACTTGACTAAACCCTCGCTTTCGTCCTGGCGCTGCGTAATCTGCCTCGGAGCCTGATGAATCCACAGACCCTGTGTGATCTCCAAGGTCTGATGGTGCGCAGCCACCTTGTGATCCTGTGGGTACTCGGCGAACTGGTGCTCTTGGCGACTCGACTGGAGATAACGATTCCTGGAACTCTGAGCTGGTAGCAGGCGAAATAGGGCTTACGTAGTTTGTGTCATCGGAGGGTGGGTTCTGCTGTAATTCCCGAGAGCAAACAGTTTCACGCAAACCATCAAACTGTGTGATCCAGACCTTCAGATCACGACAATACTCATTCCGCCACTCTTGACTGCGTGGCTGTGAGCAAAAGCTCATCAGGCAAAGACAGAGAACCCTTGCAATAGCTGTGTTAGGGTATTGAAGATCTCCATCGCCATGATCCACCTCCTGGTTGGGCTCACAGAGATAGTAATACAAGGTGCTCGGTTTGCATTTGCCAGGCTTGATCGATTACTGATTTCCCTTAGAACCCTCTCATACAGGATTGCCTCAGGCTCTATACTTGCCTACGTCTTTTTTTCATAGGTTGGCAAATGCATGGTTGCGAAACCCTCGGTATGGCCACTATCCACGATAGCCAGTCTCCATGGAACGGAATCACGCCAGTACCTCGAATGATACAAAATCAGCTGGGGCATTTGCTTGAGTTACAAATGATTAAACTTGACAAGAGAATACTTTTGACACTTCATAAGGCTCTTCAGACAAGGAACAGATCATCGTGGATCTTCACAAGTCTGGCTTTCTTTATCTTACTCCATGTGCGTGAACTTGACGCCGCGAGAAATATATTTTGGGGGCGCTACAAAGACTCTGTATGATTGCATGCTCTCTTTGTTGTCCGATCTTACACTAGCAAAAGCTAGGGCGGCTTTTGGATCCATCCATCCAAGCCGAGGAGCCTGATTGAGGAACAGGTTGCTTCTTGCAGTTCCTTGCTGGCTTCTTATCATTCTGTCATTGGATCAACTCCATTGACCATGAACTGGGACAGTAAAAAGTCAAAAGAACTCCTCGACAACGATGAAATAGCTATCAATTCTATGAAAGTGCTGCATTCTTACGTATTGGCGTTGAGTAAGCTTTCACAAACCTTGATCTCTGATGCCAAATGTCTGACAAGTGCGCAGGGGATAATCAGCTTATTGGCCGCAAAGCCTCTAATATTTATAGAGATGGAGAACCAGAGAGTGCGCAATTAACAATCAGCTCTCTGATGTTTGTAAATGGTGAAGAAGGATGTCAAGTGAGAGACTTCTCCTAATTACCACAGCATGGCCAAAGGTTGAGTCGACAATGAAATTTGGGAACCTTTACACGGAATTTATTCGGTATAGGTTGATTAGATTGATTAGACTTGAGCTAGTCAAAACGCGTTTTCTCCATGTTGTTCTGCACTCCAGCTGTGATAAAAGCCTTGATCGAGTTTACCGCCAACCAGAAGTCCGTTTCAGTGGTAGAACCAAGCACTTCGAAATGTGCGGCTGAGCTCTTATGAACAGCTGAAGGCCCCCACGTATGCTTGGTATCTTTCGAAATTGAGGAGTTTGGTCCTTGATTATCAGTGTGGGGAGGGCTTTCCAAGTAAAAGGTACAATTGCAATCTTGAACCTATCAAATAAATGTCAGTATCACCTCTCACCCTGCGGAGCCTTTCGCATAAACTACCTTTTTCTCGAACTCTGCCAGCTGCTCTGTGTCGTTCGGAAATCCGGAGACAATTGTCCAAGGCCGTCCACCTATGGCTTTGATCTCATTCTCGAGTACTTCAACAACCAGACTAGCTGGAACTTCAAAGCGCTTATCGAGGCAATTCTTGATGATTCCGTGGTGGCGATATTCGAGATCCTGCGCCGTTTCGCGAAGCTTTTGGTTCAGTTAAATATGAGAAAGCGAAAGCTCTCCTGAAACGTGACTAGCGATCTTGTCGCAGGCCACTGGATTCCCTGGTAGACTTTAGCGAGAAAGTCTAGATGCTGCATGTATCTAATATATCACATACCGGTAATGAAAATGATGGGTAGTCGCTTTTTTCGTTTGGCGAGGTGATCTTCCCTTTCCCGGCACAAAGATTCCGCCCACCGGGCTGCTTCGTTTGAATGGATCTTCGCCAAAAGCCCCTGAAACTCGTCGAGGTCCTTTTTACCAAAGGTTTTTTGTTCATATTCATGTGCCTGGACTAAGCACTCGAACTTATCCATCTCCTTAACCCATTTTGCTTCCGGTGTTTCGCCTTGTTCATATTCTAGCCACAGCGCGCTGATTTCTGTTGCTCTTTTCGGACTGTATGTTTGGAGCAAGTTTTCTAGATATTGGAAGCCATTGCGTTCCATGTCGTATTTCCGTTCTATCCAGGTGGTTTTTGTGAGCTCCACTAACCTACGATGATATGATAACTTCGGAGACTTACCTTTTGCAACACCCGCGAACGTCGGAATATCCCCTATGACCGACTCTGCCAAATCATGAACCAAAGCCATTTGAATGCATTTAGCTCTATTCAGGTTCAATTTTTCCTGACCAAGTCAGCTGCTGAAAGGGGGACAGAGGGGTATAAATACTGGAGCGAGCATAGCCAAGATGGCTACTCGAAAGCTATGCGCGGCCACACTCTCGGGGTTCTGGATAGTTCTCAGCCATCCTGTGCGTGGTAAATGCTTTAGCGCCTCTATTGCATGTAGAAAGGGCAAAGGTGTGGGTTCCATCGTTAAGTGAAAGTATTTTTTATGAGATTTCCAGCAAGATGCAGGAAAGGGTACTTATATATTGTGACAGATTGACCCACCCCTCTTTCGGCCCGAGTCACAAGGCACCCCTCACGGGCCCACGGAAAAACTGACGACATTTTCAAATCCTCAAAAGAAATTGTCCATAATACTCTTTGCACATACTCCGTTTCCCCTCATTTCGCGATTGACATAGCAATTCCAGCTCGTAGGGGCCGAACGAAAAAGTTCAGTGATAATCTGACATCTGTCAAGTGACATCACTTCGGATGAAGGCCGGTGGATGCCCGGCGCTAAAAGTCGCACTTTTTGGGATACCCCTGTCGATAGCGCAGGGCGGGAAAGTCGCATTTTTCCGTTTGGGCTCGAGCACTCTCCGTCAATCTGCAGTAACAATTTTGCTAGAATATGCATCACCGAAGAAATACACAACTTGATAGGTTGGTATAATACATTACGTGTCATGCATTATTTATTAGGTAGCTGTACAGGTGCAAACCTCAAAGCCCCAGCCCACTCTCCTCAATACCTTGAGTGATTTCTCTTAGTACATAAAACCTTGAGCTGGATGCCGCCAACCTTTAGATTTCCTCTTTGTTTTTGTCACTGCCGCAAATAATTTCTGGCGAGCAAGGACTTGAGCCCCTCGTCCCGAGATTCCTTCAAAGCCCCTATATCAGCGCCCCCTATATCAGCAGCCAGGGATGAATCAGTCACCCAACGATCCTTTTACGCAGGAAATTCAGCGACTTAGGGCTGATTACGAAGGGAAAAAAGCGCGGTCTGACTTGGGTTCTGCTGGTGACCGACGTTTAATCGACCTCAGTTTGGGATTGATTGACGGTGTGTTCTGCTATACGTATTGGTATGAGCACCAATGCATCCGGCTGGCTGATATTCCCGGCACTATCTCTGGTGATATTCTTCGCCTACAACAAAATCTTCCCGACTCAGTCGACATCGGCGATCATGAAATCATCGGTGACCAAGTACGCCCCCTCGTGAATGCGCCACCGCTTCCGGAGCTAGATGATGATTCCGAAGAACTTGATACAATTCTTGCCGCGCTCCCGATTGTTGAAGTCGATTCCAACAAACACTTTGTCAAGAAAGGTAAATACAAGAGTGAAATCAGCAATCTGCTGGAATGCCAAGGTGGATCTTGTCCGGGAGTCCCAAAATCATCCCACATCATTCAGTTACTGGGAAAGTCGCCAGAGGGGAAGCTGGTTTTCGAAAAATTCGAGTCCAGATACGTCTTAGGGTACATTTATCCCCTTGCTGTATACAAAGACTGGCTTTTGCAGATAATATCCGGAATGAAGAAGCTTCATTCCCTTGGGATTATTCATCGTGACCTTCGCATCGACAACATTGTTTTCTCCGCTGACACATCCCGTGTGCTTATCTGCGATCTCGAGGGACGTTGGGGAAATCGTCTGGCTCCTGAGGTTTCTCGCGAGCCGGTGTTGGACGCTGGCTGGACTGAGAAATCGGACATCTATGACCTCGGCTATCTTATAAAAGGCATGATATACGGAAACGTACCGATAACGACGGCGGTGGAATGGTTTGTCCCACCTCCTCTTGCTGCTGTTGTGGAAGCTTGCACGCGCAGTAAGCCCGAAGAGCGCCCCAGTTTGGATGATTTATACGCTATGGTTGAGAAGATCGAGATTACCACTTAACAATATATATGTGTTGTTCACGTAATTTCGTGCATGATAGTGTATGGGCGGATTAACTTGTTTACAACTATAGTAATCTTCTGCTCGTTACGAAAGAGTTGTTAGTTTAGACTCCTAGATCGGAAAGGTTCAGTTTATATGGAGAGTGATTCAAGGAACCAGAAAACACGAGAGAGCTACTTGCATAAACTAGGACAAGCCACGGTGAACATTGAAATAATGGCCATGGCAAATGTTGGCTTGTACAAAAGTTCAGAGGATCGGAATGGCCATTCCATGCCCTAGGCCAATCAGCTACTTCGGCCAATAAGAAGACTCTCGGTGCATACAGTTCACTATTTAACATGGGACTTCGTGTCTTGGTTGATATCTCGGTCAGCTTACGGAACTCAAGCAGAGAAGACTGTCGATACATACTTTTGTGTATTGATCCATCTCTGGTATTTCGTGAGTCACACACAATCATGCAAGCCATAGTAACGGGGTCTCCTTTGCCCAAGTTCCATGCTGTCTCCGTGTGATTGGCTGATTGTGACTCCTCTGTATCGGAAAGGGCTACCAGAATATTTTTGCGTCCCTCGGTGTACTCAATCATCTTGCCGTAGACTTCATCACCAATGTGGTACAGGCCCAGAACCCCAATATCGGCGGTCAGCCGGTGGAATTCGTCAACAAGAGCAGCCGGCGGTGGTACGGTGGGCCGAGTGGTGAACTCATAAGGAACCCCCGAAGACAGCCAACGCTCAGGATAGTAATTGCCGGGCAAAGCGAAGATTTCCGGCTGGGATATGTTCCCCCTGCTGAGCATTCTCTCCTCATCAGTCAAGGTGCAGTGTGCGTGGACGAGGCAGAGGCCGTAAAGATTGCCGTATTGAGCAAGGAGGCTTCCTACGGCAGAGAAAATAGTTCCACGATCAATGAATCGTTTTTCCGCATCTTCGAGAGTCGGCAGGTTGTTGTACAGTGCAGTCGCCATAGTTGAGTCTTGTGGGATAGCGATTCAGAGTGTGTCGAAATTTGTGGGAAACGAGACTGTAGCAAGCTGATGATATGTAGCGTATGGATAGAACATTACTTTCGGTTGAGATACTGCGTTCTTATATCTGCCATCTTTGGGGGCTGAGCATAGTCAAGGTGGACTAATTTATTCAGCTGTTTACCCACGAGTCGCGAGACTCAAAGTGTCTTAGTTAGTGGCTTGAACTCTAAGCTAAAAGTCGCGAGTTGCCTCGCATCCTTGCATCATTGCCAATACCCTTGTACTTCACACACTAGTCAAACGGTCACAACGTATCAGAAGCTGTGATTTCAACCCTGACGTTGTGATTTGCCACATAGCCCACTCCGTAAACTTCCCGTGCTAGGCGCTGCTGATTCCAAAGGACCGCTTGTTCGGAGACCACCCACCATCAGACCCGTGACCCGACCCTCTCGATCAGTGAACTCATGATTCATCTGCTTTTAGCGACATGGATGTATCTCAAATCTAAAATTACAGACCATAGATTGAACTATAAATAACTGCATATTCTTCTTATTCATTTAGCGTACAGCTCTACCGACAGGGGTGCCACGGAGATCGCGACGTTTAGCGTACAGCATTACCGACAGTACCTTGGAAGATTTTAAATCTAAGACCATAGTCATGTAGTCAAACTGGACCTTCCCATTTCCGGGCAGACAAGCGCCAGATGGTATCATCAAGTGTCGCCTAGAAATATCCATGTTGATCGACGGCGATCAGACATACAGTTTTTGGATAACGCTTTCCCACCCCCATCCAACACGCTAGTGCCAATTGAATACACAACCAAGAAGACAGTAGCACTAGCAAGCGGCAAAAACAAGATCAAGTTACTTCCTATCAATCTAGACCTTCGACCACACATCACTCTGCCAGCCTTTCAAGGTGCTTGTGGCGTAGTGCGCTTCGGCTCCAGTGCCAAGAGCATGCGCAACAGAAGACCGAACTTCTCGATTGCCTCCGGATACGTCAGGGACAAAATTATACTTTTGGCTGAGAGAAAGGTTGCTCGTGCGATGATGCAGCGTCATCTTCTCAAATTAGTCGTCTTGCAGACGAGAGATGGCTGTTCATCATTTAAAAACAAGGACGTCCTTCGTAGGATTACATGCCGCGAAGGACAAGTGGATTGTGTGAATATCAACTTGGACTGACACTATATATTTGAAGATGGAGCCTTTAGTAGTCAGTATCCTCGCTATACTAGAACTACTATGACACTGACATCTGGTATATAGACCATGCGTATCCAAGATTCCCCCAACTGCGATCTTTGCGCTCAGGGCGCCAGCGATTGCGATGCCCTCAATCATATCAAGTCGGAGCTTTAATCAGTGGAACACCGCCTTCATGATGCAGTCCTTCTGGCCATTCCTCTGGGAGAAAGCCAGTTTGACCTGGCAGTTGAACAGATTTCTATCAGGGAAATTGGAGATCATTTCACAGACCTCACCAATTCGCGTCTATCGAGCTATGATCCCCTTTTCGTCGCCGAATTCGGTCGTTCGTTTCCCGAAACCGCATTTCGTGCTCTGATGCGAATGAGAGATCGATACAACAAGGTGGCAAGTTCAGTTTACAAGTCAGGGGACTTACGCCGCATCCACTGGTTCGAGACCGAAAACAAACGCATTGAAACCCTCCTAGAGACGTACCGACAGCAGTGTGTCAATCTCGATCCAATGCCAATTTATGTTAAGCAGCGAAAGGAGTAAATCAAGTGCGTTCGCAAGTCATCTCTTTTACATCTTGACTAATTGATTATTGGTGTGTCGCAAGACACTGCAGGTTGACACTGTTGGCCTTTTCCCATATTCCAGCATCAGGTAGCTGCGGAGCATTCACCGAACAAAGAAAGGGTTTTTTGTGATCCTGGTCCCGGATTTGTTTGAAGGAAAATAAGAGAATATTTGAGCCTACGATGGGACGTTAGTGTGGATATGTTATTCAATAGTTATCTTAGGGAAGATGAAATGCCAATTGTAGTATCTCCCGTCTTTCCTGTATTCTTCCATCAGATGCCCCTTCCAAATTGGATTCGCTTTCCGAAGTAGTGACAGTCACCCATATTTCTCGTTTCTACCGACCCGTCGGCAAGCCATGGGATTTCGTCCCTCAAATGGCGCATCCGCTTGGTAGTTTCATGGGGCCGCTTTCTGTAAACTAGACTTTCTCTGCCTTAATATGTAACCCTAGCAGCGCTCGAGTGGTACGCTCATACACACTGCCTACAATTTTCAGACTGATGCGGAATATCCACATGTTGCACCACACCTTGTCTAGAGATAACTATTGAATAACAAATCCACACTAACGTCCCATCGTAGCTCAAATATTCTCTTAGTTTTCTTCGAACAAATCAGGGACCAGGATCAGAAAGTACTTTTTTTGTTCCAACTTCTGTGCCCAACTTTTAAGAATTGGGGTTCGATCGTTATGTAATGTTCAGTCGACTTGGCTGCATGCCAAGACAGTAGACACCGCTTGCACCAATCCTTGCACGTGCATCATCGACAAGTACTAGATTTTTGGTCGGTGAACCCACTGAAAGCCTTCAGTGCATGAATCCCGGTCGGGCCATGCTGCGCGTCGCTAGAGAGGCGTTTGTGATTAAAACGGGGGGTCCGTGGCCTGCGCTACTAGGTCTAGATTCTTGGAGACGATATGTCAAATGTAGTTCCATAACGGGAATATTTCTCTGGTCGAGGCCCCTTGTTTTGTTACATGATATTCCCACACGTGTCCCAAAAGCTGGTTGGGCAGATAAATGACTCTAATATCACATAGAAAGCGATTTCTCGCAGATTTGTCCTCGAAGACTGCAGCATCCGTGGAGCCCTGGAATACACGAGAGAGCAAAATCCCATCTTCGCAATATGCGGGTAGTATCTGGTACCGCTGGTCACGATGGAAGTTGGCTACCTGCAATGGCGCCGTGCCTAACGGAGACCAGCCAGTCCTTCGGAACCCGATTCGCTTATCACACCCAGACTCATCCACGTAGACCAAATGGTACGACTGAAATTCTGACAGGTTATGTATATAGAAATCTCGTAAATCTGCATTCTGTTCCTTTGCTCTCTGTCGAGCAACTTTCTTCGACCAACCCACCGAAGCAAGAGCCCGTTTGAGACTCGAATTTGTGACCTGGATGCGGAACTCGTCCCATAAAAAGATAGCCATCTCGTCCACATATAGCCCGGGCTTTTCGAGGAGGCGATCGCATAGTGCTTCTATCATCGGAGGTGTTACGGTCCGTCGTCGACCTACTCGAGTTGGGGGTGCTCTGACATTTCCAAACCTGGAAAGGTTGTTGCTGATGTTGATGATTGAACGCTTACTACATTCAGCAGCTTTGGCCATTTGCGAGGCAGTCAATGATTTGCTCGATATCATGTCCTGGATCATTTCGAGCTTTGAGAGAGGGAGTCTTGGCGCCATGTTGCGAGGAGAAGACTGGACGTTAATGGAGGAGAGCGTTGGCATAGGGGGCGACTCCGTCTGCTCACCCTTGCTCACCCCTCTACTCAGTGAGCAGGTAAAATGAATTTGGGTGAAAAGTCTGGGGGATGCTGGCTATTAGGAAATGCACGTGACATGGGCGATCTCGCAGTTCCTGGGAGCTTGGGGGCCCATCTCAAAGCTGCGGACCTCAAAAAAGTGGTTGCTAAGCTGGAAACCATACGTTAGTTTCACCATAGCAACAAAAAAATGCGATCTCAAAGTGTCCATCGTGTACTTGAAAAAGCCGGCAACAATAAGCTCTCGAAGTGATACTGTCAAAGCATGCTTTTGACCCCGCGGGACCTGGCTGATTATCGCATGCTGCGCTTGGTCTGAATGTTCTGGGTCGGGTCGATCCGGTTCCTAGGAAGGTGCTAGTCCTGCCCCACGGCTCGACGTGGGTGGCCTGCAAATCTGGTCTCCTGTCTTAGCGCCGCGGAGCCGAGTCACCTGATGACGCACCCCTCCTTCAGTTGAGAGCCAAAGAGCTTGTAATGAACTACAAATATATACGACCATGGCGTCAACAAATCACTCTGGTATCAACTATGGAGCCCAGGTGGGAATCAATTATGGCACATTTACGGCAGACTTTCATCTGCCACCGGGTAAGCCAGGAACGGAACTAACAAGGTCAAGACCGACTGACTAATTGCCGCTTCCCGCTAGAGCGGCCAGAAACTCCGCCCAGCCCTTTGTCAACTGTCCCATTCACGCGCGATCCAGACTTCATCCGTCGCGACACACTGCTTGATCAGATTTATGAGAAAAACTCGGTCCCGGGGTCGAGGATAGCGCTTGTTGGCCTCGGCGGTGTTGGGTAAGTGCATTGCGGCTCTTACTGGTCTATTGCTCACAACTCGAAGAAAATCGCAACTTGCGATCGAATACTCCTACAAAGTCCGATCCAAATCACCGGCAACATGGGTTTTCTGGGTCCATGCGAGTAATGAAGCCCGATTTGAGCAAAGTTTCCGGGACATCGCCGACCAGGTTAAAATCCCGGGTCGTCAAGATGCTAAAGTTAACATATTCAAACTGGTCGAAAACTGGCTCCGCGATAGAAAGATAGGAAATTGGGTTTGCATCCTTGATAATGTCGATGACGATCAGCTTCTTCGCTCGGTTCCGGTGGCAGGCAAGGGAGATCCGATGAGCAGCTCAACGAACGCCTCAACAAAACCACTCTTAGAATACATTCCTAGAAGCCGAAATGGCTCTATCATCATCACGAGCCGGACTAGAGAGGTTGCGTTAAAGATGGTCTATCACAGCGACCTTATTGAGGTTAAACCTATGGAAAAGTCCGAAGCGCTAGAGCTTCTCCAAAGAAAGCTTGAACAACCAGGAGAGAGCCAAGAGTGTCGACAGTTAGTGAACGCGTTAGAGTCTATGCCGCTAGCTATCGTACAGGCCGCTAGGTATATTCGAAATCGGGCGCCTCGGTCTTCGGTATCACAATACTTGAAAGATTTCCTAGGGAGTGACCGTGAAGCAACAAAGCTTTTGAAAACAGAGGCGGGTCACCTCTACCGGGACTGGGAAGCAAAGAACTCAATTCTGGTGACGTGGCAAATATCATTTGATCATATACGCCAAACAAAGCCGTCTGCAGCGCAGTTGCTTTCTCTCATGAGCTTTTTTGATCAGCAAGGAATACCAGAGAACCTTATCCGGCATCGGCCCAAGGCCAACTACACACCAAGTTCAGAACTTCCAAGTGACTCCAGCGACGGAGAGACATCTGATTCTGATTCAGGTCCCGATTTTGAAGATAACATCGCAACACTTAGAGACTATTCATTTATATCTGTTATTGAAAACAGCACTCTCTTTACGATGCATCGGCTAGTGCAACTGACTACGCGTGCGTGGTTGAAATCTCATGGACAAAAAGATCAATGGAAGGGTGAATTCATTAGCATCCTATGCGAGGAGTTTCCCACTGCTGAATACGAAAATTGGGAGAAATGCAGACCGTTGTTTCCTCACGTCAAATCCGCAATGTCACAACAGCCAGCATCAACCAAGTGTCTACTAAAATGGGCTATGCTGCTTTATAGAGGTGCATGGTATGCGTCGCAGATTGGTAACATCACGGATGCAAGAGAAATGGCATTTCAATCAAGAAAGCATAGAATGATATTGTTAGGTGATGAACACGAAGAAACTATTGATAGCACAAGCATGTTGGCAACAGCGTACTGGCATGAGGGCCGATGGGAGGAGGCCGAGCAGCTCGACGTGCAGGTCATGCAGACTCGCAAGACAAAGCTCGGCGAGGACCATCCCGACACACTGACCAGTATGGCCAACCTGGCGTCGACGTACAGGAACCAGGGCCATTGGAAGGAGGCCGAGCAGCTCTTTGTGCAGGTGATGGAGACTCGCAAGACGAAGCTCGGCGAGAACCATCCCTCTACGCTGACCAGTATGGCTAATCTCGCTTTCACCTGGAAATCTTCAGGTCACGATGCCGAAGCCATATCTCTGCTACGGGAGTGCTTAACCAAGCAGAAGCAAACAATCGGCCTAAACCATCCCACTACTTTATCTAATTCTGAAACATTATTAGAATGGGAAACAAAGGTTGCACGGGAACTGAAGGGGAATTGCAAACGGATGAGGAGGGGGAAAGTTATAGAGAATACTGAAGAAAGCGCTGAATACGGATGACTACATTAAACGCTTAGCAGTTCATGTTCGCATTACATTTTCTGCTTCATATTTTTTTAAAACAATATGCCATCATAGGTCGTCTCAATGCGCACTCCGTGAAAGCAATTGGCCTTTTCGCTCCATTCGACTTCGTTAAAAAATCAATGTGACAAGTAGATAGAAATGTCGTCAACAAGCTCAAACGGCTACAAATACGAGTATCCTCCGTAAGAGTATTACGAATAAATAAGTAAACGAGATAACACGTGATAGCGCCTTTCAATACGATTCAATATTTAAAACAAAGCTAAGCCAGAAATGGATTAGGGTGTTTCGGACTAGGGTTCGAGATAGATCCTATATGAGCAAAGTGGTGAAACTAATTTCGATCCTCCCTGTAACAACATCAGTATCACGGCCTTCACTAAGGCTTTCGACATCAGAGCTTGGGATAACGCAAGGTATTGTCGATTTGTTTGGGCTCTGGTCTCTTTCAGTTGAGAGACTCTCGAAGAGTGGAAATAATCATTGAGAGAAAGGGACTGGGGGATACTTATCGGCTTCCATTAGCACAAAATCAGAAAGGCCTAGGCTATGTACTCCAGCCAAGGAATGGTGCTTATGCAGCAAATTGGATTCTGAATATCGACATTCCAACCAGTGAATGAGTCGGAATGTAGAGTCCGTGGAGGATACTAGGCCCGAGGAGACCCCCTTGCGTCTGGAACACCACCCTAAGTTTTCAATTCTTCCACCATTCCTAATGTCACTTGCTCAGTGTTTTGTTCCAATCTTTTAGTTTTCTCCAGTGGATTGCAGAATTAAATCTCTGCAACTGAACAGTTTCACCCGCCTGGCTATGCCTATTCTAAATTATTTACCCGTGGACGTCACCGGAGCCACTAAAATTCTCCAAGCAGGGCTGGAGGGCGGAAAGCTCGCCGTTGCTTATGGAAAGCCCGCCCTCGAGAAGTCCGTTAATGTGACCGTTCAGGTTAATATACAGCTCCATACATAACGTATTTCACAAGCGAGCCGCCCACACAAGCGAGCCGCCCACCTAAACTAAAACACGTCTCGGGATTCGCACTTAGTCAATTCAACCACCCACTATGCCACCAACTCGCTCTCAAAGCTCTCGGAATTCAATTGAGCAAGAGGGTAGGATTCTTTTAGCTATTCAGGCTTTTAAGAATAAAGAAATCTCTTCAATTCGTGAAGTGGCGCGCGTTTTTAATATACCGCGTACAACTTTACGCGATCGCCTCTCCGGCCACACTGAACGAAGCACTACACGCGCAAATTCCCATAAATTGACAGAAATAGAAGAGGAATCTCTTCGAAAATGGATTCTCTCTATGGATTCTCGTGGAGCAGCTCCCCGCCCTGCTACTGTACGAGAAATGGCGAATCTTTTACTTCAACAACGTGGAATAACCCCAGCTCTTTCGGTCGGCGAAAACTGGGTTACGAATTTTATAAAACGATACCCTGATCTCTCCTCCCGATTCTCGAGACGCTATAATTACGAACGTGCGAAGTGTGAAGACCCAAAAATCATTTGTGAATGGTTTGATCTCGTTCAAAAAACTATCCTTCAATTTGGGATCGACCCCGATGACGTTTATAACTTCGACGAGACTGGTTTCGCGATGGGGTTAATTTCCACAGCGAAGGTGATCACGAGGAGCGAATTCTACGGTCGGCGCTCGCTTTTACAACCTGGAAATCGCGAGTGGGTGACTACTATTGAGTGTACAAATTCATCGGGTTGGGCCCTCCCACCGTGTATCATTTTCAAAGGCAAAGTCTACTTAGAATCATGGTTCGAAGGCCTACCAAACGACTGGCGAATTGAAGTTAGTCCTAATGGTTGGACTTCAGATGAAATAGGAGTTCGCTGGCTTGAAAAGCTCTTTATTCCTAGCACTTCTCTACGTACGAAGGGGGGTTATAGGCTTCTAGTTCTTGACGGACATGGAAGCCATTTAACCCCTAAATTCGATGAAATTTGCGAGCAAAATAAGGTTATACCAATTTGTATGCCTCCGCACTCCTCTCACCTTTTACAGCCTCTCGATATTGGCTGTTTTGCTGTGTTAAAACGATCATATGGTCGGCTAGTGGAGACAAAAATGAGAAATGGAATCAACTATATCGACAAACTTGACTTCCTCGAAGCATACCCCCTCGCACGGATTGAAGCTTTTAAACTAGAGACTATCAAGAATAGCTTCGGAGCAGCTGGTCTAGTACCTTTTGCACCTAATCGAGTGATCTCGAAGCTTGATATTCGTCTTCGAACTCCTACCCCCCCCTCCAAGTAGGGGGAGCGATTGGGACCCAAAAACGCCCTCGAATTACGTGCAATTACAAAAGCAAGCTTCGTCAATTAAAGCTTTGCTTCGTACTAGATCGAGGAGCCCTCCGAGTCCGCTAAATTGCGCGATAAATCAGGTTTTAAAAGCCTGTCAAATCACTATGCAGTCTGCTGCTTTTCTCGAGAAAGAAGTAAGCGATTTACGTGCCGCCAACGAGAAGCAGAAGCAAAAGCGTACTCGATCCCGGAGGCAGATACCTGCTGAAGAAGGCCTTTCAGTTGAAGAAGCCTCTGTATTAATTATACAGCAACAGGAAGCAGGTGAAGCACCTCCTCCGGGTCCCAGTATACCTGGAGAATCGGCTATTCAGCCACGTACACGGCCCCCCCGGGGTGTGGAATATGCAGATTGCCAGGGCATAGAAGAGAAACATGTCCAGATAGACCAATTAGTCAGTGCAATTAATTTAATGGCGTTTTGGTTGAGATAAATGCATTTAAAATTAATGGGTTGGGATAGGTGGGCGGCTCGCTTGTGTGGGCGGCTCGCTTGTGAAATACGTTATAGAGAGTATTTCTATGCTAAATTACAATAGGTAGCAGGATGGAGCACTCAGAATCCTGTTCTAGCCGCATGTGTGGTCGTGGGCGCTAGTGGTGCTGTGGTTTTCGCTGCTCCCGGCCTCGCAACGGCTCCAGTTTTATCGAGTATGGGATTCACAACAGGCGGAATCCACGCAGGTATGTACAAATTCGCAGGAATCAACAGATTAAACCTTGTTTCCCGCGCCCCGAAGCTCGAATAACCATTCATACCTAGGTTCAGCAGCAGCAGTCGCTCATGGTTTGGTCGGAAATATTGCAGCTGGGAGTGCGATGGCCATAGGACAGAGCGCTGGTGCAGGAGGAAGTGGCCTTGTGATTGTCAATGGAGCTGCACAATTGGGGGGTGCTGCGATGACGGTGGGAAGTGCTAGTTTAGCGTGGATCAAAGCCAAACTATGAACATACCCTATGCAATGCAAGACCAGGATTCAGGCTAAACGCATGGGGCCATTCGTTTGTTGGAGTTGGGTAGTCTCTTTATGTCTGATAACTGGTATCTTGAAATGTATGGGTCCAATCAATGGTGTTAAAATCTCTGTATTGCAGTATCCCTTTTCCTAGCAATTTATATGGATCGCGGATTACTAATTCAAAATTACTGCACAACCTGGATTAATTAAATCCCCGGTATGCCGGTCTGTATGCTCCGACACTTTATGTTGAATGTTGAAACTGGGTTTGGGCGCGTGCGATATCCAATTAAAATGTGCGTGGTGATCTCCAGGTGAGCTGACTAATGATAAGCGGCGAATCAAAGATCAACAGCCCTGGAAGTGGGAGGCACGGGAGGGCCTACTGTCAGTAAAAGACAGTTCAATATGCTACTTCCATTCCTGCGGCGCTATTGGCAATTTCCTTGTGAAGAATTCCAATTCGATTAGCAGGCCTCGAACGGTCTGTACAAGAACTCCTCAGCTGGGTAAGGAAGAATGTAACGGATAAAGATCCTTACAACATGGAGACGGAGTCACCTGACCGCATCGGTCGAGTATCGGGAACGAATCGCCAAGGAATCATCACATGGGCCCCACGTGAAGCGTGGAGGCACACATAGTCCAGGATTCCCCTGAATCCCTTTTCCTTTTGGCAAGAATTGGTCTCGGCACACACAGACAATACATTCTCGTTCCTCTCCAGGTCATTGTATCTTACCCGGTTGACAGGCCTTACACCTGAAACTGTATACTCTTATGTCAAATACCGGAGCCAAATACCTGGTGGGTTACAGTACTAAACCGCCGGTGATCGGATACAAGGTAATTTACCTTGGATCTCCACAACGTCGGTCCCATACAACCGACCAAAGTGCATTATTGACTAGTGATTTTGTCTATTTATACTCGCGCGTTCATCCTGTTTTATGTATTGCTAGTCAGAGAGTTCCAATATACTCAGTTCATACCATACATTTCCATACAGTCAGATTTCTGTCAGAAGGCAATAACGGGCGTCACTATACATATCACGTATTACGGGATGCTGGAAATTTAGAAGGTACCGATAGCTCGATTGAGAGAATTCGATCCCACAGTCCCATAGTTACATGTACTTTACTCCATTCCTCCGCAGTGATACGCAGCGCCCGCTGATTTGCTAGTGCTTTCTATCTAGCCAGCTGCCACTAAATGTCTTGTAATAAGCTCGTTTCTTCCTCTTCAAGGGTTAGGGTAATGTCCTAACATAACTTAGCACATATTTCAAAATCTAGAGAGAGACTTATGTACCGTAGGATGGTCCGAAGGAAATGTAGACTGGATAAGGCGCAGATCCCCGTGATGCGACCGACGGACAACGATCACATGTACCACCTCCAGCCCAAACCATTTTGCCACCTTCGAAAATGTTCCAGACATGGTTCAGGGAATGCGTGCTAGCAGTATTTTGTGGACGTAGGATGTGGAGGTTGATAGACAAAGCGCGAAGTTTATCGAGGAAGAGGACGGAAGTGGGCCAAGACTTCTCAGTTGGGGAGCCAGTGACAAAAGTGGTCAGGGGCACCCGGATCTCAGCAGGGGCAGGACCTTCCACGAAGCTCGCATCGTTAAGCATATCATTGATATCCCAGAAGCGCAGTCGGCCGGTCTTATCCAAGGAGGCGATAACGGAATCATCATCGCTGAAAGCAAAGTCTTTGCCGGCTTTGCCAGTGGAGATCTTCAATGCACGCTCTTTGAAGAATTTCTCAGTATTGACTGTACGCTGAGTACCAGAAACGCCGTAGGTAGGGCTCATTGCTGCCTTTGGGGAAATAACGTAGATGTTCTTGCCCCGACCAATGGCAAACAAGTTTGTATGACGAGTGCTCCGCTTGGCTCGCGTTTTCAGCTGGCCACCAGAGGTGTTCTCGTCCGAAGCCGGTCATAGGGAGATAGTACATGATTTGAAGAGAAGATGCCAATTCACATTTCATTGCCCAGCTGGGGATGAGTCGTCAGCCTTGGGTAAATAGACAATTAAGCAATCCAACTGACTGTCGAGTTTCAGCGGACTAGAGAATGAAATATAGGTTCCTGGTGTAAGGACCTCGCCTGCAGCTTACACTTCCCCTGCCGCACCATCCGACCCGGGCTTAATTGATAAAGGAAAGAAAAGAGACTGGTAATGACGAGTGGGTTTGAAAGCAATCTTTCCCGTGATCCGCCAGATCGAGTAGCCGTATCCCTAAGAATGTTAGGGCAAGTTTCAGGCAAGTTTCAGGCAAGCAATATATCGATATACCTTGATTTTATTAAATCTCAGTTCCTCCAACAAAGGATCAACTCTCACATGGCGGCCTTCATCTGAGCATCTGAATAGGTGTTCCTGTTCCGCCTGGAACTCATTCGTTTCGGAGACCTATGCCGAGAGTTCTGTCAATCGCGAGCGGGCACTCTGATTTATCGTTGTGGGAGACATCGTGTGGATGAAGGTAAAGAGCTGTAAATTGTTTGTCAGAATATATTGAGTGTCAGCTGCAATTACATGGAAAACTCACCCAGGAGACAAACTGGTTCGGTAACCGACGAGCGCCAGCATTTATAGAGGGGTAGATACAACGAGACGTTGCTTGGATACCCGAGATGTCATCGGGCAATGATTAATAAGGTATATCACGTGAGATCATAACGTGTGTTCTGTGGTCTCTAACGGAAGTTAGGGCCTAATATATACCGCTGCAGTGACAAACACACGTTCTGTTTGTCCCTATGATCTTTTGGCCTAGCGGCAAAATGCTCTTATATAATCCCTTAGGAGTTGCGGCCTAAGCGGTGCTTAGGATTACACTGGCGGGTATTATATGTCACGTGCTGAGTCTAGCTCTTTTAGGTTAGGCGCAGTATGTGCCCAGCAGATGTCGGGTGGTGATTGTTTCGAGCACAAGAGTACACGACTAAACCCTTGGCTGATAGAGCTGGATTCTGTGGTAGTGCCGTAGTAGCTATATGGTGGCATAAATAGTGTTCCGCGTGCAAGTGCGGGTGACAACAGACGCAATTGACTTTGTGAAAGGTGAGCCTAGGATATATATATTGACTAGTACGGTTTGAAGTTTCAGCCGCGAACTTAATGAACATGGCCTTCTATGGGCTAGGTGAGCCCTTCGCACTTGCTATCTCCTGCTAATGTGTCATAAGATCAATACCCGCGTTCTCACTCCTAACAACGCGTATTTTGCACGATCATAGCCGCGTTGCGATAGGCGCGAAGTGATATTTCCCAAAACGGGGGTTTAACTGTAGACCCACCGGCCGGAACGCTAGCGCTCGTAAGATAATACGGATACGCGACCACAATGTCGTCAAGACACCTCGTCGGGTATCGGAGCCGGTATTCCTAGCACGATGCTGTCTATACTATCACAAGATTCACGTTGTCTGCCTCCATGCAGTTTTACCATGCTCCCCTTATGTGCTTGGTACTCCTGCAACACCTGCATAGCTTCGGTGATCCCACTGCCGATACGAACCAACTCGTCTTCTAGGTAAGTTGCTCGAGATGAACTACTGTCCAACTCGTCCTGAAGCCGACGGATGTTTGCTTGCAATATACGGTTTTCGCCGAGGGACCCTTGCAGGTGGATAGTGGTACGGTCAAGCTCGTCCTTCAATACATGATTGGCGCATTCCAGCTCGTGGATCCTTGCTGTGAAGGATCCGCTTTCCTCTTGGTCACTACGAGCTGGCCCGGCCTATTCAAATTTAGTATTGCGTTTACCTCGTCAGACAACTTCAGGGATCGTATAGCTCACCTCTTCTCGTGGCAGGTGGTCCCGTTCTAATTGGGTAACCTGTAGCGTCTGCGGAGTAACTGCCTCAAGCGACCGGCCCAATTCCTCACAAATGGACTTGTATAGGCCCACGCTTCCACGGCCCAAATTTGACTGCAATAGGCTCTTCTTGGATTCCGTCACCGACCAAGCGTATTTATCTCCGACTGATGGCTGTAGGCGGACATCGGCGGGAGCGACGACAAGACCAAGTCGATCATCTGACGATTAGTTTCGCTTATCAGGCGGAGGAAGACTATAGCATACATATATGGGCTGCCAATGCCTCACGACACTGTTGTCTGAAGAAGGCACGCTTCTCATTGCTTGTGAGGACCATGATTGTATTTGATTTGCCAAACAAGGCTGTAAGTCCTTGATATATGTTCGTTTTAGGCTTTAGAGATTGTATGTCTTAAGGACTTGAACGTCCTAGTGGGGCTAACCGGTTACCGAAGATTAAAGTTAACCGAACCTTGGAAACCGGTAACAGGCTATAAAGCTCGGGTAGCATTGAGTTGACCAGGACGGTTGTATGGTCGTCGCGAATAACCCAAGTGGGCGAACTCCGCTATTTTACTACCTTAGCTTAGCCAGTCTAGACGGATGATTAAAGGAGAGCTTAGACGATGGCTAACGACTTACCTTTGTCCCTATAAAAGCTCTAAGCCCGAGTCTATGAAGCACAACCGGAATCACCTCACCAATTTTTGGGAAATGGCTAGAGTTTTTATAGACGGATAGTCAGTCATCCCATGGCCAAGTGATTTAGCCCAGTGGCCCTCCAGCTTCTGATGGTTTGGAACCAAGTAACACCCACCCCTCAGTTTAAATAGACTATTTATCAACCGATCAAATACAATTTTCGCCCAATGGGCTACGCGTCTATTATATCCCTTGTGTCTTTGCATCGCCAACTACCAGATCCCTGTCGTTCACCGTACCCGGTTTCAGAGTAACTTCTAGGCCTATTAGACAGCGTAAAACAATAAAAAAAACCCTGAGGTCCAATCTATCGTATGGCTATACGGCGCTGTGGGAGGCGGGAGAGCAAACTCGGAAGAGAGTACAATCAACTTTCTAACGCCGCTTAAGTATGGCCGTGCTGTCGACCTTATCATCTTACGAGCTATTAAGTGAGGAACGGCAGATTAGAGATATACGTTGATTGTGACAAGGAGTAATTAGTGGTGAATGTAAGGGCATGGCAACGATAAATAGCATATGAAGCGGTCTAATATTAGCGGTTAGGTATTCAAGTGTAGGTCTATACCCGCACATTTGTATGGTGGCTACAGGGAGTGAATGTTGGAAGTCGGTCGAATACAAGTAACCGAGGGTCTGCTACCCAGTACTACTGCCACGGTGACTTTAGTCTAGCTATACTCCACTATAGGCAGCCGAGTGAGCAAATTTGTAGTATAAAGAGAGACCAGTTCCCAGCAGCGGAATGAGCCTCTTTGCTAACACGATCAGTTATGGAGAGCCCCAGCAAAACATCAGAAGTCACAGGTACACAGGAAGAGGCACCGCTCTATATACAGCCAAGTCCAACCGAGGAGCCCCCACTTCCCGGTGTTGCAACCCCGCTGCCGGTAAGAATAGAATTTGAATAGACCGGACCACGCTGACCAGCCAGACCCAAAAACACGACATAGAGAGGCAGACTTTGGCTATAGAGCCCTTCCGACCTATACTTGAGGTCTTGAAGCAAATTGAAGAAGAAGATACTGAACTTGCATTTCGTGCTGCACATCTGGTGGGGTACATTAGATGTCTGTGGGAGTCTTGTGTTTCCAAACATACAGATATCCAGCAGCTCGAAGAGGAAAATGAGAAGCTGCGGACTGGGAATATTCAGCTATGCAACGAGGGAAACCGCTTGAAGCACTGCCAGGATAAGCAAGTAGCCCGCTTGCGTGCTATCGATGATGCGTTGGATGAAGTTCGGGGAAGGCTTATCGGTGTGCTCAAAGTTTGGAACGATCGGTCTGTCGGCAACTTGGCCATTTTGCCGGAAGATGGGGTTTCCCGATATTAGTCGTTGCCGTCGAACAGGTCAAAGTTACTTCAAAGCTTTGCACCGCCACAATGCTTCAAGCAAGTGTTCGATGATAGCAAGTATTTGCTAGCCCTCCAATGAATCCCTTGATTCTGTGTGCCTAAACTTCGTGGTCTACAGTTGCTGAACAAGTTGATTGTTCACCGACTGAACTTCCAGCACTTCGAATAGCGAAATATAACAAGATCATCTAGGTGGGCAGAATGTATAATTGTAGCTGTCAAAGTCAGCAAAGAGTGGTATTTCCTCGTACGCGGCCAACTTTACCTCTAGAAATAACAGCCAGCAGTAAGTACCAACTAGTGCTGTAACCTTGGTAAGGCACGAGGAAAGGGAAAACAATGAAAGATAGATCATCAATTGAGATAGTGTATTGATAAGGCTTCGCAGCAGGATGCTCATTCGGAGAGACTGATCCTTGGTGGTTAACTTCGGCTTGAGAAATAAGCTTGTAGTATATACCACGAGTAAGAATGGAAACACGCAGGCTATCCTAAGTTTTACCTCTCTTACAGCCTCACTTGTTCCGGCCCAGCTCAGTCCATATAATCTACCAGTAGAACATCTTTCGGTACAGACACTGCAAGGTCAGAGGGCCAGATATAAAGAGTTTTCCTGCACTGTTCGACGAGACAATTCCAAGCGAGCGAGGCTGGCAATTAGCAGCACGGTAGCCAGGGTTTTATACACCTTAGGCGAAATCTGCATGACTGGCTGGTATACTCGCAACGTACAGTTTTAAAGGGACTGAGTTGCACTTATACACAGGATTATATGCTACTGGATTAATTATGATATTATATATAGGGGCTCAATGATCCCGTCCTTCGATCTGTAACCGTCGTATATAAGCTGGTGACACCGAGCCTCCTTCTGGGAGCCCAATTAATGGCCCTGGAAACGGGGCGGGAGTTCCTAAGACCC